ATTTCGATAACTATTTTTGTAAACATCCTGTTTGATAGGCGAGATTTGGCACTTGAATATATTTGATACGGAATTGCGCTCTAGTCCATAAGAATGGCAATACATTAAAGGTACCAGGGGCGTCACATAAGAACATGATGTTCCTGGTGCTGTTCATTTAGTAAGTCACTTAGTAAGTCGTTTACCAGAACGGACATGGCTTGATAGGTTTGCCTTAAGTCAGGCGGTTGGTAGGGTAGGAAGCCCACGTCCTTTAAAGCCCATCCAAGGATGCCAACAATAAGTATAAGATTTTGGTCTTCGGTGCATAGCCATTTTCATTCTTGCACAAGTTTGTACGATATTTTGACAAACGAAAATCGATCAAAATACAATATTGTACGAGATTATATAACCAAATTGAGTGAATATACGAGATTTTAACACATTTTTTTACATTTAAATATTTTAAGCTTGGAAACCCCAGCTCGTGGGTCCTAAATGTATACTAGATCATGTAGTCAACTCACACAATCGTTAGTTTCCAATAGAATATACTTCCGGTAGTATCTATCTACCATTATGTAGTCTTTAACACCGGGCTTGTAGCAAGTCAAGTAATGTAGTAAGACTTGTAATACTGCGACCTGGATAAATCTATTGTGCTAGCCCTCACCGGGCCATTCCAGCCCAACTCAACTATGGTGCTGTTCATATATAGGCGATTGTTAACGTTTTCCAACAAGAGAGCCGTCAGCTTATTTGCCAACTCTTTGTAATCTTTATTCCTCACTTATACCCTTTACAAATTGTACTACAAAAGTGAATAGAACATGTAGATACACATCTTTACAACTCAATAGAGTCAAGGTTCTCGCATTAATATCGCTACCTCAACTATTATATAACATTGTAAATACAGACTACATAAGTGACGTGTCAATAGTACCTAGTTGTTTAGATGAAGGACGCTAACATCTTTTCAGAAGGTCTAGGTAAACCAGACATAAAGTTGTTTGCATTATATAAATGTAAATCTTAATTTATAATGTCAACAATACATAGTCTGTGCTGTATATTCTTGATTGGTTTTAGTAGTTACCCGCTACTTCGTCCGCGTGGAGTTTAACTTTTTTTTTAAATAATTATATAAGAGTGAAAGTTCCGGTAAAATTGGCTCAACTGTTTCACAGATTAAGAGAAGCAAAAACAGGCAGATAGACTGACAAAAAGTATTAAAAAGCTATTAATTTCCGATTACAAACAAAGATTTCAATTTTATTTATTAGTATAAATTATTAAGCGCAATATAACTAAGGGTTTCAAACATAATAATCTATATACCTAACATGATATTATATATCTACAGGATCCATGAGTAATGTTTTTTTGTATTTCTTTTTTTAATTAATAATTAGTGTAAGTCGAACTTCATTCATGTTCGATTAGTTTTAGGCATAGTGGAAATTTTACGTAATGTAATCGTAAGTTTAGCTTTAATTTAGTAATTAAACAATTAACCAACGTACTATTTGATATCTTATACCGAGAACTATTTCGACGAAACCCTACCTATACTGAGTGAATAGTCTCAAAATTATAAAGTATAGTAAACGATAAGTCACATAGAATGCTCAGTGAACGAAATCACATTTTAAACTTTTCGTACTACAAAGCATGCGTAGTTTCAAGATTTTAAAAAATATATCCCATCTTCTTGGGGAAATCTGTTTCGTTGTATGAACTAACTTTCAACTTAACATACCGTTCCCTACTGACCCTGTAAGTACCTATGCATATTATATGACTTAACATGTGATTAACAGACTTTAATTGGTTCAGAAGCCTAAAATGAATTCTAAATTTTGCTCGTTCTATGCTACGGGAATGTGTAAATACTATTACATGTATACTAGTTGTAGTTCAAGTCCTATTTAAATACGAGTATCAACGTTAACTTTTAAAAATCCCACAAATTCGCACCATTACATTGTATGCACCAACGTGCAAAATTAAACTTTCACGCAACTCAGACCGACAAACAAGTTGGCGTAATTGCGAGGGTTTCTATACCTATACGGTTTGCAAAAAAAAATATAGGAGATCATATGTTTCATTATATCAGACAAGATCAATTTCATAGTTTACAGCTGACAAATCAATGTAAATTCCTAAATATGTAATATAATAAAATCTGCATAAATTTAAATCACTAAATGATAATAGTGGTAAAAGTATTTGATGAAAAATAACAAGATCGATTTTTAATTTTGCCGATTGACACTATTAAAGGATAAGAATTGAAAATAAATCAATAAACATACAATAACGTTATCCATGGTAACATGTTAATATTATGGGTAATTTTTTATGACATGGCAACCCTATTTAAGTGTCAAAACTATACTCTGCTAATTATAGTATAGTACGGTTGACAGTTACGCTAAATACAGATACGTTACTAAATTTCATTTTATTCAACATACGATTTGATTGTAAGAAACTAAAACTTAAATACTATTATTAGATTTATTTTAGTTCTGAAAACTCACTTGTTACCGACCATTTTAATGTCATTTCGTTTCGTACTGACGCTTGTCAAGTCAACCGCGCTAAACTTCTGCAAAGTATAGACAGCTGAAATGACAGCTGAGCAGACAGATAAACAATGTAGATATTATATTTAGGCAGTTAGGCAGATACCTAAAGTACTCTTTCGTACATTTTTATCACGCACAAATCAAAGAGCACTTTGGAATACTGTTGATTACTTTACAATTTATTAAGATAGCAGCCGGCACTCAGTTTGGGTCGTTGTGCGTTGTTTAGAAAACTTTATAAATATTATTGTGAATTAAATACTTTAAAACATCTTTCGTTCTTCACAATTGTGCTGGGTAAGTTAAGTTTCTAAGTCATCAAAATTTATTATTAGGTACTTTCAATCATACATGTTTTTGTGCTTCAATACATAATTATTCTAATTACTTTATCGTGTTGGTTTCTCCTTGGAAATTGAACTTGGTATTGTTTTCTAATGGGAAAACATATTGCAGGTCAAATATTGCTTTGTTAAACCAATTATTTTTCACACTTAGAAAGTACCTACTTATAAGAAATTGCTTAGTAATTAGGTACAATGTTTTTCTATATAAATTGTCTCTATTTTCTTGCCATTGCCACTTAAAAAAGTTTAGATGGACATTTTAAAAATTTAACATGTAATTAATATCTGCACAATATTTGTGTATTCAGGTACTTTATGTGCTAGGTAGTTTACTTTTACATTTGATTAATGTGGTTGTATAGAAACTCTTTTATTGCTATGATTTGTTTTCATATTGCCTTGTCATATTGTAACATTTCAACATGTATGTACTCTTATTTTAGTTGAATTAATTGATACAAACGAATAATTCCTTATGGTCTATATCATTTTGTAAGAATTAAAGAAACTTTAGATTTTTCTTTAGTATTCATTTATTCATTCATTGCAAAATCATGAATAACTGTTTTCTATTAAATTTTTTATTTTCAAAGTAGGTCAACATATGGCTTAGTTATAGTATAGTTTTCATATTTACTACAAAATTCTCAGTTTTAATAAAAAAAGAAATTACAATATCTCTGCTAGTTTTAAATATATACATATGAGAAACTTACATATCCTCTTCAACAGATTGTCCAATGGTATGTTCCCCCAATTGTGTACTTTTTTACATAAAGTATCTTTTATGTAAAAATATTAATAAGGGACAGGTTATTCCTTATTAATACATAATATAGTGTATATTTATGTCAAACTTTATTCTTCTTTTGTTCAGCTGTTTACTTGTGAAAAGATAATTAACAAATTGTATAATACACTAGTGACTTTCACACTGTTTCTCGTAAGTGCATTACAAATCCTTAAATATGTATATACTATAAATATAAACCTTTCTCTTGAATTTCTGTCCTTGTTCCTGATAACTGCATTTAAATATGTTTGCATAATTAAAAAAGACAAAGTAAACTGAAAATCAGCTCTGCAGTAATAATACAGCACCAACTAAATGGAGGCCCTCTCAGCTTATAGCGCAACATTAGTTTTTAAGTTCCTTTTTGTTTTCCATGTCATATTATGTTATATCATCTAAATTGAATAAATGGTTATTATTATTGAGTACATACACTAGCGGTGACTTTGTTTTATACTATGTAAAGATATAAATGACACATTATTTATAATTTTAGTATGTATTGGAGAGAAGCAATATGTGACCTAAGAACATTATAGATAGTAAAAGTCACAATACATTGTTACCAAGGATAAACATGTCCTTATCAATTGTAATTAATAATACCTATCAATATGACCTAATAATTTTATGTATCTCTCATGTGCAACATGTACCTATAACCACAGATTATACTTGACACTACAAATGTAACATGTGTTTACTGCAGCCTATATTAAACCTACCATGCAGTGGCAATAAATAAAAAGTTATTGTTAGTTATTATCTACACTACATATTTATAATGGGAATATGTCTATCTAACTTTACTTTGTTATGTTTTCACAACTATGCTTCTGTATAGACTTAATGTAATTTGCTATGAAGATACTTTGTGGGAAATGTTGAAACTTATATGAACTACATTTATGTAAATTGCTACTCAAAATTTTGTCACATTATAAATTTAGTTCCAAATCTAATCAATCTTCTAATCTAATCAATCTAGTTCCAAATCTAATTAATCTTATTCACATGTGTTATTATTGGTGTTTAACTTGTTCAACATATTATTAACAACACTGAGTTTCAGCCTTGGAATAGTCAGCATCTTCTGTAGCTTTACTCCATGATATCCACCATGCCATTTAATCTACTTTCTCGTTTATGATTTAAACTACATTTTTATTTTAAGAGAATATGAATAGTTTAAGTATGAAATTGATAATAGACTTGTCATATTTAATGTTCTTTAATTTATACTATAGAATAAATTTTAATTTAGGTTTATTTTTGTTACAGCTACAGTTACAACTCCAAAAGCTTCATCCAATAATATGGCTGAAGTAAGTACCTATAAATTTTTGTTTCAATTTCCTTTTATCATTAAGAATTAGAAATATTTCTGTAATTTTGACTTGTTTTCTACAAGTCCTTCAACTGTTCTTAAATCACAGCTGAGTGATTGATATAGTGTGATGAGTGATCAATAGCTTAGTCATAAATAATATTCCCTCCATAGCTGTGGTGGCCCTATTCTCTCATATCCTTCCACAGGCAGCATCCTTTATAGTTCAGTTCAGTTTTCAGCACCTTCATACTTCGCACACTGTCGCACACCCATCCTTTCATATAGGATTAGAATTTTCATTCCTACCTCTCCTACAATTATAGAGATGTGACCTAAATGGTCCTACTACTAATTTAATGTTATTGACCATAACTGGCTTTTATAGCCTCACTCTAAACATCCGAACCAGTAGAGATACCCTTAGACTTAAATCTGTGGCTGAAATCTGACTTCTGCCTAACGGATACGACTTTACTCTCAGGGGATCTCTACTGGCTCGAACCTCGATGTCACCATAATTTCGATCGGATGGAACAGGTGATCGATCGTAGGGTCGATCTAGACAGGTCGTAATCTCAGCAATAAAGGAGACACAGGCAATATGATGTATATCTATTTATATCTTAATTTTTTCCCCTAGTCAGTACAAAGGGCTCGCGATGCCTTCAACCGAGGCGTGACCAGGCCAGTAGAATGGAGGCGCAAGCAACTGAAGGCAATAATGCGAATGTACGAAGAAAATAAGCAGGCAATGGTAGATGCACTGCAGCAAGATCTTCGCAGAGGCAAAACAGAAGCCATTCTACTTGAAATCGACTATTTAATCAACGATCTCATCGGCACCCTCCACTCCTTAGATGAATGGATGAAGCCCGAGAAGGTAATATATTTGTTTTATGTAACTATATGATATTAAACAACCCTTTATGATTTCCGGTTCGAATCCTTGCCCGATACAAACATTTGCATTCATGAAAGTGATTGTCTGCTAAAGGAAATCTAAATCTGAAGAATCTGCTAAAGGTCTGATGTGCGGATTGCAAGATACGGACATGAAAAGAAAATTAAAGTGTATTGATCTCGGTGTTGACTATATTTTGAATGTAATTGTAAATGTATATATGTAATGCGTGATCTGCATTTTGCTTTGATGTTTCATAAAACAAATGTGTACAAAGTTACATAAAAAAATAATTACGAATTAAATCAGGTACATTTCCGAAATACAACAATCTGTAGACAACGCAATTAATGTTGTCTACATTGGAAGTATAAATAAACCTAGTTCAATTTTATTGATAACCTATGTCAGTAACTTCATATACAATGTATCTACATGATCTATGTATGTATATAAAAGGAAATATAAAGTGACTGTCATATGATATCCGGAATCGAAAGCCTATAACTTTTTTATCTTCCAAATATAACCGACACATCCTAATGTTGCTTTTCATTAGGGCTAATTAGACTTCGGTCTCAATTATAAATCGCTCTAACGATAAATTTGCCCATCGTAACTCTTTATTTCTTATGTAATATTTATGAATACTTTATGTGAAACACTCTATTGTCACCTTAAAGGTAGATACATTTAAGGTGAAATTAGAGTGTTTTAGTATCATATCCAAATGACAAATTTTCACAATTCGGTGTTACCCACAAATACAATTGGTAGTTGTCGATTTGACTCATAATCAAATGTGTACTAAATTTGACGATCTTTTTTGAAAACAACTACTCCAATCTTGATTGTATATTAATGTAGTTAAAATTTATGTCTTGGTTTTGTTTATAATACAGCTGTTTTGTTTGACCTTGTACATTTGTGATATGTTTTTTTACTTTAAGGATAATTTAACAAGGCTATTATCATGTTTATTTTTAATTCCATTTAACAGCCATCAAAGGGCATCGTCAACATTTTGGACGATGTACTCATACACAACGACCCTTATGGTGTGGTGCTGGTTATTGGCGCATGGAACTACCCCCTACAGTTGCTCCTGCTGCCCATGACTGGCGCCATTGCTGCTGGCAATGCTGTCGTAGTGAAACCGAGCGAATTGGCAACCGCTTGCAACAAATTCGTCGTGGAGACCTTGCCCAAATATTTGGATAACGTAAGTCCAACAATCATTTGAACTTCACTCACATTCACGATATATACTACCACGCATGCAAAGGTCTTAAATAATAACTATGTAATCAACTTCGATACTTATAATCATATTGATAAAGTATTTAATTCTACAAACATAGATAACTCAATTATGTAAAAACAAACAAATTAGATAGTATTTACATTAGTAAACATTGATTCGTAGATGAATATAATATAAAAACTGACGCATATGTATCTACTTGCTTTTAAATATAGAGATACTTGACATAACCGTCATAATAAAAATATATGAAGGTGCTAGAGAGAATTATAGACTAGTGAAATGTATTTATAGAAATGTATTATACATACCTACTATACACATCTATATAATGTATATATAGTAGGCAACACATTAATATGTGGTCATTAATATGTTATCAAATTATGTATCTTATCATTTCAAGTAATTAAATATTGAATAAAATGTAACGAAATCAATCTATAAGGTTGATTATTACTTCATAGAATAATTTCATTACACTGTATAATTTATAAAGTATAATATATAGTCTGTGTTCGTTATGAATCAATCTATCTTTATGTAAATATTCATCAATATACATTGATACGTTTAGACGTATTAGTAACAGACTGACGCACTTTCGCATTTATAATAATACTGGATACTACGAACCTGTAATGCAATTTTTTTAACTAGTTGTTACTCACCTCTTCATCTACACAAACTTTGACCCGCTATTGAATAGAATAGAATAGAATAATATTTATTACATCACTACAATGATATAGAAGTATTTCACCCCCTACCATACTATTTTCTTGTGAAGATAGCCCATGTTTCCTCATAATGCAGTATCTGCATGTCAGATTTAATTGAGTCGTTTAATCATGAAAAGGTTACAAGCAAACAGTCAGTATTTTTCCTCATTTGTAATATTAATATGGAGTTTTTTATCTCGTAAGCCATCTGTTACATAGACACCATTATGAAGCCTTATTAAAATTGCAATTTTTTTGCGATCTATTGACAGCATTGAATGATTACAACAATGTTATACATTGTAGGTTTGATTACAGTTATTCTCAGTGTATATTATGTACATACAGTGTATATTAGTATCGATTTTGTACTTTTTGAAAATGCTTACAATTCTTGCGATCTATATGAAGTTGACTGTTCATATTGATAATAGTCTTAAAAATAGAAGTACCTACTCAGTTCTTCTTGTTGCAATTTTGTATGCAAAATCTTTGTATTTTGTTATTACTATGGATTATGGATTTCTTCATCTCGAAAGCCATCTGTTGCATAGATTATTGTAAGGCCTTCTTAATACTCAAATATCAAAAGATTGACAACTTTGAATGAAACGTACTCAGACCTTGTAGCAATTTTGAAGGTTAAATATTTATAGTTTGTTTATATTATATTTTACTACGTTATAATATATACATTTTTATTGTATTATTAAGGAAAGTGAGTATTGAATAATCTATGTATTAATAGTTTTAATCAAAGTCCATAGTATTACTAATTATAATTGCTTAATCGATGTTATTGATCATTACCTGTGTCCTCGGGTTTGTACGTGTACTATTCGCTATAACAATATATAGTAACCTGTTTATGTATCGATTTGAATTAAATGAACACTAAATATTACATCAAATATGTTACAATGCAGGGACAACCGCATTCAATTCGGTTAAACTGTTTTATTAATTTCCACATACGAACAGTCACACAGATGTAAATTCAAAAATTACTTTTTAGCTCATATATAGAATATTTACAAATCTTGTTTTTTATATGTAATTTGTTATTTATAGTTTTACTAAATGTACAATTTGAACAACACACTTTAAACATGTAAATAGAAAACAAAATGTTAAATATTTACTTGTATACCTTACATTAACAAATACATAATAATCGTACATCATTATATGAATCGAAGCCGGTTGCCTTTGTAAATATATACACTATAACTAGCATTGTCAATAAAAAGAACCTGTATCCGAAAGTAGATTTTATAAAAAGTCGTGTACATGTTTCTGTCTACCTTTTTCAGATGTCAATAAGCTGTAAACTGTGTTTCTATTTAAGTATAAGGTCGTGAAATTACAGGATAATAGGTATGCCATCTTAGTTTTACGCAATGAGAACAATGAGACTCATTACCGTCAATATCAAATGTCCGTGATACCACTTATTGAATGAGTGGTATCACAGGCGTCACATGATAACGTGATATCCTGTATGCTATTCATGTATAGAGGCAACGAATACTACTTAACAGTAGGTTAACCTTCATCTTGTTTACCATTTCAATTACATAAAAAAAAACAAGCACGCACCGTAATGCAATTTTATTAATAATTATAATTTTAGCTTAGTTCAATAATGACGGGAGTTTAATACCAGTTGGCCTTAGTAATAACTACTTTTAAATAAGTGAGCACTAAATGAAAATATTGCAAAAAAAAATACTTGTACAATTAATTTCAAGTAGATTATAGTGTTAAAAATAATCAATGTAATCAAATAGCATTTGAACAATTTACAACGATGTTACCTTAGGAAGTCGTTAATAATGTATCAATAAAACATATTGCAATATGATGCTAGTGTGTAGCAATTGGTGCCTATTTAGGCAAAAAATGCGTTTGGTATTTAAATATATTTTAAATTGTGTGAGTCCCATCATATGAGTGCAATTATTGTAGTTGTGTTGTGTTTTAAATAATATCTGATCTGATCTGACTCTAATCTATGTATTTTATTAACCCGTTAAGTATTTTATATTTCCATTAAAAAAATTCTCAATTTTAGATTAAGTTTCCTATGTTTATTTTCTTTTCGAACCCTACATGATATTGATTTATTTATAAAAACTTCAATGCGTTACATGACTTACTACCTAGAGGCATTTATCTTACTGATTTATCTCTCACACAAAAAAATATTAAGTAACCGTTGATCTTTTCTTTATTTATATAGGATGCTGTAGTAGTCGTAGAAGGTGGTCCGCAAGAAACAACAGAGCTGCTGAAACAGAAGTTCGACTATATCTTCTACACTGGCGGCACTAATGTTGGCAAAATTATCTACGAAGCGGCCACCAAGAATTTGACGCCCGTCACACTTGAACTGGGTGGGAAGAGGTATGTGCATTTTTTTTATGTAATTGTAACTCTCTACATGCTGACGGTCAACTCGACGGTAAGTGGCAACCGTCTAATATACATGAACAGAACTACAGAATTCATATCATACTGTGACGCTATATCTTGGTATGTATCTTGCGTTACCAGTCCGAAGGACTAAGGTGTCATCTCATGCGTCTGTACCCTATAATTCCACTGCTAAAAATATTCATAATAATAACGAACCCTGGACAAGAACATGTTATGGGCAATAGACAACTGATGTAAATACTTTATGCATTTCTTGAAAAACATAATATACATAGAAATACAAAAAATCATACTCACAAATACACTATGCGATGTTTACATTATGCGAATATGGTAGTCCACAAGCTAACAGTTTGTATATAGTCCTCTTTAATAGCTCCATCTTATTCTTGACTGCCTCGGTGGTTTCGCGATTTAGCACACTCAATTCTCGGGTTTAATTCCTCGCATAATACAAACATTTGTATTCATGATTATGATTGTTTGTATTAGTCTATGTTTTGTTTTACAAAAATATATCTAAGTGTATCGAAGTATTTATATCAGTTGTCTTACTAGACAACACAGCGCTGTATTAATTGTACTGGATTTTTATTACGTATTCTCCAATTCATTGACAATCCATACAAAATATTTTTTTGACGCATTTTGCAATAATAAGTACATAATTTCCCAGCCCGGTGTACATCGACAACACAGTGGATATCGTGGTGACGGCGAGACGCATACTCTGGGGCAAGTTCATCAACGTCGGCCAAACTTGCATAGCGCCTGACTACATACTCTGCACGAAGGAGGTGCAAGCCAAGTTCGTGGAAGCCTCAAAGAAAGTACTCAAGGAATGGTACGGCGAGGACCCACAAAAGTCCCCGGATCTATGCAGAATTATCAATCAGAGACATTTCGCGTAAGTTTCTTTATTAATCCCTACTAATATTGTAAATGCGACAGTAACTCTGTCTGTCTGTCTTGGTATATATATCAATCAATATATCAAGGTCACTATAACACACTATTCATATGTATATGTATCTATTTATATAAATAATACTCATTGAAATCTTTGACTAACTAAAACGACCTCTGAAATCTTGGTCGCCAAACACACATTGTATTTAAAACATTTCCGACTAACTCTCCGTCGAAAAAAACAGTCGTGAAATTATATCATCAATTATGTATAATATAAACCTGTATCGAAACAATCTGTACTAATTTATAAACTTGTAGATAAAGGTATAAAAAGGTAATGTCTTTACTGTAAATTAAATTTTAAATGTAATTTTAAATACGTAACTTATTAAGAAGCCAAGACGGAGCTAACATGCTCACTATTGTGATCCTAAATAAATAAAGAGAAAGAAAGAAAAAAAAACATATATACTATTTGACAAAATGCCCTTACAAGTCTTACAACTTTTTATTTGCAACCTTGATCCATACATACAGGTCTGTCAATTACAGTGATTTTGAAAAGAGACAATTGCATTTCAAAATCATTGTTAAGTTATATAAAGAAGACCGTCATGATTACATGTATGTCATGACCAATTAGTATTAATTCACTTACTACCTATTGTTATGATATTAATGTTGTAACTCCACAATTAAACTCAAGTTTAATAATTCTCAATAAACTTGTCTAGGACAGATAAAGTCGCCCATTGTCACATCCTCGGCTAATATCTTTTTTCTCTATTTATATAACAGTTACATAACGTATAAGGTTCACAATAATGAGGTTTTAGTCTTACATAATCACTTCGATATCCTAGTGTTCCTCAAATCAGTCTATTCTTATGAGTAATTCTATTCATGTCTGTCATGAACCGTATAGATAACGGTCTTTTTGTGAGGTTGAAAATTATAGCAGTGCTAATGAATCATAGCATGTCATATTTTTAAAAGTGTTTTTTTTTTCGAAATGCTCTAATGCCGTTGGCCGCAGCTGGCCTTTACAGATGGCACTCCAAACCCGCGAAAAGTCTTATGGGGCCGCTGAAGGCCAACTCCCGCCTGACGGATACGACTCTATTTAAATTATTAACCGGGTCTTAACACGAATAATTTTATACACACTAGCCGTGGTCACGAGCTGTGCAACCTAGTCGAAACGTCGAGAGAGGTAAATACCTTTATTTGCCATAAAATTATTCGTGTTAAGACCCGGTTAATAATTTAAATAATGTATATTAAACACGAAAGTTTAAAAATAACTATGGAAATGACTTTACTTTCAGGGCACCGCTAGGGGTTTGAACCTCGGCTCAGGCTGTCGTAATATCGATTTTTAAAAGTATCAATATAAAGTTATAGCACATTCATTATTAAGTAGGGATATAATAGATAGGCGATTTATATTTTTTACCGATTAGAATCATTATTTCTTCTTAAGTCACTATATATAAAATATAGCATTAAAAATAATAAATATTACATTATTTTATGTTGTATTCAGTATCCCTCTCGTGTTTTGTTATACCTTTAGCCAAGTCTTTATTCCTATTTGCCAGTTCATAAAATTTTTTTACTATATTTTTCCAGCCGGCTGCAAGCACTATTAGACAGTAGTAAGGACAAAGTAGCTATCGGCGGCAGACATGACGCCCAGGATAAGTATATTGAACCGACGATCTTGATCGACGTCGCTCCCACCGACAAAATAATGCAGGACGAGATCTTCGGTCCCATACTGCCCGTTGTACCCATCGAGAACGCTTACGAAGCTATCAAATTCATTAACGAGAGGTAAGTTCTAAATAAGAATGTGTGGTTTGTGTCGAGTGATTGTGCTATCAATACTCTTTTCTGTTAATTTTGGGGTAAACTGATGTAAATGTTAATTTATCAGTAGTTTCTACTATGCAGTCAAATTTGCGTTACGCCTTATGATAGCAATACATATTGGTAAATGTTAATTTATCAGTAGTTTCTACTATGCAGTCAAATTTGCGTTACGCCTTATGATAGCAATACATATTGTGAGAAAGAATTAAATTTGTTAAAAATCAAATAATATGGGCATATTTGTTTTTTATAAAGCGCTTACGCCCCGCTTGATGCTGCTTTTCGCTACAAGCGTTAAAAAGAAAACCACGAAACGACAATGCTTTACCATCGCAAATAACTAAATGCAGATGGTGGAATGTGTACCCTGCGAAACATTCTTATATATAATTCTCTATGCTCATAATATTTCCAGATTCTCGAATTCCAAGCTCATGTGATTTCGCGGTGTCAATATTTATGCTGTAAAGCGCTGTTTTGTGGCTTTCTATCGTTCAATACATTTGTTTTATTCAAACGGTGGACAATGCTTATAATTGCAGCGCAAAGCACATTTTGCTTTGAGCATTAACTTTGTAGCCCTTCAATTAAAAAAAAAACTTAAATTACATCTGTTTACCCCTTTGTTTTATTAATTTTGTTTGGTTATTGAAACTTAATTTACATCTGGTTCCCCATTTCGAGGTCTTTTTTTTTATGTTAATTTTGTTTGGTTGTTGAACGTGTGACTGCTGTGACAGGTTGAATTTCATTTATCAACATATTTCCATATAAGAATAACAAATATTACATACCTACCTACTGCCGGTACTCGGTGTCAGTCAGAAGCAAAAAGTACTTATAAATTTCCTAAAAGTGATAAGAAGCTACCAGAGGCTATGCAATGTTGTTATTTAATAATATGTATAATGAAGAGGTTCACTGAAATTCAAATTATATGTATAATGTTATTTAACCGTCTGTCATTATGGTTGACTTTGGTAACAAAAGATGAAGAGTTAAAATTTAGATGGTAATTATGTTTTTGGAACAGTGGCATATTTATTTCACAGATACGTATTTATAGTATCTTTTCATTTTTGTATTAATTTACAAACATTAGTTTTAGTCTACCGTATTCCGGAATCATGCTTTCTTAATATAGGGATAACAAGCAAAATATATTATGTTGATTTATTTATAAATATATTTTATGTGAAGTATATTTCTAACTCGATCTAAACTAATATTACAAATATAAAATTTTATTTTTAATGTATTAACTTATAAAATGCATAAACAATATACATTTTTTAAACTCTTTCACCTATGGAAAGCTTGACGATAATTTAAGTGTAACATGAACTTTATATTACTTTCAAGAAATTGAGATCTGTACAGGAATTACACTCATGCTTACTTTGTTAATCATTTTAAAACATTGAAAAGTAAATAAGCCATCTCGTCATTGTGGCATTCCACAGATATATAAATACCATTAGAATTGATATCATCTAATTTATATGGTTTCGATTTGCTCCTAATTCGACTGACGTCATACGGTCAAAGTCAACTTGCAGTTCATTATGTTTTATCGAGGCCAAACGATACTATAATTAAGGAAACGATCATTATAAAATAGTTATTTCTAAAATCAGTGAACTCCTACATTTTCCATGAAACTCATTGTGTGATCTATATTTTCATAGTGCTACTGTCAAGTGTAAAAATACGTAATTATATTACGTTAGTTAAAGTACCAAATTCATCTGCTGAATTTTATATTAAATTCTGCTGCGACACAGATTAATAGAAAGTTGACATCCGTACAGAGCAAGCATTCTACAGTCTATGCCATTCATTCACCATACCAAATATAATATTTCGTAGTTGTTGGGTATAACGTATTATTACACTTGATAACACATAAAAGGGTTCATATCATTGTATTTTTACGATTAAAATACACAAATCATACATATACAACGTACCTACGCATACGTGTATGGAATATATAGGATGACAAAACACATCTTATACAAACTAGTTGTAAAACTTAAAGTGCGGCATATAATAACCATACAATGTGTCATTACTATTCTGTTTGATGACCTTGCATGAACTTGTATAATTTTGTACCAGTGTATTTTATTTACTAAATTGAACCATATTTTGTGGCGTATAAAGTCATAAGTCGATTTTAATAATTTATACTACTATATATAGACTTGTTTACCATATCTTTAATTAGTCACTTTTCTTTTTTTATAATTCTTACTGTCATTTCTGGAATAGTATTTGCCGAAAAAAAATACAAGTAACTACAATAAATGTGTCTGTGAATTCATAAAAGGGCGCATCAATTGACCGGCAGAACAGTTTCTTGTAGAGATGGTATCATCAGTACTGTCTGTACTGGTGCGATTAGTAATTCATGGACAGTAACCATTTCCTACCTAGTGGATCTGTCAGCAAGTTTGCCACCCTAACAGTAATGCAGATGGCTCTATAGGTGCAGATCTCTTTGCCTTTCCTTTAAAGGATAAACAGGAACAAAAAAAATAGTACACTATTTTATAATTAGCTGCTGATTACGGAATATTTAGATTTTGTATATCTAGCGAAATGTTGATTAGTCTTTACTGCCACCGCGAGATAGAATGCATGCAATTGGTCAACTACTTAGTAGAATATATCGCTTTTTGTTTATTAAAACAAAGTAAAGTCATCATTCAATAGTACATGAAATATTTCAGGGATCATCCATTAGTACTATACGTGTTCAGCACTAAAAGCAACATACAAAAGTTGTTCAATGAACAAACCCGTTCGGGCAGTATCAGTATAAACGACACAGTCATGTTCTATGCCGGTAAGATGAGCATGTTCTAATGCGGCGGCTGTTTGCAGAAACATGAGGTCAATTACAATCAAGGGAAAATTTATCCAAGAAGCGTGAAGTTTCTCAAAAATAAATTTCAATAAATTCGACATGGACTTGATAAAGAAATTCACGGGACAGCAACACAAGTTCCAAATTTAAATAATTGTTTGTGATGCTTAATAAATAAAAAAAATAATTGAACTGAAAAATATTACAATTAGAGGTTATATAGGTGTGCTTTTATAATGCATAATATAGAGTGCATAGGCATCTTGATTTTTATTTTAAATGATAATCTGTGTTTGTAACTTTGCTAAAAACTGGTCACCTATAATTTCTATAATACTGTTTACAATATAGATCCCAATGATACAATCATTGTAAGAGATGAACAAAATTGATTAAGTTAACATTTAATTGCTGAAATTTCCATGGTATGCAGATATTTTAAAAAACAACATTCGTCACACACTATATAAAATTTATTTTTGAACAACACAACGCGAACAATTTCGTATAACATTTCTTCAATAAACTCCTCTTGTTTTTGCAAACGGTTGCCCCTGGGAGGGGCACTCATCCAAGATAATGTTCTTAATACACTCTGTACCTGCGATCTAGCAACTTAATTTTTAAATTAAACTTAATTCAGTGTTTAAGTCTTTCGAGACACGACGGAAATAAATATAAAATTAAGTAAAATTTCAATCGATAAAGATGTACTTACTGAATTTTTCGTCGCATGTAGAAAAACTCTATTAGTTCATTAAAAAAATGTTTCTCAATAGTGTGCTACATGTAATCGAGATATTCTATATAATAGACTTTAAACAATGTATTAATTTTTTTTAAATAGGCAAATTTAAAAGTTTTGAACACTGATCTTATTTGCAACGTATTTGGTACAAATATTTTAGTACTTTTGTTGGTGGTGGATATAATTTCATATTGAATGTTATGGTCATCCAATATCATGTTATCTGTGGTCTATGGGTATGTGGGTTCTGGCGGTCTCAGTCATTTGCATGTTATATCTTAAGATTTTTTCTGGAGGTGGTTTTTAGCTGTAATCCTGTTAATATTTTTAAATAATTATTAAGCATTTTTGTTATCCTTGTCTTGATTTAAAGTTATAAAAGTATCAAAGAGTTCTGTTGTAATCATTAATGTGCACTAAAGAGTTATCTGATTAGTCCTTAGTGCCAGATTTACCTTAGTCTCACCAATTTGAGTTTTATCGCTAAATAAGCAGCTTGTATTCTACTTTGCGGCTTTGGTGAAATTTACCAGTGAAATTACTGGGTACTCTGAGTATATGAGTGGTGCCGCTAGTTTTGATGTGGTTGTAGTGGCCGCATGCAATCAAGCTGGCTAAAATATTTGCAGCTGTGTTTTATCTTCTAATGAATAAGAAATACAGTAACTACTATCACAGTTTGAGTGAATACTGTATAATAATAAATCAATTTAAAAACATACTATAAAAATTAACAATGATATTAACATCTTCAAATTGTGTCGCCACTCACTGCAATATGTATAAGGTAAACGTAAAGTCATTTACTAGAGTGGGGTTTAATAATATTGTAGTGAATAGTAAAGGTAAAAATCATTATTTTATTACCCCTGTCCCCTTGTATCTGTAAATGACAGAAGCTACTAAAGGCGACTAATGTCTAAAAACTCTGTTGTAAATAGCCTAATATTTCTTTGTACATACTTTAATTAATCTATTAATATATTAGAGAAGACTGTATATGTACATTATTCACAATCTGCAAGGACAACATAAAAAACATAATCCTTGCATTGGCTTACACATACTTCTTAATTTTTTACAGTATATCAAGCCAGTATTGCTTAGATTAGTACACTGTGTATAGATGTATGGTGTTATCATACTATGACATATCTTTTTAATTTATTTTTTTTAATACATGATCATACTAGCATGTCTTGACCGCGTAATCAGCAATATTTATGCCATAATTATTTATCATCGTTGAAAAATATTGTCTTCTCTGTAAATATATTAATAGACAATACAATTTTAGATCAACAATATCAAGTAAATAATGCCTCACGAATTAAAAAAAAAAACTCAAATATTACAGGATCTAATAATATTTTTGTTATATAGAAAAAACCTGTATGTGCGCCATTATTGACTCGGTTGTTTTTACGACTTCTGCAAGGTCATTGTTGCACTATTGTTGATCTAAAATACCTGAATGTGTCAAAATATACTTTACTGCATTACTAATATGGTGTTGGTTTGGTCTACCTGTCGCTTGTATAGAGAGAAGCCGCTAGTGTTGTACGTGTTCACGGAGAACAAGAAGACCCTCAAAAGTTTTGTTCAAAACACCAGTAGCGGAGGAATGTGCGTTAACGACACGGTTATGCATATGGGAGGTACGGCACTCACACTTTATATATGCTGCACATGCAATTAGTAATGTAAATTAGAATTTATTCCCATGATATGGGAATAAATTATAGGTAAATTGGGCACAAATTCCTAAAATTAACACATACATATTGAGTTATTTTTATTAAACTACAATCTTTATTATTTACAATAGGCAATTAGAGAGTTCATAGTAATATCGACAGACTTAACACATATTTACATTGTTGGGACGTCACTATTAATATCAATGATATCTCATTAAATAACGTTTTGTTTTTAAATATTTATAGCAATGGCAACCCCTTAAATGAAACATAGAATAATATTCTTTTTTTGAAATAGTCACCATGCCTATTATAATACTAAAATATTATTAGAACAACAAAAAATATTATAAAGAACTATTTATTTGATGACGTACAGCTTAGTTAAACAACTGTAAATTGGGCTTTAATTTTAATTCTTGCATCTCTTCTCGTTTCTAATTATGTATAGTATAGTAAGCATGTAATAATAGTATTATTAATAACTAATTACATATAGCAGTTACTAATTAATTAATTAGTATTACTTACACTATAAATAGTTTCATAGATGTCTCTATTAACACTTATTAGTAGGGCGCATTTTATAACCATTCCAGCTTCATCCCTGTCAAACTTCAGACTATATAGAACCTATCATAAAGCTTATATATAGGTATTTAAATATTTATTCATTTTTATTAAAAAGATTTACCGAGTTAAACTTTGTAAAAAGTTTGTAACTCCTTACCTGTTTCAACCGCTAAGCAGTTTGCTTTGAAATTATGCTACGGTTAAGAGGGAAGATGTGGCAGGGAAATTACAGGATATGACTCCTAATCCTTCGGAATGGAATCGCATGAAGTATGGGCAGGCACATGGCGGGATTGTGTCCGGGTACTGTTCATATCACTTATCGGATTCCTAGTGGGCCGTCAGTTTATCTGCTATTCCGTTTACATAAAATAAATATTAATAATCTAGAAACTTCTCAAATTGGTTCGAAAGTTCTTTGAAGTTTGACAGTTTATGCGCTTATTCCACGATTTACTGAAAATGTCTATTTATGCATTTATATTATTATAAATGCATAAATAGACCTTTTCAGTATAACCTTATGGTTAATGTTACAGTTGAAACTCTGCCGTTCGGTGGCGTTGGATACAGTGGTATAGGTGCTTACCATGGAAAGGCGACATTCGATACATTCACACACAAAAAGAGCTGTCTGGTTAAGAACTTTGCAGCTATTGGTGAAAAGCTGGCTGCGTAAGTATTATAACATGACGACTCCATAAACATAACGTCTATTTTTATTAAATAAATGTCAATAAAATTAATTTAATATCATTTATTTTATTAATGTTACAGTAATCGCTATCCCCCGTACACGGATGGCAAGCTGAGCTTGGTATTGGCACTGATGCGCAAGAGAAACACACCATCCCTGAAGCTGGTACCATACCTACTAGCGTTTGCGCTAGGCGCCGGTCTCACATATGGAATTGTTGCCTGGAATAAGGTAAAAAAATTGAGATAAGTTAATGTTAAAAATGAATATGTACAAATACACAAAATTAAGTTTAATCTGCATTTTGGTTGTATAAACTCGAATATTATAATTATTGAATATGTAGTGCGTTATTGAAATATTAGGTGTAGAATTTTTTTCTCTTAGACCAGGTTATGCGTTACTAAATTTTTATCATATTGGTATAAATTATATGTCAAGCACTGTGGTTAATTCTGAAATAATCTTTAACTAAAATTTCAATTTGATGGCGCATTTTTAAGTTATTCGCAAGTAACAATTTTAGTTTAATAGATAGGTTTAAAAATGCATTCCCTGGGAGAAACCTATTGAGTATGGTAAACCAGTTTTCTTGCTGTATTAAAAGACATATTTATATATATGTATAAAATTATGTATCTTTACTGTGCATAAATAAAATAAAAAGTACAAACTTTACTTAAAAAGCTTTGGCTCTTCTTTTTAATAATGTTCTATTAAGACACTCGAATTACACATCTGAAAGTAATCCACAAATCTGAATAATTATTTTTTATTGAGTATTATTGCATACGAGTACAAATAACATAGCAGTTGAATATATTTCATTAAAACTATACATAATTCTGAGGGGTTATGGAATAACAAATATGAAGTATAGTAAATCAAGTCATTCTTTTTATTTATTTTAATAATAAAGTTAATTGACATCTTTAATTATCTTATCTCTCACTTAGTAGTGTCTGACCGACCTGGGTTTGCTTGCAAATTATATTTATCCTATCACGTTTTAAACTTCATTACCTCCTAACCTATCGAATTATGGGCATTGATACTTGTTTTTTTGTAAAGTAGTTTTACTGTCCTTGACACTTGGTTAACCGTCTGGTTGCGGAAAAGCACGTTCCAATTGGCGCATTTGTTTGATACACCGCGGCATTTTTTAAATAGTCGAGGTACAGCAATCAAACGCGGCAAGCGTAATCCATCGGAACATTGTTGCCTTGCCTATCACCAAGCTAAATATATACAAATTTATCTAAATCGATGTCTTGATATTTATCGTTTACCGTTTCAATCAACCAGATATTATTGAATGCGTACTAAATTTCTATTCTTGGACGTAATTAGCAATTAATGAAATATATCCACATCGAAATTGCCTACAAGTAAATTATATGTTTCATTTTAAACAATTTGAATGTATGATAATATTTTCAAAAATATGTTTAGTTTCCTGAATTTGGTACAAATTAGTCATCTCTCATAGTATAATAAAATTTAAACAGCTAATTTGTAAATGGAATGTATTTAACGACATTAATGTTACATTTATAGTAATAGATAACTTCTAATATTGTTATATACGCGATGGTTATAAACTTTTTAAAATCATCAAATTTGTTTCATTCAGTCACTGCTTTTAGTTAGTAGTCTTCAATACGGTACATATAATTAGTTTTATCAGATATTTCCTACAGAGTAAAGTAACATTTACAATTGACTTATCCCTTGTATTGAGAATTAATTATATTAATATTAGTATCTTCTGTACATTTATATCAAGAGATCTCCACTATCTCGAATGGTTGTAAATAGCTATTTTACCATAAAAGTCTTATAATTTCTGGATGGTAGACAAATGATATTCACCACAAGGTTATCTCTATATAATTACTATCTACCTTAATGTAAGTAATTAGGACCCTAATTGAAAATATTGCATGGACAAGACCTAGTTTCAAAGATGTAAACTTTCTATATGTCAATTGTATTATATTACTGATTCCAAGCTATGATCAAATATTAAAGAGAAAATTATTTATTTATTATAATCCAATTTATTTCTCACTTTATAATTTTTTTTTTTTATCAATAATATTATTATATTATTGATAAAAAATTAAAAACCTTTAAATACAGTAATAAAGTTTGCAAATGCAATAGATAAAATGAGCAAATTACTGACTTAACCGATTTTTACATTAACGCGTAAAAATACACTTACCTATTATACATAATTTCACCCATGCTAAGGGGTGCAATTCATTACCTGTGTTGTTATAAATCCAAACCCAATTGCATTTATAGACAATAAAAATTGAATAATAATTACAATGGATACGGAATTATATAATATGACACATGTACGTTCTATAAAGTACATAATATACTATATGTAGTCGTGAGAATACGATATATAATGTCTCTAAGACATCTTACCTCTTGTAGTACTTGTAACTAATAATACTACCTATACTCAAAAGATAATCTAATTAATCCATATAAAACTAGTCCTAAGTATTTACCGCAAGTAAAGACATCCAAAAGGAAGCTTGCGATACTCGCACGCAACGTGCATTATTCATATACACATGGTTGGTAGTTGGGAGGCAGTGCATATTCTGTACAAAGTCACAATTCGTGGCAAACAACTTCAAAACCATAGACAATGAAACGGGCACAATTTTGTACGTGGCTTTATTGGCGAATGGCGAAATATTTTGTGGCATAAAGTACATTTCGATTATAAATGCAGGTGACGAATAAACTTCAATCGCATTATTAAGTACCTATATAACTTAATACTACCTATCAAATTTATATTTATATGGGACCAAGAACAAGGAATCTTTAAAATATATTTTTCTTTTATATTAAAATTTGCAATAAAGAATATTTATAAAATTTGAGCGCGTTTCACCGCAATCTCACCTAAATTATTAAAATTCCATAAACATATAAAAACAAACGAATAGTTGAAAAGTAACACATTAAGTAAATGAAACGTTAGTGTACTGTTTATTCCCGCTCGCGTAACCATGATTATCAGGGATAAGAAAGTAGCCTATGTCCCTCATCACTAATGTATACGTATATATTCTAAATCAGTGGCACCAATGACTTCGACTTCGAGTTTTTGTATCTGTTGACGGTGTCTATTGATTTTGAAATGACAAAATGAAGTGTTTATCTACTTTTTTTTATAATAACGTATTTAAAAGAATTATAATATTAAAAACGTATCGCTTAATTACGTAGCCAACTGAAATTGATATCGTGCAATAAATAGACAAATTGTGACTATTACGTCACAACTTTATATATATTACATTCAAATCTGTTTGGTTTATTTATTTGTACCACTAAGTGGCAACTACCTATGAATTATAGTTTTTTAATTTTATGTACAGTTTCAAGTAAAATCGTAAAAAGTAATAGATTATTTGTTCTAACGTTGAATTGTTACCAGAGTGAGCCTGTATAAAGTCGTCTGCGTGAGTGCCTCGTTCTCTTATTTCCGCCACCAAGCAGCTAGCTTTGTAGTTACAAAGCGTAGCGTAGTGTAGCAGTTGTAGGCGGGGATTATTAAGCAGTGAAATTACAGGATACGAGGCATGACATCTTTATCCTCTAGAATGGCAACGCATGAGAGGTATCACGAGTGTTAGATGACATCATGACGTCCGTAGTACTATGCATGTATATAAGCGACGGCTAAAGCTTGCAATTGTAACGTAATCTGTAATTAATAATTAACAATATTTTAATATATCACATTTCAGATGACATCGGAAGATTTGTAGATCCTGTGGCTGATGTTAGTCTACCTCGGAATGCCTTACGTCTATGGATTGTGATAATTTTGTACCATAGGTATCTAAGTTTATCATTGAATTAATGAGTTGTTATTTTCTAATGATGATAATGCATTTATTATTGCTATTTCTGTTAAATATTTCTATGCTTGTTATCTACTGTTCTGTATTATTGATATTCTTTGTGTAAAAATGAATAATTGAGTATATTTCTAAATGAAAAGTTGTAAAGTCTTTATTAAAATTATAAAGTAAGCACTTGTAGAGTATGGCAACTGCAAATTATGATTAGACTTCATTCATGCATTAGTTCGACTAAAACGTGAATTATTATTTTTATATTTTGTGGTACCTAATATATTTATAAAATTATGTTCCTTAGCTTGTGATTTTTATATTATCCCAAATTTTTATATCAGTAATAAAATATTAAATATTAATTATTGAAACCAGGAAGGCTAGAATTGTAATACGTACTGTAAATAGATTGTTACATAATGTGGGTTTTTTTTTATTCGGATTGGGTTGTGATCCGAAACACCGTTGACTACCAAGACAAGAAAATTAACGTGTGCGTATATATGTGAGACGATTCAAGAAACAGAAATTGATTATGAGCCTTAAAGTAACTCTTTCAGTGTCAAATATTACGCCCATACTGCGGCAAGCGTGTATACTCACAACTTATTTTGCTAATTGTATCTGTCTAAACTATTGCCTAAAAGTGAGTACCAACATTGCAACGTGATTTTTTTCAATAGACTGGCTAGTTACAGTAATAAGATAACAAATTTGTGCACAGTACTACAGTCGATCCTGAGATCATATTGAATGTATTCTATCGCTCTAGCTGGCCTTTACAACTTCACTGGACAAAAATGTAGAACAAGTCCTCTGCACTTCAAACCCAATACAACTCCTGAATGTACTGATAATTACATGCAGCCCTGGCGTGCACAAATATGATTATATTATTCCATATGCCACATTTGATTCAGTCCAAGGCATGTAACAATGTAAATAAGTCACCGACTAATATTAGTTTATTAAGTCCTACCGTTTTTAATTATTGGGAAATGGCAATTTTAGGTACTGGGACCTGTAAATAATCTATTTATAAAGATTGTACGACGTATTATATATTTAATCTCCTTTTCTTATTAATAAAAATGTTATAGTTATTTACAATACATTGTAAAATTTATATGAACAGATATATTTAAATAAATATCATAATTTACTTGCGTTGTGTTCTATTATTACATTATAGACCTACTGATTCAATAATGTAATGTTCTGGCTTAGACCTCGATCTGTCTAGCAACTCAAAACTGAGTCAATTTATATTCTGACTATTCAGTGATGGAAACTCGGATAACTAATTTGGTTGAAGAAGTTGGGCTGGTCCCATACCATATTGGTTTGGAAGTTTCTAGTATACCTACCCTACAAAATTTGGTCATTTCAATTGACCATGATGTGGACATTTGACAGTGCCTTTGACTAGTCCATCTTAGATAACGGCTGTGAAAATAACAGTTATTAGAAAAGCGTACTCACACTGAACTTCTAATTTTTGGTATAGATAGGTATTTAATTTATTAACCACGACTTATATAAGTTATGTAATCTACGGAGTAATAATGTTTCAATGCGTCATTTTATAAATGTGCCTATGCAGTACTTTATCAGCATCGTTGTTCTTTTGTTTCGTTCGTAGACTTTTGAGTCGTTTACAGTCAGTGTGTTTGCCGACATAACGTTAATGAATTGGTGTATTGCCAAGGACAATAGGCGAAAATCAAGCTTGTGTGACTAAGAATAAAACAATTTTTGTGAATTAGTGTGCATTTTCTTTTTTGGATGTATTAATTTTTTTGGAAACAAGTGAAGATTTTTGTTTTTATTTATAAACCGTTTTTGTTCAATTTTCATAAGAGCGATGCCAAAGAGTAAAGTAAGTAAGTATAGGTATATATATCAGAGGGGCGATGCTAACTCTTATAAAACAATGTTAATTGCTGGGTGTGGTAACCAAAAGCGTTATATTTATCTTTTTTGTTCTGTTTGTACAAAATCACACTTCATATGCATTTATCCAATTATCACTACATCGATTTTTTTAATTATATATAATCAGTATTTTATCATTTATTATCTGAAATTGCTTCTTTAAAAATAGTAGTACTTTTATTTAGGGAAACGTTAATTATGGCGGTCGTGTTTTTATTTTGTAGATTTATAATATTATTATATTGATCAGATAAGTTGTAAATTGTATATATTTGTTCCATGTATAATATATAAGCATAAAAGTAGGTACAATTTAGGTAAGTTTCTTGGTTTTTTTTTAAATCCGAATCATATAGCAATAAATTTTCCATTTTTTTGGTAGGTTTGGTGTGTTCCCCATTATTTTACACAGGATATGAAGCCTTAAGTCTTACACCAGATATTGAATTATACTAAAACTTCAGTAGGTACCTAAATATAATCATAATAATATATCTAATTTCAACTGTTACATGATAATAATAATAATCTTTATCTCAAATAACAAACTATTACAATTTTTGCTCATAAAAATATTTACAGGTATTAATCGAGACAATACTGAGAGGGGGCTGTAAGTCCACCTTGTCTGCTGTTGTGTTATAGCCTTTATTAGTATACCAATACAATAAAAAATCAAGATGACGATAGCATTTGAATTCAAAACAAAGTAAACGTTTACAATAACACAAGAAAGTTAACTAACAGACTAAAACTAAAAAGAAAACTAATAATTATTCATTAAACATTAAAATTCGACAATAACAAAATTAAATATAATCTAAAAATTACTCAGGATTACTTTGGTAGAAAATCACACGCAGGTCCGCGCAAACGCACACATATTCACCAATTAGTGGATTACAACGCTACGAATCAAGGCATTGTTTTTGCAGGAACAATTTGCTACATTTGCGCCGAAATGTTTGTAAAGACAAAATAAGTGACAGAAACTGAACTTTTTTTTTCAGTTTCTATGTCACTTATTTATTACCACCAAATCTTTTATGATACGCCACTGGGCTGGGTGTGTTGGTGTTGGTATCTATCATTTACCCCCAGAATCATCGGTATTTTCCGAAGAATACTATGGCCACATACAAACAACAGAGATGAATGGAAGAGAAAAACATATTACGCCGTCCCATAATAAATGGGATAAGGAAGAAGCAGATGATGACTATGGTCACATACAAAGCCACAGAATAAATATATCCTTACTATGAAATTAAAACAGTAATTAGTAGTGACTTGTAGGAGTGCCTGACAAGCCTACAAGGATTCCCTCTTAAACAGAGTAAACCCAAGTATTACTGTATTATTGACATAAGTTTATTACCCAAATTTATCACAAGAGTTTTCTCTATCTCTTTCATTTACATACCTAGCCTTTCGTGTTTTCAAAGAAGCGAGATAGCAGACATGTTGACTTGTGAGACTGAGTCTTTCCACACTTTATAATTCCTTCCTTTCACATCAGATTCCTCTACTTACCGCTATACCCGCTCTATTAAACATGAATAATTTAGAAATCTCTACCTTTTAGTAGCTTACATTAAGCTGTAATTACTATTCTTTATGTTTATTTAATTACTTTTAATAATACCTATATGTTTTATTTATATTAGTGGCAAAATAATATTTGATTATACCTATACTGTTTCTTACCGAAACATTGTTCCTAATGATTGTAAGTCCTATCCTAATTTATCGGATCAGTTAAATTCTATTCCTACCAAAACTATTTATATTTCCCATTCCGCGATTGCACTTTGTGGCAAGCCATAATAAAAACTTTATTAAATTGTATGTAGGTTTGATAATGCAATACCGCGTTTAAACTGTTGGCAAGGCTGTACGTCTATATCGGGTTTAAATATAACTAGTATGAGTTGCCATTAATAATAAAATTAAAGGAAAAAATTACAGCATTTTACATAACTATAATTATAGTTCTTAATTAATTGTTATAATGGACAGTAATAATAATAATTTATTGACACCAAATATACAAATTTGTATTTTCAATTAATACTGAAATTAATGTTTACTATTCACAGATTGATGTGTGACTTTAAATGGTGAATGTATTTAGGAATGAGGACTCTTTAATGCAGCAAATAAACTACTAAAAATGATCAAATAACGAATTGATTGACACAATAGAACGCTGATTAATAAACAATAGAGAATTATTAATAACATTGATATATAATTAGTCCACAACAAACTAAAATTGTACTTTTTACTGTATACACTCGAAGGACAGGCACAAAATACGCTTTTAAAACACTCTCACAATATTATATACGCATTCACAGAGTTTTTTACCTCATATTCTTTAGCTGTGCATAGAGTGGACGCCCATTTAATCATGATACTAAGCCAAAGAGTACTAACCGTAGATGGAGTAATTTTCATTGACTTCAATGTAAAACACGCTTAAAATATCGGTGTTGCCAACCTAAAATAAGACCCGATTGTCGCTGAACGAAAACCACATATCCACGTCAAAAGTCATAAAAAAAAATAAAAACCAGTGCTTGTGATGAGCAAAGACGATTAAAAAAAGTGTCGATAAGCCAATATTCTGCAGAAATTAGCCAGAATCTTCAGGTATCTACAAAATATAATAAATAACACCGTCGCATGTGAGGGTGCTATGTGGTGGTGCTGTTCTTCTTCCGCTAGTTCAGGTGCTTATTCACATTTGAGGGCTTAACTGACTACTCCCTACCCATAAATCCTATATGGCGGCCATATTTATAAGTCATGAAAGGCGTTGACGCTCGACCCCATCATATTTATTTGCGTTGTATTCTTTTACAGGACCGATGGCTGCTATACGCAAAAAATTAGTTATCGTCGGTGACGGTGCTTGTGGTAAGACATGTCTCCTGATCGTGTTTAGTAAAGATCAGTTTCCGGAAGTGTACGTGCCGACAGTGTTTGAGAATTACGTCGCCGACATAGAAGTTGATGGAAAACAAGTGGAACTCGCGTTATGGGATACAGCCGGACAAGAAGATTATGACCGACTGCGACCATTGTCTTACCCCGACACCGACGTCATCCTCATGTGCTTCTCAGTTGACTCTCCTGACTCACTCGAGAACATACCTGAGAAGTGGACACCTGAGGTGAAACACTTTTGTCCTAATGTGCCCATTATTCTTGTGGGTAACAAAAAGGATTTGCGCAATGACCCGGCCACAATCAGTGAACTTCGCAAAATGAAACAGGAGCCAGTTAAACCTCAGGAAGGCCGTGCTATGGCAGAAAAAATAAACGCGTTTGCATATCTGGAGTGTTCGGCAAAGAGCAAGGAGGGAGTGCGTGAAGTGTTCGAGACGGCGACTCGCGCCGCGTTACAGGTCAAGAAGAAGAAGAAGACCAGGTGTTGTCTGCTGTAATTGTGCTGTTGTTGGGCGAACTCTGATTTATGAATTGTACGCATACTGCCTGTTAAACTTACGTTTAAAACGACTCGGACTGCAGCAGTCGCGACGTCGGCCAGTGCTTCCTTCCGATACTGACAGCTGACGCGATGTCGCGGCGCGCGTTGCACGCACACCCACTCAGTATTCGTGTGACTACACTTTCACAACTGGTACTTGTATATTTTATAGATATTCTATAAAGAGTAAGCGTAATTGCCTTAAAAAAAATATGTAGTCGGGGGGAGAGTGTTGACCTCCAGCTTTGGAGGTCCACTAGATTTTTTGTGCTATCATGTTATATAATCAAGTAGCATTTCTTTTAACTATAGGTGTATTTGCGACCGGTGTTATCACTGAGACTCGATTGTTTAGTTTGATATTTTGTATTTTAATTTTTCAATAAAATAGTGATGTATAAATTGTGTAGGATGTTTATTTGACATGGAGCATGAGCTCCGACTCTCAGCAAGTGCCTGTCCACTGGCCACGCCGTGAGGTGCCAGTGTGCATACGGCTCCTTGGGGCTAAACATCAGCTCATGGTTCTTAGGCAGTTTTTATTGTATCTATTTGTTTGTGTGAAAAATTAACTTTCCATATTGCATGCTACTATCATTTATTAGTAATAAAGGAACCCCATGTTTTAATAATTCTTTTCTATACTTTTTTTGACTTTTATAAGAAATTCATTCAGCATTTATGGATCAAAAAGGGCAATTAAGTTAAAAAAAAATCTATGTTATGTTTTATTAGTATTGTAAGTACAAAATTATCTTTCAAATATACATTAATTAACATTTAATTACGACTTCCTTTTATAATTTAAGATATTTTGGATCTATTCCAATTACAAATTTATTAACTAATCATTGAAAGTTTCAATTTAGGTATTCCTCCTTGACATTTTTAATAGTTGGAGGGGATTGAACCTCCTGCGTGGTGCAAACATCAGCTGTCTTTGCTGGTAAACAGAAGCAGTGCGGTATGGCACTGTTTGTCCCTCTGGCAGGTGTTTCTCCATTCCCACCAACTCTGGCACCCAATCAGCATACACTATCGCATTAGTTAGTGTCAGGCCACTCTGATTTGATGTGATGATGTATAGCACCTTCTTGGCCTGATCAATATTCCGAATCAATCCTATGAAACAAACAATTATCAATAATATATATAAATGAACAAACAATCGTGAATTTATCAATTTTAATCAGCTCTTTATTGCTGTAATGTTGATAACATTGCAATACATAATTTTACATTAGCAAATGAAATTAATACAAAGTTCTCAAGTATTATAATTATTAATCTATAAATTCGTAGGTCAAGTATTTCATACTAGCTAATGCGCGTGACATTGTCTGTGTCGACCTAGATACTAGACAATGATACAGGTTTTAGATTCACATTGAGAATTACAAATAATTACCTTAATATGAGAACTAAAAATATTAAACATTAGTGAAAACATAAAATAAGTTATATACATATAATGTAGACAGTGGAGCCGATTTAATTGGAATAAGATAGATTTGGATAAGTGAGTTATCAATTTATGGCATAACACTTTGCTAAATGTCCAATCCATTGAGCAGTATATGCGATTGTGATTTAAATCTTCGCAAACACAAATTGTATGAAATCAAGGCGGTATTAAAATGGATTCTTACGTCATTAGGTTCAAGTACATACATGACTCACTAACGAAATCGTTATTCACTGTTTATGCACTATTTAAATAAAACAAAACTGCTAGAATTCGTAATTGATATTACTATTAAATCATTTAGGTGAAACTGCTTACAAATTGATACCATTTAGGTTTTTAATGGTTTTGTTTAGATCAACTCCGTAGCAGCTTTTATTTATAACTACAGAAATAACACTGCAATTTTGAGAATGGGTTACGCCTATAGTAAAGTATAGGAATAATGTATATGACTAGAAATAGCTAGGAAGCCTGGAGACGGATAGAGACTACTTTTTCTTAACTTATAGTTGGCGGGTTGAGGAAAGGCGTGATGTTCGTAAGAAATTATTGCGTCATCCTCTTTGCTTCAAACTTTGCAGAATTATTGTTCATAATTAATAATTGACAAAACCATCATTAACGCGAGCAACGACGGGTAATAGCTATGCAATAAAGGTCAAAGTTCAAATCATGCGTTAACATAAACACATGATCAACGTCTAAATTTAGTGGCACTGTTTTTCTACAGGATGGTCAGCACCTGATGTGCCGTTTCGTGCGTTTACCGAAATTTAGAATGACGTCATACGTAAACGTTGGGTAAGCCCGAAGCCCGATATTCATTCTACACTCACTGGTGCATTAATAATGCAGTTGGGACTGTCCTCCAGTGAGTCTGATCATTTATTAAGTGTCTATGCATTCATATCTTTACAATAGGTCGATGAGTTAAGCCGCAATTACTCGATCGTTCCGATCTTTTGAAACACATTTATTTTTTTATTATTGTCATTATTTATATAAGCAACCTTGATCAATTTTTATGTTGAATTATTAATTTTGTGTATCAATCAGTTAATATGACCATTTAATAAACAAAAACTATGTTCTACAAGACTTCATGCAATCTCGTGACTAGGCTCAACCATTTCTAATGACACAATATCAGTTATTAATTTGGTCTAATAACGAATCAAATTAAATATAGTATTTCGCGAAATTCATTCATCCTTTTTCTCGTAATTACGAACATACAGAAATGAAGAGAATCTAATAATAGCCAGTTACAATAACAAAACAATGATCAGTCTATGAGAAGTTAGGTAGGTAAAAGAACATTTTATATACTTAATGAATAACTAGTGTTAGTAATATTAAGTATTGAATACTTAATATTATATGATATAGATAGTTACTAGTGTGTCAACCATACACTTAGGTATATGATATCATACATCATATAGGTACCTAAATGTGAATATATTTAGTAGTAGCTATTATTGGTCATTTTGTTTGTTTTTTTTTTTAAATTAATACAGCCTATGTCAGTCACCGTCATATAGTCTACTTTTACGTTACATTGCATTAAATATCTCTACCTTAATCACTTCATCATGAAGAGGTAACAAACGAACATCATTAAAACTAGGATCCTATGCACTGGGTTCCTTTATTTCTGACAAGACTGCAATTTTTGTATAAAACACGAAATTTTAAATGTTTTAACATTTCCAAGTTACCAGCTGTAACTTGGAATTGGGATAAAATATTATGGAATTTGTACGACATATATAGTTGAACCCCTAAGTGGTTAATAGATCACTAAAATAAAGTACGAATGACTAGAATATTACCATATCCATGGCACAGTAGCGGTTTATCTGTAAGGGTAAACACCTGGCCAGCCTTATCTTGCGTCACTTGACATAGCGCTACGACTTTTCCATTAATCACATTCAACACTGCATTCTTGTCTACTCTTATATTAAAACCTATGTACAAATCTTGGTAATTCACCCTGAAAGAATAAAAAATTGGTTACTTATGGATTCTATAATAATAATAATAATCTTGGATAATTTTTACATCTAGTCAAACGCTAAGTACAGCTTGTTTTATGGGTACTAAACAACTGATACGAATGGATATAGGTATATAATGTATATATACATACATAATATACATAGAAAACACCCATAACAATATAATTAATCATACTCATAAGTACAAATGCTTGTGCCGTGCGGGGATCGAACACGGGACCGTCGGATGTATGCGAATCAGCTAGACCACAACGGCCGTCTATTATGCTTAATAAATCGTTTGCTTGACTGACTGATCCCCTCCGGATTGTTAGTAATGGAGACTCCTGACCAGTAAGTATGTACCATGTCAGGTCGACCTTCGAACCGTCTCTGGAAGCCATCGTGGTTAATTTCTTGTGAATTCGCCATGATATACTTACTAACTGACCTGACTTCATGGTCATTCTACCATACTAGGGTTGTGGTGTATTAACGCAGGCGGGTGCATAATTATATTATCAACCATTAAACAAAACTAACCGAATCCTACAGCTAAAACATTTGAGAAACTGTTATTTGAATGTAGAGATATTTTATAACTTCCAAAATGTCTTCGAAATTTAAAACGTATTTAAACTTCGAACCCATTTTGTGTTTTGTTCTACATAATTTGCAATCTTTTGATAAAGGCTTTATACATAAAAGTATCTACTAAAAATATCATGCAATGAACAAAGTATTCATATTTATCAGTCGTTTGAGAAATAAATAAAAACCTCATTTGTTCACAATTTCTGGTGTGCGAGTCTGACTCGCACTGTAGCAGTTTTTATTTTTAATCGCCCGACCATTGATCATAATAGACGAATTTACTAAAAATAGTTCAAGATCACGATTTTTCCTTTGGCAAACATTCCTTTGAATTGCCATTTTGATTTCAATAATTATTGAAAAATAGTTGTCTTTCTAAAGTAGATATAATACTTAATAACAATGATAAGGCACTATGACGTGTAAGTACTCAATCGTATATCTATTTTTTTTTGTTTGCACACTATATGACTCATAATCCTATTCCGGGAGATGCACGTAATGCTATTATCTTATTACGCATTCGTTATAATTATGGACCGCTGGACCGACATTTATCGTGACATGCTGATTCCGGTCAGCATTCTTTATACATATTCTATACAAGCTGAGCACGTGACTTCGCACGCTCGATGTTCGGGATAGTTCATAATATTTTTGTTTGTAAACCATTGGAATAAAACAAAACTTTCAAAGCGACTTACCACAAATATACACAATACAATAGTGTAAACAGCACTCGAACTATAGATAATGATGCTGCAAACTATATATGAGATAGGCGCGCTAACATTCTATAAATAATTGTTTTGGGTTTATTATAGTATTTTGATAAATTGCCCAATGATAGTTTTCCTTACATCTGATACTGTTACCCGCAATTTGGTCAGCACTAACAAGCGTCCCCTATTTCAACCCTCAGTATATTTTTTGTGATAATCGGTAACCTATGTGATGCCCTCTATCTTTATGCCAAATTTCATTAATATCCGTTCAGTTGTGAAAAGGTATGTTTGTTCAAAATCTAGTCATAACATTTGTAGATACAGAAAACCTAAATCAAACACTCGTATTCATGAATACAAACATTTACATCGTATGAGGAATCGAATCCGCGCCTATCGGAAGTAAAACAGTTTAAACCGCTAGATCTCCGAGGGCGACAAATAAATAAATGTTAAATTCATGAGATTGGCTCCATACGCCACCGTTGACTTTATTGTTTTTAGCGTTTTCGTGACTTTATTATACTAAGTAGCCGCTAGTAGTTCTACGAAGTCTACGTAAATAAAAAGGGGTATGTTTATCTATTTTAATATTAAAACAGGTAACGGTAACTATTTAGTTTTTGATATAATTTAATTCAGCACTGCAAATTATATTTTTTTATTAGAGTATCTAAATATATTTATGGCTCAAATAATGCCTATAAATATATACATTTTGGCCTTTATATATATACATAAAGAACAAGTACATGCTGTCGCGGACTTCTTTTAGTACATTTCTGTCTTGGCGACATTTCCCAGAGGATATTCGAATTCAAACACATGGTGAGACTAGCGCCGCGTCGTCTCGCGGATTTATTTAGTTTGTTATCGGTGTTTTCCATCACTAGTGTTTTTTCAGTTCAAAAAAATGTAAAAGATTAGACTACGTCGCTCTGAAAAAACTGTAACTTTTTACTTTTATGTGTCTACTAAGTAGAAATTGTAATCACTACTCATACAAACCTAGTAATATTATGTACCTAATATACCTAACCTGGTATAATACGATAGCGTCTGTCGTTCTGTAACGTTTTGACTTTTAAAAGAATACATAATAATTAAATTTATCGTGAATATAAATCGTATGAGATGTACAAACAAAGATATTATCTACTGATTCAAAAAAGTATACTAATTCGCGGAAAATGGCTAGTATAAATTTATGTTTTTTGTAAACAATCTAGTCATGTATTTATCAAAATACCGCTGTATCAACCAAAGGCTAAAGTAAGAAGGTTTCATGTTATTTTCTAATGTATGGACACTTATCCGGTTGAAGAATTGAATTGACACACAAATTTTCGCTGAGATTCGAGCTAACAAGCACAGGTGTTGCAATAAATCATTCTGAGGAGTAACGCTCACATTCTCCATTCATACAAAACTGTGCTGAGTCATCAGTGAGCTACAACATTCTCAAATGTGGAGGCGTCATAGTATTCTACGTACGTAATAATACTATTCTACGTAATTGTGTTCTATTTTTACGAACTAAACAATATGAGTACGTATATAAAAATATCGTGTGCAAGACACTTTTATTTAATGGAGAATTTATCTTTTCTCCTTTAAATAAAAGGGATATAAAATGTTACAGTAAGTACCTACATATCGTCCTGAAACTAATACTGTGCACAAGGCGGATAATGTGAAATATATGTACTTCTCAATACACGACGGATTCCTGCTGTTCTAAACAATATAAACAAGTGCAATATCGGAGAAATGGTGGTGGAGTAGAAACACAATGGCGGGCTATGTGAAATCGGTCCCGATTTTGACTACATTTTTTTATTAAGGAGTTTAGGCAACTTCCTACTTAGATCTGTAGCACTGCAGAGAGATTTTTTTTCGGGCTACTCTAATGCTGTTGGCCGCAGCTGGCCTTTGCAGCTTCACCGGACGATAGAAATCTATTGTGCTCTCTTTATATAGATTACGCTGCCGATACCTCTCAGGGATAAAAATTTAAGGATATTTGATACAGTGTGTTTTTTTCAAAGAAGATATATCGTTTATGCATGAGTGGGATGTATAGTGGCGTTTCCTCTTCTATTTGGCAAAATCTGCAGGTCTTTATTAAGCACAAGCCAAAGTTTACCACGTATTTATTTAATTTACAGTACAGTAACCAGTGAGGGCCCTAGTCATGATGCATATAATGTTTCGTTTATATACATGGAAATCTAGGAAGCTACTCAGGATGCATCTCATCGGTTCTCCATCACATTTCCCCTGATTTTAGTGCCGCGTGTAAGTTATTTTAGTCGATGAGTTTGCGACAGCTGGTCAGCCAACGGCGACGGTCAGTGAGAGTGAGACTCCTCCTCCGCTATCTAAGTGAAGCACTGAACACTAGAACAGTTTCTCCTATGGTTCCTAAGGTTAACCCAGGTATTGAACAAATCAGACTAAACCAATAGTTTACTGGTAATATAGTTGAGTTTCATAACTAATTTCTAACATTATTTCTAAGACATGTTCTACATTAGTATTATATCGGGTTGTATTTACCGTCTATAGATCGACCTGAGAAGGTACAATGCATGCATAAGACAAATCTACTGTACAGTTCAATCCTCTATTAGAATATGTTACACGTGTAATAAATATATTTATACACACATACATTGATTAAGTCCATACATTAATTATATAAATACTTGTGTTCGCCCAATGGTCAAAATTCAACCAAAATACATTTAAATTATAACTTTGAACAATTGTCAATCTCGATTGTTAAAGACTAAACTTTTATGCGTGTGTGTGTGTCAAGTACATGATTGTGTGTATAATGCTTATTTAATAGATTTATTTGAATTTTTAAGCATATTTTTTTAATATTACATTTCTGCACTCCTTTATATGAACTTTAAGTATAGGAAATTTTATACTCCTCCATCCGCACACTTCTCGGAAAAAGGGGTTCAAAATTTTTGCTTCACATAATAATATAATAATATTTATATATAATATTACAACGCTATCTAGACCCAAAAGCTTGTGTTATGGGCACTAGACATTTCATATAAATACTTAAATATATTTTTATAGAATACGTACATATAAAACAACTAGACCGATACAAACAATCATACTCATGAATACAAATATTTGGACCATACGAGAAATCCAACCCGCGACCATTGGAAGGCGGTGTGCTAAACCGCTAGACCACTGGCTGTCACATGTGTATACATTTATTTTAGAGACTGCAATTATAAAAGAACAGCAGTAGATTTACAAGTTATTCTTAAGTAAACTGGTAGGTAAGGGTCAATGTTTTTATGTAACTGAATTGATACAAGACCCACCTGTAGGTTCTTACCTCCAGGTGGCAGACAACCGTCGCCTTTATGCATAAGGAAGAGGACCTTGATCATAATCTGTATCATAAAATGAGGTCTACATACTATGCCTTTGGACTCTGTAACTTGACTGCCATATCATACACTCCAAATAAAATATATTACCTATTAATAAAGGTGCTTTGCAGCTGGCTGAAATGGGTGAGCCAGAGATACCCATGAAGACAAGCCCTATATTTATAGGACTGCCTATGAATAAATGCTTTCGAAATCTTGGTAGTGTTTAGAGAATACATGCTTTTTTTTTCAAAATATTCTAATGCTATTGGCCGTAGCAGGCCTTTACAGCTTCACCGAACGAAACATGCAACATCAAACATGCATTGTTTCGACATAAATAAAAAAAATGGTATTAAGACAATATGGTTTCTCTGTTGTTGTGGTCTATCCTGCTACACACCAAAATTATACAGAATTAAAAAATAGGTACAAGGAGAACTTACTCATAAGGTGTAATTCCCAGTAATGTTTGCTTCTTAGCACTCAACAGCGAGCCAAAATAAGCCAAATAATTTAAATACCTATCATCTCTTGGCGATAATGAATGGCTAGAATTTGTAGAAATTTCTGAACAACCAGATATAAAGAAATTGTACTCTAAGCCTTCTGGAAAAGGTATATTTCTAAATAATGTATCATGATAATTTTCTGAATACAGTTGTCTTACTGCATTCGAGGTCAAATGATAAGCGAATCTTTTCTTTGGGTTTTTAGAATCAATCTGGAGTAGGTAAGTAGGTTGCGTACGTAATATAGTAAGCAACATAAACTTCAGCCCCACCACATTACACATGCCCATTGTGTTGACGATCCACGGTAGAGTTTGGAAGGATTTATTGTTGTGGCAATAATGAATTAGCTCAGCAATGGCGGCCGCATACCGTCTCGTATTGTCCATTGTATTAATCATGCCAATGTGCAACATTCTGAAAAAAGATCCACATTTAAGATTGAAAATATATATCGGCTCATATTCTGGGAAAACAAGGGACACGAAATAGTTGTCTATGATTTAATCAATTTATGACCCGCCTCATGGCTAGCAACAGCAGAGTCGAAATACAGTGTATAAGTTGTTGTTATTAATATATTTAATGTACCATCCACATTTTTAAGTTTTTTGAATTGTACCTGTACATGTATCGATCTACAAAATCCCAATTACTAATAAATTAATAATAAATGTATAAATTTTAATCTCAATTATATATTTTACAGTCCCAGTAATATTTCAATGCAAAAATGTTGACATCTCGTAATAAGTATCATTTGGAAAGGTTTCTTTACTGCCTAGTTCCCAGTATCACTGTGTTTAATAAGAATGGTTGTTAACCATTGATTAAAACATTTGATCCCAAATTACATTATCTTAATTTATCAATCCATTTTATTATACTACATGTGTAATAGTTTTATTAAATTGGCATACTTTTGTGGGGTTTCCAAATGTGTAAAATTAGGTCCAAGAAGTGGTTTGGTGACAATAGTAGCTGAAATATTTCCTGCAACGGTAAATTCTGCCTGTCCAGGGTCCAAGTCTATTACCAGCACAGGCCCATGTGCTAACTGTCGGTTCACACAATACCGGAGGAATGTTGACTTGCCCAAACCTTTACCGCCACATATTATGCCCCTACTTTTACGATCTGTAAATATTAAATAAAATAACACATTAAAAAACATAATGACCACAAATTAGCAAGCATATAGATTTGTAAATGGTTATATATCATAATAATTAAATGACAACAATAAATAAGAATTGTATGCAACACCATCTATTATTTGCTTAAACAATTCATTAATAAAATTGTATGTGGTGTATTCTATAAACAGACAGTTTTTGCCTGGATTTTGCGATTTCATTATATGTAAAAATAAAAAAATTATGTAATGAATATATAATTATTCTTATAATATTGAATAAACAAACACACCCAGTGCATGTTGAATGACAGGTTCCCAATCAGCAATCTCCTCAAAATGTTTCCACGGCTTTGACAGGTATAGTGAACACTTCAAGATATCACAAGCATTTCTGACTGGATATTCCATATTTTTACTTGACTTGGTAAATAAATCTGCCACTTTAAAATGATTTTCAACAAAATCTATTTTGTGGTCTATTAACTGACTCAATTTAATGATGCCATCATGTTCACCAATATCTGTAACAATCTCCTCTGCTTCATATACTGCCAGCCCTGCAGCACTCAACTTCCCAAATAAACCATAGTATTCATTCTGATTTTCAACTGTTTTTATTCTCTGTGCATAATGACAATTTGGTGCATATACTTCATATTTCTCATCATTTAAAGTGTATCCAAAAATATCAATTTTTCCACCAAGCAATTGTACAGATACTTTTCCATGAACAAATATTTCAGCTGGATGTTTCAATACAATAACACATACATTGTTCCTATTATAAACCTTGATTGGGTTTACAAATTTGTCTGTTGATTCAGTTGACAATTCTCTTTCAAATGTTTGTTCTGATTGAAGTGTGTCATCATAATTGGTGCTCTCTTCTTCAGGTAGAGTGTTAGAATCTGTAATATCCTTAACATTATCTCCAGTAGTATCATACTCATCTGTGAGTTCATTCACTCCTTTCTGGACACTTACATTCTCTAAAGTCATATTGTCAACAGAAAATATGTTACAGCTGTTTATAGAATGTGTAACAATTTGATTATCAGATGGCATATTGCTTACAGTGGAGTGCTTGTAATTACCTAATATTTCACTAAAGCTCTGATCCACTTCCATTTGAGTGGCTGTCACAGACACAAATGGAGAAGAATTATCATCAGAAAAGGAATTGTACAGTTCTTCATTAACAGATAATTTGTTATTGACATGCACATCAACTTTATGTTTTGTTAATTTCTTAACTTTATCATCTTTGACACATTCTATATTTATTTCCATTCCTTTTAATGGCTGTTTTTTCTTTTTGCTAAATTTTTCATTCTGCTCTAATTTCTTAAGAATCTTTGATGCTAAAATTCCATTAGCATCAAATTCAGACTCATCAGAATCCAATTCGGTAACTGATTCCATCATACTACTTATTAAAGATATATTATCAGATAAGTCTGATGGTAAGCTTTCATCATTAACATTTAGAGACAAATCTTCTCCAGAGATGGACTCTATATCCTCTTTACATTCTGAGATTGACTCTGCGGTATTTAGAGATACTGAATTACTGTCATCTAAATTGACTTTCATGTCTTCATTTTTGTTTGGGAATGTCACATTGCTTTCTTCAGAAATTGAACTAATAGTGCGGATGTGTATATCATCCTCATTGCTAGAACTAGTGAGATTCAAATCTGAAAACCCGCTTACTGAACTAGAATCTTCATTGTATTTCTGTGCGTCAATATGTTCGCTTTCTCGAATTAGTTTTATGTCGCTCTGTTTATATCCATGTAGCATTTGTTTCAATTGCTTTTTAACCGCAACCTCAGTTTTGTTCTCTTTTTTCGAAAATTCTTTTTTTGCAACGTGCGCCTTTTCGAAGTATTCCATTGTCACTACTATTTAGAGAAAACGATATAATGATTTTACAAGTGTAATATACTAAGTAAGAATTATAATTAATCGAATATAATAGTCGTTCCTTACAAATTTCAAATTAACTTGAACATCTAAGTTACAAATTTACCACGAGATAAACAGTACTGAAAATCTGCAATTCACTGGTCAGAATGACACGTACAAAACTGCAGTTACCAATAATCAATATCTGGATGTCTAGAATTTAACGCATGTCAGGTAAATTTAGGTCATTTCAGGTTATATGCAGTTATATGCAAGCAAAGGTAAATAACATAACCTAGGGATGCACGGGATGATAACATAGATAGCCGACAGATGATATGTGACAGGACAACCTAAACGTCAAATTTTGACAACAGCTGTCAATTTTTTTTTTAATGTGTGTTTTCATTAATCCTAAGAACAAGAATTTAACTTTTGGACGATGTGTTTTAATGATTTGAAAAAATAAAAATAATAACCTTAACATTCAGTTTTCACTGCTATGCATAGTGCAAATACAAATATGGCCATACGTGGTTTCGACATAGGAAAATAAGTCAAAATATGATGTCGAAATTAGACTGCCAAATAGAGTTAATATTTACAAAATTTACTCACATTTACATACGAGACTATGTTTTAAGGACAAACTTTCAAAGATTCCTCTGCTCCTAAACAACGAATTAATAATTCGTCTTTCGAGATATTCTAATTAGACGCCATACACCAACTGTAAGAAGAACATTTGTGATAGTACGTTGCCCAAACTTCCTTCCTCATATCTTCAAGCGAATCTATGGCGTCGAATATAACATAACATACTATTTTTTTAATCTTGATGATGATGCTCTGTAATCAAAATAATAAATAGAAAATCTTTGACTTCGTCAGCAAAGTTGGAGAGGTACTAGTACGACACACGTTTTGGAATGGCGTTTTGGTTGCTCAATAATTTAACCAGTTTTAATATTCACTGTTATGCCTACTGGTACTGGGAATGCATAATACACGGGTGGTGCAAACATTCCTTTTTCCGCAATTTCTAAACACATTCATCACCATATCTAAGATTATTGATATTCATGGTGTCGAAATCTCTAACACGGTCGTGTTCCTTAGTCAGCTCGAAGAAACCGAGCTTTTTGAAGAAAATGTGAAAAAGATGTCAGTTTCACCTTTTCTTCAAAAAGCTTGAAGTGCTCAATAGGGTGAAGCGGTAGTTAACTACGGAAAAATTGAAAGCACAAAATTAACGAAAACTATTTTATTGAAATGTAAGTGATTATTCTTATAGTCAATTTTGTAATTATAATAATGATAATATTTAATTTGTCGATTTTGTAAATAAATATATTAAGGAGAAAGGCATCCAAAATTAAAAGAAAGTATTTTGTTACGATGTTTATTTATAACCACTCCTGACATTTCCGAGATAAATACATTGCATGATTGTATCATCATTCAATACAGTCCATACGAATAATAGAACTACTATTAACGGCTAACGAAAACATTGACCACTAGGAGTATTGCTTCCGTTAGACATCACTTAATATGTACCGTGGAGTTTGACTTGACATTGTGCTACGAGTATAAATTTAGACGATTTATCCTAAATGCTTCAGGGCACAATGTCATGTCAAAATCAGTTTTTATTTAGTGACTACACTGTTCACTGCGATTGGGTGAAGGTGGCAAGGAAGTCTGTGACAATCTTCTTCAGGGTAGCGTCGGACTCCGCTGTGATTTGTCCATCCTTGGCAATGGTTGAGAGCAGGCTTTGGTGGCTAGTTTTGATGTGCTGGGTGAATTCCTTTTCAAAAGCGGTGATCTTGGAGGGGTCCAATTTGTCGAGGTGACCACGGACACCACAGTAAATGATGGCGACCTGTACATTAATTATAAAATGACTACATTTTTTGACAACAAATATATAGCTACACAGTTATCAGATGAGAGTGGGGAAGGTATTCTAATTAGAGGGGGCCATTGACCCCATTGCCAGCAATTCAGTCCCTCCAGGAAACCACAGCTGTTTATTCCAGTTAAATCGACCTTGACCTGACATTCTGCTTACCCTATTATCCTTCATCTACTTATACATCTTTATTATCACACATTATCTTTAAGTTGTTGCTGGCTACACTTTTTGAGGCAATTTATAGTAAATCAGTCATAAATGAAGAAGGAAACTGCATTGCAGACTAGACATGAAATGAAATCAATGTTATGATAAATATTTGCTTACCTGTTCTTCAATAGCCATGGGCACATACTGTCCCTGTTTCAAAAGCTCAGTAAGACGCATGCCACGGTTCAACAGCTGCTGGGTGGCGGCATCCAAGTCGGAACCGAACTGAGCGAAGGCGGCGACCTCACGGTATTGAGCCAATTCCAGCTTCATGGAACCAGCCACCTACAAAGATAAAATTATATTTCAGTGTAAAGTAATAAGTAGATTTTTAATTGGACCATTTCGTGTGTTTTGATAATAAGAATGACGAATATTTTATATTGTGTTGCACTTTAATATCTGTTTTGTACAAAATCTGTAGAAATTGTACATTCTTATATATTTTTTTATTTTAGGCAATCAATTAATTTCAATAACTTTTTTATTTTTAGAGCCATGTTCTGTCGGTGGACCTTTCCACGATCTTCCATCATGCTCTTTAAATATTAATAGGTTAGGTCTCAAAATTATAGACACTATTAATTTTCTTTTGTATTCTTTTTAATCATACCTGTTTCATGGCCTTGGTCTGGGCAGCGGAACCTACACGGGACACAGACAGACCGACGTTGATGGCTGGTCGGATACCCTTGTAGAAGAGCTCAGTCTCCAAGAAGATCTGACCGTCTGTGATGGAGATCACGTTGGTGGGAATGTATGCAGATACGTCACCAGCCTGGGTTTCAATTACGGGCAGGGCTGTAAGGGAGCCGCCGCCCATCTTGTCAGACCTGAAGGCAAAGACAACCATTAAATCATCACATTAATTTGCAAATATTTTTTAAGTTTTGGAAAGCTTGGGGTAACTTATCCATTATTGTTTTATATTTCTCTGTTGTGACTCCTATTGAAACATGTATGTTGTGTGAAATGATATTTAGAAACCATCCACTGAGCATGTACCACCAATCAGATAGTGTTCAATTTATGAGGACTATTATAAAATCTGTTCTTAGACCCCAATTAATTGAATAGGGAATAATACCTTAAAAACAACACATATGTCTAAAACGAAAAACTGTTTCGAATTAGCTTGTCCTTTGAAAGAGTATACTCAACAAGGTTTATACTTAGTAATCACTATAATTAAATTAAAAATAACCGCTTATAGATTATCAGAATAGCTTATCTATTGTTACCTTAATACTAATACTTTGTTTAGGTGAATTTTTTTTTATTACCTATATCTTTTAAGACCTGTGGTCTTAGTCTCTAGTGTCACTCTATTAATATAGTATTGATCATAGTTCAGATTTAATCATTACAATTTGTAATAATGTAATAAAATTACATAGAGGAAATGGGATTGTTACTATTGTAGACTAATGAACACATTGCTATCTATGTACGATGTCAGGTTGACCCCGAAGCGGTTCTAAACTATTGTGATGAATTGCTGGTGAATTTGTAGCGATGGGTTGACTGACCTGACTTCATAGTTATCTTATTGAAGTCCACTGGTGCATCCCAGCTGTCTAAACCATTCACGCAGACTGTTACCTAACATTATCAATAAAGAAAGTATGATTACATAATTTAATCGGCTTACATTTTAGCGGCACGCTCGAGCAGACGTGAGTGAAGGTAGAACACATCACCGGGGTAGGCTTCACGACCGGGGGGACGACGCAGCAACAGGGACATCTATAGGTTGAAACAGTAATAATATAATATAAATAGCATAATCCGCAGCTAAGCTGAAGTTGTGTTATGGGTACTAAGACAACTGATAGAAGTAAACATATTTTTTGTAAATACAAACAATTATACACATTAATACTAATTATTGTAGTATGTGAAAAATCAAATACACAATAAATATATATATTACATATTTATTGTATATTTGATATATAATATGTATTATTAAATTCTTGTGTGTCTAATTACATATCTTATTATATATCTTTATTACATTGTATTGCAAATTACCCTCAAAAATCTCTCCTCTTTAAAAGTGAAGTCATATCACCAGTTGCTCCAGCCCTCGGTTCACAGATAACTGCACTGTATACAACTGTATACTTAAAAGATAACAGTCATAAAGGCTATTGTTATATAAATATCTCACCTGACGGTAAGCAACGGCTTGCTTGGACAAGTCGTCGTAGATGATGAGGGCGTGCTTGCCGTTGTCACGGAAGTATTCACCCATGGCACAGCCAGAGTACGGCGCCAAGTATTGCAGGGGTGCGGCGTCCGAAGCGGTGGCGGACACGATAATGGTGTAGTTGATGGCACCTATTACAAGTTTGTTTATATGTCAATACTTACTTACTTTAAATTACTATTAAATACTTTCTATTCCCACAATAGTTTTCTAATATATTTTTTTTATTTCCATATTTTTTCCATTATATAATACGATATAGAAACATAATATTTAATAATACAAATGTAAATAATGAGCTGTAGCTTTAGCATATATAAGAAAATATCTAGCACATTGTGAATATATATTAGTTATCCTTGCATATTAGTATACCCTTTGCGACTATTCCTGTATACTTATGTTCCTGTATGTTATTTTACTCTTTAGAAATAAAGAATGTAATCTCTCTTTTTAGTAGTTTAGATATAATCTCATATATAAAATTCTTGTGACACAATGTTAATTACAATACTCCTCGGACATGGCTTAACCGATTTTTCAGTAGGTCTGATATAATAATATCTAATCATGCTACTATTTTTATATTTCTTAGATACGTAATGAATTCATCAAAATGAACTCACAAAATAGGACCTAAAGTGGTCCTATAATGTTTGCGGGGTCAGCTAGTTATTACATAAAGTGAACCTACCAGCATCTGTCAATCTCTTCACAATCTGGGCCACAGTGGACCTCTTTTGTCCGATGGCGACGTAGATACAGTACAACTTCTTCTTCTCATCGTCTCCCTTGTTGAAGCGCTGTTGGTTGATGATGGTATCAATGGCCAGAGCGGTTTTGCCGGTCTGACGGTCACCAATGATCAACTCACGCTGACCACGACCAATGGGTACCAGAGAGTCCACAGCCTTAATACCTGTTCAATGAATAAAATTGCTCTTCAGTTATGATTAATGTAATGAATCTGTGGATCATACAAACAAACACATGTCTTAAATTTCTCTTTTTAAAAACACATACCCCATATGAGTTTGAATGATTAGGTAATGAATATGGAAGAGTGGAATGTACCTGACAAACGCACTGCTATGCTAACTAGGTCAGCCCAACACTTATTATTATGTCAGCCCAATTATTGTAAAATTAATAAATATTTTTTATATTTATGGTATTATTATAATATTATATATTATTTTTTTTCTATTTTAATTGTTCTATTATAGTATAAAAGTCAATTATGTACTGTATATATAATTAAATATTTTAATGATTTCAAATTAATGTCACTTCATATACCCATTTGTATTTCAGGTTATAACTAAAAAATGACTTTTGAACATAAATTTTTCAGTTTGACAAAATAAGTTAATACAAACCATTAAATTACAACAAATAGTGATATGACTCAATTACATAATATGTTTATATAATAATATCTAATCATGAGGACTCTTAATATTTTCCATAGTTACTGATTATATTTCTTAGATATAATCGTAATGAATTCATCAAAATGACTTTAGGTCCTATTTTGTGAGGTCAGATAGACAGATATGTATTTATCCATATTCATACATAAGTATTATTGGAAATAGTATTATTTGCTTGTTCGGCTATTTTTAATTTACTTAAACTATTGCATTGGGTTTAAGGTTTGAACCCCTAGGCCTCAAACTAACCTTGTATCTTTCAAACAGGATTTGGCCTTCAGCAACTTCATAATATTAACAAAACCATGTAAGGACACAATGATTTTGTGATACCAACACCCCTATTGTTCAGTGAAGTTGGAAAGTCCAACTTTAGCTAACAGTATTAAATAAGGAAAAAAAGCCTCTGCTACAATGCACCCTTTAGTAACACATCTTATAGCTTGTCATACAATGTCAAATTCACATTAAAAAAATATTTATTCTTATAGAATATTTTGGCCGCTTATGAATGTCAATTTTTTTATTTTATAGTTTTTTCCATACCATCTAGTCAAGTATATAGATCCACTTGAGAAGAACTGGCAAGCAACTCAATTGAATAACATTTTTTTTTTAAAACAATTTATTTACAATGCATATTTATATAGGTGTCTATGTCTAACATTAAATGAAAATCCCCTGCATGAATAACTATTGCCATGCACACTCATCATTAAAGTAATCATTTAGTGAGTACCTAATAGGCTTTGCTCAGTAAATATGATTTAACAGATGTTTTGAACTTTATAGTAACTTTGAATATATAGTTAACTTACCAGTCTGCATAGGTTCACGTACAGACACGCGAGGAATGATACCAGGGGCCTTGATACCGACTCGCATGCGGTTCTTGGTGTCGATGGGGCCTTTGCCATCAATAGCGTTACCTAACGCATCTACGACACGACCCAGAATCTGGTCACCTACTGGGACATCCACGATGGCACCAGTACGTTTCACGATGTCACCCTCTTTGATCAGTTTATCGTTACCGAATACTACCACACCCACATTGTCGGGTTCCAAGTTGAGGGCCATACCCTAAACAACAGATTTAAGTTTTAAGAATAATGGTTAGGTAATTTAAATCATTGTTTCATTATTGACTAACTGTAACCATTAATACAGTGACTTTTTTAAAATATATAATAAAATTTCTAAATTATAAGTAGCCAAGTTACTTCTTAATATCTGCAAGTGCAAGTTCTGTCAAAATTAGTCCAGCTGTTTCAGCAAAGACAAACAGACAGACTAGAATTAATTTTTAGATGTAACTAGCATATACACTTTCATAAGCATTAAGTGAACAACTGTTCATTTGAAATTACAGACACTTCAGTTTTATTCTTTTGTATAGATAACTGTTCTTTCCCGACGTTATATGATAGTTAATTGAATGTTTAATTTTTTTCAATGTTGTTACTTCTTACAATTAAAAAGTTCCTTATGTATCCTTACTAATATAAATGTGTAAGTCTGTTCAGCTATTACCTTTTAAAAGTTAGTAATAAAAAGATTTTAATAAAATTTGACATGAACATATATTGGATGAGAATATGATAATGCATATAGCATCTAAACATACAAAGTCGCAAGTAAAAAATAGTGTTATATAGGATGGCAATGACCTTTATTAGCTTTATACCAAATTAAAACTTTTTTATTTTGTGGTGTGCAACATTTCATAGAGAAAAAAGGGAAGACGAACTTTGATCATGTGAACATACATATAGCAGCTACAGTTTTTATTGTTATATGTATATTTTTCAGAAATACAGTAACAATTTACATTGTGTTTGATAATTTAAATAATTATTTTACCCAATTATTGCTGGCAAATTCATCAAAATTTAAAAAAAAAATATTCATACTACAACATGGATATTCTTATTACATGCAATAAAATTTATTATAAGGTATAATATGGAAATATCTACATATTTGAAAATACATACCTTTAGACCAGAAGAGAATTCCACCATCTCCTCGGCCTGGATATTCTTGAGGCCATACACACGGGCAATACCATCACCAATGCTCAATACTCTGCCAGTTTCCTCCAAATCCGCCTATAAAGTTTAAATTATTTCTTAAAAGGTCTTCAACATAAACATTCATTTACATAATTATATAAATTTATTTCTATTTCTTATCATTCAATATTGAGTTCAACAGATAACATTATTCATAAAATTGGACATACCACAATGATATATAAAATATAGTATGTTGACAAAAATAAGGGACTGATGAATATAACCTCTAATGCTATTACATATAAGGGTGGGTTTATGTAACATGACATACTGACCTTGGGTGCGGCACCTAAGATTCTCTCCTCCAGGATGGTGGAGATTTCAGCTGCCCTCTGTGTGGAGGACACATGGACCTTGCGGGAAGCGACAGCGATCGCTGGCGCCGCAACCTTCGATACCTATCACAGAACATTATTATATAAATCGATCATTTATCACTCTTTTATTTTCAATTACTCGCACATAAATCAATAATTGAGCACTTGTACGCATTTTATTCATTTTATATGTAACTATATTCACTCAATCACTATCATTAATCTGATATGTCTCGTAGTCCAACTATTACATAACACAAATTCCATGGAGGTACCTACCTAAAAAGAAAATTCATATTCATACAATGACTATAATATCTAGTAAATGGTTTTATTTATATGTTTATTTAAAATAATAGGAGTCAAAAGGTTTGTGAGTGAATTCATTGCCTCAATTCTTACAATGAAGAGTACCGCCGGGTGATGTAGAAATGGATCATAGCATCAAAGTGAACATTAAAAATAGAGCATAATCAATAAAATTACCTGTGAAGTTGCATTAGGCAGGCGCCTGGCCACAGAAGAGGCCAAACGAGCGGAGATTAGCGACATTTTGGACGAATAATAAATTCTATTGGAAACTGAAGGGTTCACGACTAAGATGGTCTCGTTCGTCGCGGTGAAACGGAAGTGACACCAAAAAATTGTCTGTGGTTGGTTAGCAGTATTGAATTTATCGTTCAAAAACTAATACACTTAATTACATAAGGAAAATTAATTATCCAATATTAATTATCAAACAGTTTCAAATTTTTGAAAAGTTTAATAATTTATAAAGGAATTCTTATTAATTAATTACTATCTGTAAATCAATATTTTCATCTTATCATATATAAGTTGAGAAGACATTCTACAAAACTATTATATAGACCATTCTTAGAAGTTTATTGGATATGTGAGAAAGATATAATTATGTGTCTATAGGTATTTTTGATAATAAAGTAAAATTACTGACAGGAGCACCATAGAATAAAATTTAAATTTTCCGAACGTAAAGTCGGAATATCATAGACAAACAAGACAAATGTTGCCAATGTATTTGATTCCTGTGAATAATCATTCGTAATATTACGGCTTCTGTAATTATTTCCAATTACTTTTAAAAATAGTATTTATATAAACATAAAATAATAAAATGTATATTTTTGTATCTTATTGCAGAGGAAAAATATATTCAAAATTGAAAAGAATTTTTTATACCACATAAACTTTGATTGATGGACAGCTGTTTTTAGGAACTGTCAATTCAATGTTGTTTTGTCATGTGTTGTCAGTTGTAGTCATTGAAAATTTTATATTATTTTGATCATACATCAATGGATTTTAGAAATTACCAAATACATAAATGTATATTGCATTTTTTAAAATGTGTAGTTTTCTTTCATATTTCTATACATTAATGAATTAGTGTGTTTATCCAGTGTAATGGCTATATTTGAAAAAACCTCGCAATCCAAAGGCATTATTGATCATACTGAAAAACTTATTTGTGTAGTAGAAAATGCACAAAACATTAATAAACACACAGTAAGTTATCTTGGTTGTATATAAATATATTTCATAAAGAAAAACGTTCAATTCGCCATCCTATTTACAGCCCTATATTTCTAATAGGAATGGAAAACATTGTATTTTAGTAATTATTTGTCATAATGTCTATTGTTATATATAACCGTCGCCTTGACTATTATATTGTTTTGCCATTCTACATGGTTCTCACTTATATCTTCCGCAAAACAGATTATTAATGAGCTGTGTTCCAATTTAAAGGGTGAGAAATGTTAGCAAAGTTATTTCCTATGTTCCTCAGAAATTTCGAAACATTGGAGATATCAGAGGACCATTGTGAGCCTAATTTGCTCTGTGATGTCTATCTATAGTTCCACCAGTTATTTATTAAATTGCTTGTCATTCCAGCAACATAAAAGTAATATTAATAAAGCACTTATTAAATGGTACCTTAACAATAAATAATTATAACATGTTAATGCTTTTAGGAATATATTTTACGAGTCCAGGGAGGACCTTGTAAAGAAAATAAATGGAATGTACCACATAGGTATAGAGATTTTGCAGCATTACACACATCTCTGCAACAAGCAAACATTGTATTGCCTTTGCCACCAAAGAAACTTATTGGGAACATGCAACCATCTTTTATTGCAGAGAGACAAATTGCCTTGCAGGTCAGCATTAATATGTTATAACAATTAATTTCTGTTTATTTTAATCTATATTACATACAAAATAATTATAAATATATTATTTAACTTTTATGATTAAGTTATGGTGATGATAACCACTAATATAAGATAATTTTTAATTACCTTAACTATATATAAACTTTTACCAGTAACCTTTCAAGTTATATATAATAGATGTATAGACTATTTATTTAAAGAAAAATATTTCCATGCTAAACTGTGCTGTACACATAAGATATGAAACTATCACACAGAGTTAGATAATTTTATCTGTTCAATTCTTTTTCAAACAAAAGGTTTACTTGTATTCTAAAAGTTAAAATAATGTTGTAAATATTGCACAAGTGAACTGGAATCTTTATTTAAGATAAGGCTGGCTAAAATTTTACTGTTGTTTCAGAATTACCTGAATGAGGTGTTAAAACATCAAATACTAGCTTTATCTTTGCAAGTAAGGAGTTTTTTAGATCCCCACAATTATGCATTAAATATTGCAGGTAATATTTTTGAATATATTAATTTTCTGCCATTTTCTTAATAATGCAAAAATAATAGGCTTTAAAGGCACATGACAACAGCAGTGTTACTCCTATCTGATTTCTAAAACCAATGAGTCATTTCAAGTTTAAGTCTTGTAGTCATAACTATCTATTATAATATATACTATTGCTTATGTTACAGTTACATACCATTTTGTATTCCTAGAATATGGTATGTACAATGGTGGTAATTATAACTTAAGCAGCATCCTGTGTTCTCAATTTTAAAATCATAAAATATATAATAGGTATAGAATGTCATTCAAATACTTATAAAAATAAGTAATTATTTTAATTACTTGAATTTTCGCCTATTTTCACTAAATAATAGTGTACCTATTGCAACTCTGTAACTGCATCCTGTTTCTAAACTGAACTGGTTTACCTGACTTAAAATCCTTATTTTTTAAATTTGATGTTGGCAACCCTAGCTTACATGTACAAACTAAATACCTACAAAAACATTAAACACTGTTAGTGCAATGATATCCATTCATGTAATAAACAAGGACTAACTTGAGATGTATGCACACTGAGTGATATAGTGCTTTGCCAATTAAGAATATAATTTAAAAATGCAATATTAAATTATAAACAAAAACTATCGGTCATGGTTTTAAATACGAAATGAAGCTTACCAAATTCATTAAACATCCAATATTTATTGCAGAGCAAGCCTTGCAAACTATGTCTATTGCATTACGAGGAGATGGACGCTATGAGCTAAAAACTCCTTTGCCAGATATTGGCTGGAGAATCTGTAAACACTATTTTTTAGTAAGTAAATATAAATACGAATATTAGTAATATATAAAATGTATGTTAATGACGGCCACTGTAGACGACACTTTTGCACACTGTCTTAGTTCTGATGCTCGCAAATACATAGTGTTCTGGGAACAATGAGATTGTAAGTTGCTGAGTTAGTAGTAATAGACAGATGATCTTAAAGCATCTTAATCTATACCTATTGAATAAAATAAATTGATAAAAAAACATGTGTTTATTTATATATTTGAGTCATATAAAATCTGTATGTGTGTGACCATAGCTCAACATTATCTTGGCCATTTTTTATCTTTTTGTTATTGGGAGTTAATGACCTTTTAATAATAATAAATGTTTAGGTACCTACTACGAGTATAACAATAAAATAAGTTACTTATTCATAACATAATTAAATTATACATGCATGCTGACTAATATTAATATGAACTTATCTTGAGAATTATATTTTTTGCTACATTGTATGTTTCTAAAGTATTTAATTATACATTATAAAATACACAAGGCATAGTTATGAACACACACGTAGATATAAGGAACATACCTATATATAGTGAAGCTCAATTACTATGAAGAGAAAATACAGTGCATAACATTTCTTTGTCCTGTTTTGTGAATTGTGCACACGCTAGATCTGGAATATTTTCACCGACAGTATGTATTTGATCAGTCTAGTCATTATAGATGTACCAAAATTACGTTTAGTAATATAGTATTTTTTTCGAACTATACTAATGTTGTTGACTGTAGCTTTACAGCATCACTGAAAAATAGTGGGTGAGTGCAGATGGCATTCCAAACCTGCAGAATGATCGTAATTTCGACCCCCATTCTCTATTCTAATTCTAGCACTTTCTTATAGTTTAAGTGTTTATTAACTAATAAACACTTAAACTATACACATACACAAACTATACACAATACACTTAACTAGTTCAGGGAGAACTACATTTACGGAGGTACAATGCTTGGATACCTCTGTCTCTCTCATTCCTGCCTCCAAGCAGCTTGCTTTGTTTTGAAGATGTACTATGAGATAAAGCAGTGAAACTGAAGGGCATGGAGGCAATTCGTTTTGAAATCTACAAGTGCAGGACCACATTCTTTTAATTGGCCCTTATCATCATCATCATCACTGACGTGGGTCATTAACTTGTTTCCCGTTCCATTCTCATAACACAAATATTTAAAATCAGATACATTTAAAATTTTCAGGTAATAGAAGCAGAAAGTAGAACCAATTATTTGCTATCTTGGCAAAATTATGGCCCTGATAGGTATATGAATGACAAAGTAATGCAGACTGCTTTCAAGAGCTTACAGAATATTTCTGTAAGTAATAAAAATCTTATTTATTTGTGAAAAAATGTCGAAAAATTTCAGTATGTAGATATTAGTCTAGTCAATTTCAAATGATCTTTTGTTTAGATAACTTATTGTGGAATTACTTTTAGCGCTACGACTTGACACACACACAAACAATCAGTTTGTATGTCTTCATATTAAGCTCTTTATGGAGTAGGCAGAGATGTAGTATGTATTACATGCAGTAATGTGTATTTTTTCAGCATCCTTATATAGACCAAATATTAGCAATTCACAATTTAGAAACTGGTGCCTATGTAGTTAGAAAAATTCATGAAAATGGAAGCCTCAGAGATATATTATATGGAACTGAATACAATAAGAATTATTTAAACAAATACGGGAATCCAAAAGTGAGAAAACCTTTTACTGATGGCCAGATATCTCACTATGGATATCAAATATTACAAGCGTTGAAGTTTTTGCATGATAAAGGCTTGCCACATGGTGTGTACATTTTGTTATTTTTTTTATATCATGTGTAGTACAATCTTGTCGTAGTATGATATATCCATATATACACAGTTCCGCATTTCAGCTCGAGCTTCTAAAAAGACGGCTTGAATAAAATTAACAAAATATATCTACGTATTAGTAGATTGACGAAGTGGAAACCTTGTTTACACTATCATATGTTGTATAGATCACATTTTCTAGAATAAGAACAATGCAGTGATTTTGTTTTTTATTTATGTTTTGCAGTTTAGAAACTCTATGTACCTACATATTGTAATTAAATAAACCTCTAACATAGATATTTCTTGTTTAATACATATAGAGTATTAGGATGCTTAGTTTTCATATAGCTTATGGTGTTTATTTCTTCTTTCTTCAGTCTGTTTGTGGTTATATCATAATCACCTAATTTAATTATTTTTCTTTATATTTTATATATATATATTTTATACAACGATATGATTGTATAATTAATATTTTAAACTGTTATTATAAATAATTATATACACATTATGTTTAAATGTAAATTTCGGGAGAAAGTGTATAATTGTATGAACAAGTGAAAGTCAGTATGTAAGTATGAGTAAAGTTATTACGGAAAATATTGTTATTTGAAATTTACTTTAATTTGGTATGATGGTACTTTGTGTCTTGGGGTTTTTTCATCAATTTCACTGATCTACACCCAAGTTTAGCTAGCTAAAGCTTGTGTTATACGGTTTTGTTTTGAATTTTATTTCTTTTCCACCAATGGGTGTGTTTTGTTTCTCTAGTTGGCATTTACAGACGTTTAGAATATGATTAAGAGTAATACATTATATCATCACATGGACATTCTATGTAAAGGGTCTGACATATAAGATATAGGCTAGCTAGATTCAGAAGCGTAGGAAGAAGATAGTTTTCATGATACCAATTTTTCTAAGAAGTAAGATAGTCATTTGATACCTTTACACAAACTGTGCGGTTACATGATCAGTATACTGTAAAAAATACAAAACGTTTTATCAGATTTACACTTTGTTTCTTGCTGAAAGTTAGCAGAATATTAATGAAAACTAAGTTGAACCCATGTATGTTCTATCTATTGACTTGGTATACTCTTTACTATTAACCCTGTATATATTATAAATATAATATTTTCTTATTTTTAATAGGACACATACACCCTGGAAATATAGCTATAGAAAATCAAAGGGTTCTACTATTGGATGTGGAGAACATAATAATGGGTGCGCCGTGCTTGTACCGGCCACAGTTACGGGAACTCAGAAGGACCGCGACCGCTGAAGCCATCGACACCTACTGCTTTGGTCATACTCTGTATGAAATGGCGCTTGCAAAGCCACTCGATGGTCATTATTGTGACTACTATCCAGAGGAAATCTCAGACGAATTGGGTGAGTTAAAGATATCTTATAACCCTCAACGCCAGACCCTAAGTGACCGTATAAAAATAACATTTTTTTTTTTGTAAAATCACCGATTCCCAGACCATTTACATCGCAAAAATGCGACAGGCCAGGGCTTTTATTTGTGTAATAGATGTATAGAGAACGTGTTCCAAAAGGTTACACAGTTTACTAAGTAGAAAGATGTGAACACTTTTGAATATAGTGTTCCAAACACTGTGTGACAAAAAGATACACATGGCGCCTAATGTGTTAATCTTATAATATATCTATACATATAAATAAAATTGGAGTGTCTGTTTGTAATATTTAAATTGCCGTTTTTTACCACATGCCTATGAATATAAATACGGTACATACACCAAAATAACATTTTTTACAATTTTTGTCTGTCTGTCTGTTGTTCCGGCAAATCTCTGAAATTGCTGGACCGATTTTGATGGGACTTTTTTTGACAGGTAGCTGATGTAATAAGGAATAACATAGGCTACTTTTATTTTAGAAAAATATAGTTAAATTCCACGCGGATGAAGTCGCGGGAACAGCTAGTAATATAATAAAATCTTAAACTGCTTGTTGTTAGGTTACTACACATAATAACATTAGGAGGAATTAAGAAGACATTTTCACAGAATATGGTGTAAAATTTCGACGGAATCGGATGGCCTAGGTGGTGTAGCTGTTTAACATAACGTCTTACTGCCAATTGTCGCGGGTTCGACTATTCGTTTGTTCGTTATCTCTCCATTTTCGGATTATAGATGTATATATATTCTCTTCTGTGCCTACATAAATTTAGTTATCCTTTCTTCGAACATATTAAAACAAATTAAATTAAATTATTGTTTCTTATTGTGAAATCAATTATACTCTTCCTAATATAATTTTAATTGACAATGGATAATCATGATGCAATATGCCAAATTACAAGTTTCTAGGTATTTACAACCAATTAGATTGTAGGTTGAGACATTGTCAGAACAAGCATATTTAAATTGTAATGCTAAAACTTTTTTCAACAGAATCTGTATTAAGGCTGTGTATATCAAGCACAACATGCAAGCACGGTGGGCCTTCATTACACCACTTGCTTATGCATCCATTTTTCTACCGCGCTCCTCTGAATGGCCTGTCAAGTATGCGAGACGACGAACGAGCCCACCTAAAGTTTCCACTTCCGGTTAAAGATGAATTGAAAGCAGCTTTGACACAAATGGAATCGAGGTTAAAAAGCGATCAAAAATTGGTGAGCTAATCTATTAAACTAATCTATTTATTAATTGTAGTATCATCCCACGCATTCAGAAGTATTTAGGTAATAGTCTCAGTTTTTTTTGGATTGTAATATGACTTGGCCAAATTTGATTATGAGAATATATTTAGAAAGAGTATATGCTGTACATCACTTAATAACAGATAAAGAATATTCTACTCAAGAGAACTCAGACAAGCTTAAATTTAGATATTAGTGAGTGTCTGTAATGTAGAATGGACATTTATTATTCGACATGATGTTTTTTTTAACCAATGTTATTCATTATGGCTAAATCTTTACATGTCGTTAAAATATTATATATAATAAATAATCAGTCGTGACATCATTTTTGCTTAGTTCACAAAATTTTCTCGGTCTACTTTCAGTTACGCAGTACAAAGAGGGAAGTTCGTATTCAGGAGATATTAAGTTCTGAGGAAGAACTTAGGAAACAAAAACGAAGAGCGGTAAATAAAACATATATTTCTTGTTGCCTCTAATAAAAGAATACTAAAATACACATCTACATATAGTTATTACAGTGTAATGACTTAGCAGAAAATAATGTTGCAGATATTATAAAAGGAACACGAGAATAAAGAAACTGAAATATGTATATTGATTAATTGGTCATAGAAATCGAATGGATTAAAAGGCCATTCTAATATGGTCATTAAAAAAATTGCTTGTCAACTGATTCGTTTTTTTTAATATTTTTTTTATTAGATTCACTATGGTCTTTGTAGTAGTCATATTTATACTCTGGTATTGTTTTTGCTAACACCTTTTTCGTGAGTGATGCTTACAATAATAGTACCCGTGTGAAGGCGGCCCGGGTTACTATTGTGTTAGAGACTATAATATGATATAATGTAATAATGTGTCCTAATAGAATATAATGTAGTCTTAATTCCATTACAGAAGAAACGTGATAGTATTTGGAAGTCGACGTCGTCGCTAGCGGAGACGGTACGGTCGCAAAGTGCAAGTACAACGTCATCGCCGACACCGCCCTCTATGCGTTAGTATTCAATTACATACATACATATTCTACTCCATTTACGATATAGAGCATACAAACAAACAAAACAAGCGTAGTTTATACTATGGATACTTAAACAATAATTACAAGATAATAATTATACACGTTTGTTTATATTTTGTTAGTACATAGAAAACATCCAGGCCAATACAAACATTTTGCTACTAAAGTTCATCATCGCACTACCGGCTAAAAACTAAAATAACATTCTGATCATTTGTAATTCCCCTGATTTTGCGGATGCTCATGAGCGGCGGTAACACATACCATCAGGTGAGCCGCAGGCTCGTTTCTTATCTATTAAACTATGATTTAGTAAACGAAGTATTTCTTGTTTTATATAGCTACGGAACCAACCGGTAATGGAACCTGCACTCCGGCACCTTTAACCGCCACGGCTACCGCTGCATCAGCGACGACATCTGGATCGAGCGGCCGCACTGCACTTCTTGACGCTATCTGTTCTTTCGATAAATCACGGCTTGCTCGTGTCAACTCGCGGTGAGATCAATACAAACTTGTACAAGCTCTACGTACACTATTGAGAACATTAATGTTAAGTACTGTTTCTAGTGTACATGATGACAGAAACGCTAAATTTCAACAAACACTTATTTTCAACAGTCAGCGTGGAGGTTGATCTGATAGGGTATATATCTATATATTTTTATGATGGATGATAATGAAATGATGTACCCGTCTGCGCTAACAGTTTACGCTGGCGGGGCACCAGTGGAGGACGATAGATGAGCATAAAGTCAGGTCAGTTAGCCCATTGTGACAGTTTCGCCAGAAATTTACCACGATGTTTTCCAGAGCGAACCGCGTGGACATGTTTAGCAAACTGGCATGGTACATTATTAGCAATGGGATTATTTTTCCGCAGTACTATTAATCCCTTCGCCCCCGGTAGGGTATATTGCTAGTAATGGAATCACTAGCACCCATTACTACCAATCTCTTCCTCCTCCTCCTAGAGCCGTTGAACTAGTGAACTATGGAATAAGATCCTTTTAAACAGCTAAAAGAGATTTATAAGATATTTGGCTGTTTTTTAAATTTGGAATTCAAACTACAAAAGGACTTTATATTATTTTTGTATGTATGTAATTATGGATTCTTATTGTGGTGTAAATCAATTAGTATTTTGGGTAGGTTTTCGAATATTGTTATTGTTAATATTATTATTTATATGTATAAAATGTAATAATGGCCTAGTATTACCCGATGTATCTACGTCTACAGTGCAAAGCTATGTACTATGGCGAATTGCATTTGAATTTAAATTGACTGTGTTATTGTCGGCCGATTATGAGGAAGTATTAATGAACTGTTGAGATTAAACATATATCTAGCTAATAGGGTGCAAAGTTTATATTTATTGGATAATATATTTTACGATTTCATAGTACATAATTAATATATATTATTGTATGTACAATTATTTTGCCAAATAGATGACTTTTCTTAAATAAATTTTATTGTCAAGACTATTTTTTTATCTACTATTTTTATACGGGAAAATGAACGCAATCTCAGTCTCGTAAGCAGAGGTTTTAAGTCTACATCATCTGTAATTCTATGCTTTAGAATATTTAGAATACTATACCGACACAGATACGATATGTCATTGACTATATAAATATATTAGAGGCTTTAGATGATTGTAGCAATTTCTCTTGCAACCAGGATAATTGTCAAAAACATTTATGGCAATAGTTTAATATAACTAATAATATTATGTGATCCATCATATCTAGTAATATGAGAAAATTGGAGATGGGTATTTTCCCCATAGACTGATGGCCCGTGCTATTAATGATTTATTTTCTTCACACTTCTTGTTGTCACACTTCTTATAAAAGTATTTTTTTTATTTTGGAGAATGACCATAGTGGTCTTTTTTTGGATCTCAATAATTCAAATTAAGATATAATTTACCGAGGTAGATATTCCGCAAAGTTATCTACCTCTGTCTCTACTATTTGTACGCCAAGCAGCTTGCCGTTTCGGTTTTGTGGTGGGATATGGTGAAATGACAGGATACGGAAGCATGACATCTTTTCAACTGTTTTCCGGAATCCGGAATTCCGGCATCATATGATGACGTGATAATCGTGCTCTTCTGTATATAGGCAACAGGTACCACTCACCATTAAATGAGACCGTCAGCTCAGATCAGCTCATTTGTCATTCCAGTTACAGAAGAGTTTAAAAATAGAACAAATATAAGAACAAACAGAAATAAATTTGTGAGCGGTGCTATTATGTATTACCATTTTCCAGTGGGCTCTTATACATATGTGACAATATTAAACGAGTGATACATAATCCTTTTCCTACAAATATGTTGGTAAACGATAAAGAAATAGTAAATAAGTATAGAACCAACAATTAAAACCCTATAGAATAATAATACGAATAATAAAAATCTAGTTCTGATGACCACATAAACAATAATCACGGAAATGAGAAGGTACTTTTGGCGGTCCGTTGGAAAGTAATTAAATTTATAGCTTTTATTCAAATTAAATATAATTGAGCTGTGTCAATGTAATGTAATCATCGTACACATAATTACGGGCCCAGGACTACTTCTATACTAAACTACGAGTATGGGACATGAGTACATGAGACGCACGGAGGCCGTGCGCAGTATCCCACCTCGACATGATTCTATGGACCGCTGCATGGTATAGGATTCTTTAAGCTACCCTTTATGCATTATTCATGGATAGCTCGGAATGGATCTTTATGAATCGGTACATTAACTACGTTTTATATTATATGTACCTAGCTATTAGTTTCTAGTGAATTAAGCCAAATAATTTTAAATACAATGGAAGTCCTCTGTTTAGTTGGTATTTAAATATTGTAGCATTTTGATACTGAATTGTGGTTGCACACATAAAACTAAAATGCTATTTATATTCTTTACAAAATAAACCTATTTTAACAATTATTGTTTTGTCACTTTCTACCAAGGTAGATGTAAAGAAAGAGAGAAACCAATATTATAATTAATAGCCAAATAGGTTTATTTGCACGTTTGACACTTTTATAAACAATACAGTATATATTTTTTTTATAAAACTTTTATGATGAACAAATTTAATTAGTATTACAAAATTGTAGCATTTACTTTATTATTATGTTACATTTTTTAAATATTAAGTTTTGAAGTGATAAAATGCTGGTCACTTATTGTTTAATTGGTTTATTGAGAAATTATTTTTCGAATTATATGTATGTAGAAGCTTTAAAGTTTAGAATAAGTTAAAGGATTATAGATATTATATATTTTTTGTCCTAAGAGTAAGAGATTATACATTTGCAGTAATCATTATGCGTTTTATTCATGAATTATGAACACATCAGGAACACCAATAAAAGACTCTTATTTTAATTTTACATTTACGTTTTAATCATCAAAATAAAAACACATGTACTTACATTATATATCGGTTCAATAAAAATAGTTGAATTAAACATTTTTATGCCAACTAAAGTACAATACGTTTCAGTTATAGCTGTAAAAATCGTCTCAGCCCGAAGTCGAAATAAAATATAAAACGACTCTTTGTTGCCATAGAACATTGAATAACATTTATACAATTGCCATAAAGAAATGCTGTGGCATGTGTTCACATGACATTTCAACAGAAACAACATACATAGGAACTAAAATAAAGTTACTGAAAAATAATATTATATGTACTTAGGTACCATGTGAAGAGATTTTATTTACCCATAAGAACGTTCCACATTTTCGCCACGTCACACAATCTTTAATCAATATTATACTCTTGTGTTTAGATATAATATCTACGTCTAAAAATAATCTTATATATTACGTGTAACGAACAATACCTAAGTTAATTATTTATCATCTCAAATTCTTAATTCGAAATATAAACATTTATAAATCATATACAACATAAAGGTGGAAATTATCCTCACAATACAATAGTCAATACATATATCACAAAGACACAAAAAGTTTGCTGCTCTTTAAATTAGTGACATTTAATCACAGTGCAGCAACTTACTAGCTCATATAATATGTTATTAATTAAATACTATCTCACGAGAAAAACTAAATCGAAACAAGTTAGTACACTCTACTATGAAATGCTAAAAATAATTACAGTGAGAATTCTCAAGTTAGTCCTATGGACTATAGTAGGATTATGCTACTATGTATTCTATATATTCATAGACAATATGACTATTCTAACTCAATTACATCATCTATGTCATCGATGTTGAAGTCTTTCAGCGTCATCAGTTCTGAAAGCAATGTGTACAGATAAATAAATGGTTATAAATTACTTTTTAAACTTTTTTTTTCAATTTTTCACTAGCTGTGCCTGCGGTTTCACCCGCGTGAAATTTATAACCTTTATTTTATTCTGATGTATAAGCTATATTATAGTAAAGTTTCATCAAAATCCGTTCAGTAGTTTTTGCGTGAAAGAGTAACAAACATCCATCCATACTCAACTTTCGCGTTTATCATATTTATAAGTTTAAACACATTACAATTAAATTTTATAAAAAATATATCTTTACAACTTTTATCCCAGATGGTGTGGTCAGAGACATTTTATCAATATCAACATGTTGTAGGAGACTTAACATACATTTTACACGATATATTGGAATTCAATATAGAAATAGGTGTGTCTACCTCCAACTCTCAGATTAATTTGCTATCGTTGAGAGACAGTAAAAAAAATTACACAAAGTTCTTTAATGTTGGGCAGATTTGATCTCTCTGTCATCATAAAAAATGTAATTAAATATTATATGAAAAATCTATATATCACTAGACTAGCACATTCGTAGATAGGTGTATTAGGCATTTTTCTTAAACACACAGATTCTAAAAGAAGTTTTCACGCATACCACACCCGATCTAGATGGAGTAGTCAGAGATAATCAACAGTCGATGTTGTGGTAAAAGCAACACTTGGCTTGTAATATGTTGAATCCAATCCAATCCAATCCAAGCGATCCTACCGGCGTCTCATGTATTAATTTCAATTTAGATATTGGGGTTTCCTTCATCCAGGAGTTAATCAAAAATATAAAATGATAGATTTTTTTGTATCAGCCAGATTTGATTTATATTATAATACGACCTCTTGGGCGTGCATCATTCAGTATATTAAAACCACGACGCTCTCCAAAAGAACTTCTGTAATAAAATAATTTCAGAAAATGTCCTCGGTCTTGTCCTTATTATAGGATAGTTAACATAATTTATGCTTACGGTCAGTCTTCATCTTTTTTGATGAACCAACGGCAGGTGTAGTGGTCGACCGCTTTTTACTCGTATTCAAACTCTTGGAACTTGAAGATGATGACGGCGTCAGCTGGGTCTTTGCAGGTCTATACATAAAAGTGGTATATAATATAATAAGTCTTTCTCACAAAAAAGACTTATTTGAATGTTGATAAAATTAGAATAGTTCATTTAAATATAATTCATATCTATTTATATTTAATAATAATAGTAATCTCAGGCCAACTCACACAGCGCCGTCTAGACTCAAGTTAAGCTAGCTAAAGCTTGTGTTATGAGTACTAGATAACTGATACAAATGTATAGATCTAATTTCTTATCGTAAATACATACATATATTATACATAGAAAACACCCAGACACACAAATAATCATACTCATGACTATAAATGTCTGTGCCGTGCGAGGAATCGAACCCGCGACCATCGGAAGTATGGCGGTGTGCTAAGTCACTAGACCACCAACACCGTAAAAATTGTATATTATACTACATAATTACGGGTGCAAAAATTTAATAAAATAAAATGCAACATACATAGTGATCGACTTCCGGACTTCTGTAGATTTCGTGGTAGTACCCTTTAGTGAGCTCCCTGATGTAGGCGACGAATTTGTAATGGATTCTGTCAGATCAACCATATTTATTTGTTTCGAATTGACATCTGATTTCTTTAACAAGTCAAATTTATTTTCAGTGCCAACGTTTTTAGACTTATCTTTCAATAATTTACTTTTCTCTATAATGATGCTACCTGCATCATTATATTTTGTTCTTATCATTAATCTCGTGGGTGGTATATTTGCTTGTTGTTTCAAAGAAGACTGAGATCCCATTGAGTGCAATTTGGAAACTTGTGGCTTATTACTTTGTGATGGCAAAGATTCCTTGGTATTTACTTTTGACATTACCTCTTGTACTGAAATAGTTTTTCCCTTACGTAAACTTTTTGTAGAGCATTTTATAGAACTTGTGGGAATTTTAATAGTTAGAGCTCCTTTGTTAATATTGCTATTTGGCAGAATATTCGATTTAGGATCGGGTGTCTTATTCAATTTATCATAATTGAGATGAGACCGTTTCGGTTTTGGTGCATCATATGCTTGTATATGGACTACGTCTTTCAGGATAGAAAGCGGGTCATCGGGACTTGAAGGTCTCGATGAAGCTGCGCTACTCGTGCTACTTGATGTTTCAATTAGTGTTTGTACTGGTGTTTCCTTATTTAATTCATTTTGAGGTACAGTACTCTGCATGTGTTTTGTATGCAGTAATTTATCTTCACTGACGCGAATGTTACTTGTGTTAGATGTCGATGGTCTGGATGTATTTTCAATCGAAGTGTTGCGCTGATCCTTATTGAAAGTTGATTTGAAAATCATATTAGTAGAAACTAACTGAGGTACTGCTCCCGTAGCCGTGTTGGGAAGAATAGATTCTGTTGCGGCTGATAAATTAACAGTTGGTGGTGGTGTATTAACGATCTGAGATTTACTGTTATTTACTTCGTCTAATGATATTGGACGAATAGATCTTATGTCTGGAGTTTGATTTTTAGATGCAGTCTGAAATACGATGTAACGTGGAGAATTAGACTCGTGACCTGCTACATTGATCACAGTATTTGTACCTGCTTCGGGAGTATTTTGCATAAACATAGTAGGATTCGAAGATTTTCTTTTTGTCAATATAATAGATGCAGGGTTGAGTGTTGTGATAACCCCTGAAGGGAGAGGTGCGGCTGTGGGTGTCACCTGTGAGGGAGCCTGGATTGGCGCTCCATGTTGCATGTTAGAAGCCAAACGTATTAAAGCACACGGTGTCGGGCCTTTTACTACTTGGGGCTCCATTGGTGGAGACTCCTCATCACTATCTAAACATATTGTATCCGTATAAATGTTGGTATTAGAACGTTCAGGATTGACTAGAGCAGGATTAACTGCTGGCGTGTAAACACTTGTGTCAATGGAAGCAGACACAGCGGAAATAGTTGACACGTTGGAGTTTATTATTGTTTTAGGCGCAATTGTATGTGTATTGCGTGTGTTAGGGGTAGACTGGTCAGGTACAGACAGAGGCGTGGGCTCGACATGGACATTTGACGATTTCTTTGTGGCACGCACTTTAGAAAGAATAAGTGGTTGTGCTTGTCGTCGGGGTTGCAGAATTATGGGAGGTACCGATACGGGGGGTACCGAGGCGGGGGGTATTGAGGTAGGAGGTACTGAGGTGGACAGTAGCTCGGGTAGTACATGATCACTGACAATGCAGACGTCATCATCATCCGGTAGTATACACTCCACTTGAGGCTCGTGTCGCATATCTTCTGTTGGTACAGTCCTTTTGAACCTAGAGAAATAGAAATATATATAATAATTTGCGGCGCGTCTGTTTTATTATAAATCATATGTCTATTTTATTTGGCTACGGCTTGTATGGTGCGTATAATGAACAGTTAAGGGGAATAAGAGCGATATCTTATGCATATAATGTATCAATTTATGAGATGAATTTTGGAAATTCTAAAGTACACTATTAGTACGAGATCCCGCTGCAGAATCAGTGTACCCATCGAGTGTTTGCTGAAAACCAAATTTTTACACATATTTATCATTAGGAGAATTTATATCTACCAGGTTGCCTATCAAAATGTGGCCGCTAGTATTTTTAATTAAATTATTAATAATTCATAATCCGTAAGAAATTTCATTGACTTGTTTTTTCAGTAAAATGTCGTTCACTTTACGGCAACATCTATAAAGACTGAAAAATCATGGTTGCCGTTGCGCACCTGGCCGCACCTCTTCGCAGCCAGGTGTACACAGGTATGATTTTATTACATTTATACACCCACAACGTACATACATAATTTATATATCAAATTAAAGCAAATTTTTTTCTGTTTATTATCATATACGGTTGCCTAATTAAATCTGGCCGCAAATAAGGGTTGCTGGCTAATAAATATAGTAAATATTAAAAGTAGAGTGAAAGAGAGCTAGCGCGTAACACCACTAGTCAAACGAGAATAGCGATTGCCAGCTGTCGGACAGTTTAAAGCCATTGCGCATGCGTCAGATGCTAGTGTTCTCAACCTCCGATTCAAACAATAGTAGGTACGCCTCAAAATAATAAATACTCCAAGAGAAACGTCTTTCTTTTCAAAATAAAAAACATATAACTTCTAAACGCCGATATAAAATGTTCGTATACATTCTTATATATTGACTAAGTAAAATATAACTTACAATCCGACAGGCACGACATTGGGCGCGGGTGTAAGTCGAGGGAGGGTAGTAGGGACGCCGGACGGCATGGAAGATTTTTTCATAGTTTTGCTCTCGGGCTCGGGTGTGTTCTTTAGTTTTTCCGATTCCAATATGGTCTCATTCTGTTTCTGCGCGGTAGCTTCTTCTTGGGTTTTAATTGTTTTATGCAGCTTCTCTAAAACGTCTATTCCCAATACCTGAAATAATTACACAAATATGAAAATCAACAATCATGTCCATATTTTGCATATCAAGAAAATAGTTTCAATGTTTAATTTCATTTTCACAATATACAAAACAAATCAGCCTGTAATTTAAAATAAGCATGATTATTTTAAATTACAGACTGATTTGTTTTGTAATTCATTCTACTAGAATGATTTTGTCTCATGGTAAATGATAACAGTATTTTTTATGGCCAGACTTGTTAATTATTACAGAACAATTCACACAGCGCCATCTAGACCCAAGTTAAGATAGCTAAGCTTGTGTTATAGGTGTTATGGGTACTAGATAACTGATACAAATACATAGATTTTTGCTGTGCGAGGAATCGAATGCGCGACCATAGGAAGTAAAACGGTGTGCTACACCGCTAAACCACTGAGGCCGACTGAGGCTGTCGAAGAGAAGTCGTGAATATTATGGGACACCGATCATGAGAAACGGCAATGTAATACTTGCAATTAATTAAGACTGGTAAGACCAACTAAATATTGTCATCTAAGCACTGCACAAGCTGTGCCACCCCACCTTGTATTTTACTATTTTTATTTAGTATGTAAGATCGATATTTTAACGTACAATTGTCTGTAATATATATCATCTCAACCGACAATAACGTATTATTATCTCGCAACAAATATATCATGCCCAATGAAGAATGTTAACTAATTTTGATTATTAGCTCTCCATATTCTCTGTCAAAAATAAAAAATATAAGTGAAAGAATTACTTCAATACGTCAATTAGTTTCTGATTTATAGAAGTAAACGTGCGATGCGGACTCGTGTGACGGTGTGACGTCATAGTACAACAGTCGCTTAGTCCGCTCGTCGTCTTACGTTTCATTATAAATTATAAATACCTTCAACAATAACCAAACCAAATACTAGGAAATCATGTGTTATGCCGAAACGTACAAATACAACCACCAAAGTAATAGTTATTTTTACTATAACCACAAAAAAATCCAACAAATTTGATAACAGTCGTTGCGTCCTCTCTTCGACGATGTAGCCACATTAAAAATGCTATAGTACGTTTACAGCCTCTGTTGGCGGCACAATCTTCGCAAGTTACATTTAAAACTTCGTGGTTTTAAATGTACTGCTCTTTTTACTTGTATGTAACCGATAGCACCAAAGCCGTCTCTTGCCGACTTGGAATAAGTTACAAATAAAAATAAATAAAACGGCCTATTAATAAGACAAATGAAAATTAAAAAAGGTTTAGTTCAACCCACTACATTTGCAATAAATCAATATATGTGTTTAGTTAAATTTACTAAAAGAGGTACTTATATTCACATATGTACATACGTACGTATATACGTACCTATAAAACTCTAACACACATTTGTTCTCTATAACGTAAAATTTAAAAGGTTTAGTACTTCTGCCTATTTGAGTTGCAATAGTTGCAATATGATATCATTTGGGTATTTTTTTTTTAACAAAACACTTTAAAACAGATAAGTAATTTTCTAAATAGCAAGAAAAGTTAACTTACTTTTTTATTCCTCGCATTTCGGCGGCAACGAAATCACTAGGTATTTGTTGATAAATAATGGGCAACCATTAGTGCATTTATTTTAGGCAGATCATCCGATTGCTCTTTTTCGATTCCTACATCCATTACATTATGAAAATGAAACAAAATACTGCACAAACTCGGCGACTCGCTACTAAGCGGTGCGGACCGTTGTAAAATGACGTCACATGTCACGAGACTGTTAGCGGGACTCGAAATTTATTGTAAGTTTAAATGCTTATAAAATCAAAACTAATAGGTATTTTTGACTAAAACAAAAACTTAATATGTTTGTATACATACAAGCTTTACTATACCAAATTTTCAACCGATTTGGCATACCTATTAACATTCTTCATTACAAAAATTACATTCATATCATAACATATCAAAAACTATATAAGTGAAAAAATAAAACAATAATCGTCACCTTTACAGCGATGTCGTAGATAGGGCCACTAGTTAAAGGTCTGCCTGTAGATTCTATTTCCTTCAATGCCTTATAGGTGCTGTACTGAGCGGCCAGGGTAGCCGCATCGTCGTCTAACATAGGGTTCCCATTCAGGTAAGTGTGTGCTACGATTTTAATAAAGTTTTTATTAGTAAGCAGCGATGAATGGAGTGGAATAACTTCCGTAACAGCCGCCGGAGGCTCCTGAACCGGTTTCGGAGCCATAAGTGGCTCATCATCATCATCGCTCAATATTATACTGGTTTCGATTTCCGTAACTCCTTTTGGCTGTACAGACAGCGCTTTTTCCTTTGATGTTTTATCATTTGTTGATTGTTTTTTATTCTTCTTGGACTTATTTTTCATTTTTTTCACATTTCTGTTTTCAAGATCTTGGATTACTTTATCTGGCACTGAGTCCGTAGAAATATCGTCGTCACCTAGATCCACTATAGAATTGTCTGTGACCTTTTCTATGTATTTTTGTGCTTCCACTGCGGCCTTCCTTTTTTTCCTGCCGTCAGTATTGTCAGAAGTATCCTCAACCGATGTTGACGCACTGGAAGTCGACGGAGTCTCTTCAAGTATATATCCTGGCTTCTTGCATTTTGGGCCCGGTTTCGGACTAGGCCTTGCCTCTGGCACTGGACACGTCTGGCTGTCCTTCGGAGTCCATGTATTATTTACCGATTCACATACAATATCAATAACGCCTGGTAGAGTGATGTCCTCTTTTTGAAGCAACACATTAGCAATGCTACCAATCAGTTCGTTGTTTGCAAAGTTATGGGGTAATGAGCTGGTCCGCCCGGTGGCGACCAATTCGCGGACGCCTTTAACCAGTAGTGGCACTGCCTGCGCGCCGTAATTATTTTGAAAGTCGTATTTCACCAATAGTTCTGAAATTCTCTTCACAATTTGTTCTTCTTTGTATTTATCTAAATTTAATGCACTTTGGCTAGTTGTAGACAGTGGAGTTTCCGACGCTTCAGGTGATGTCTGAGATTTTATTGAATTCCTTTTATTTTTCTTTTGTTTATTGTCGGAAGGTTTGAAGTCAGAATCAGTTTTGATATCTTTAATTGGTTCTTCTTTAATATCGACCGCCTTCGATTCAGTACCACACGGTCGTTTATTAGGTCCTCTCTTAGTAATATTGAGCACTTGCATTTCTGTAAAGATGCAAATGCAAATATTAACATTTGGAATATTATACGGCAATTTATTAACAACTTTGGATAGGTTACTAAGAAATTTCTCCCATACTGTATGTTAAAAGCAATTTGTCTTTGTTACTATGATAATTTATAATATATGTGCGATAATATAGTAGTTTAGTTGATGTTGAAATCTACAATAGGCTGACGATATACAAGTTTCACGTAAATCCATTGACCTAGTATCGCGTAAGTTCATGTGTAATATTACGTATTGTTGTCAACAATATTCACTCTAATTAAAATCAATTAACTGTATGTTTTTTATTGCATTTAATTTTAAAATAAATAGTATAATACTTAGTAGAAATTATTGAGCGGAAAACTAATTCCTATCTGATGGATACTTAAATCTGAGGGCATAGCTAGGGGTTCGAACCTCGGTTCAGACCGTCGTGATCAGTTTGAATGGAGTCGGAGGTCAATCGGAGCGGACTCGGGCGAGCGGGAGTGCACCGGCACTCCTTCACACAGGTGAAGTCTGCGGGCGTCGACTCCCCGGTCGATCGCGCGGGACGGCGTGGGTGGGGTCGTCGTCCTCCCCGGCGAGAACGGTGTGGTGGGTGTACGTACGCTTGCCGGCGTGCTCCTGCTGGAACTGCATCCAGGCGGCGGCGCGCTCGTGCTCGGGCAGCGCGGGCTCGGAGGCGCGCAGCAGCGAGTCGTGCTCGTGCACGGCGTGCAGCGCGCTCAGCCGCGCCACGCGCAGCAGCGCCACGTCGCGCACGCCCGCCGCCACGCCGCCCAGCACGCCCGCGCCCTCCTCGTCACATCTACCACGCGCACACACGTATTGTTCTCAGTTGAAGACCAAAAAAAAAATGTTTTTCCAATTTTGTGCAATTCGTACGTAAGCGTAATGGCAGCTCTTAATCAAAATAAATAAATAAACCTGGACGATTCACACAGCGTCATCTAGTTCCACGGTGAGCAGAACTTGTGCAAAGATATGCGTAATATACATAAAAAATACTCAGAGCGATACAATCCTATTTATGAATACAATTGTTTATAATATGCGAAGAATCGAACCCGCGACCATCGGAAGTAAACCGCTAGACCACAGAGGAAGTCAATAAAAACTAACCACAATTATATTTAACTTTTTAAACACGATAATTCAAAGTGAAGTAAAGAACGTGCGTGTAAAGGCAGTTATTAAAAATAGTCGAATTGAGAACCTCCAATTGATTAAGTAGATTGAAAATAACTATTACCCTTTCACTAATAACGGCATACCAATATAGAATTCAATTGTTTAAAGTAAATAATTGCATATGACTAACCTGTACAGTTCGGTGAGTTCTTCCATGTTGTAGTGACGGTCAATTTGTTGTTCATCGACGACCCGACACGACACCGCTTGCTTCGTCACCGATCGTTCGTATATCTTCTGTTCCATGGTGCCCTAATAATTCAAATTTTCAATAATGTACTACTACATCTATAGTGATAAAAAAAGGGTTTAAGTACCTATATCCAACGGAATTGCTATTGATAAGAAGTCGCTTATATTAATATATGTATTATAAAAAAGGTTATGTGGTAAATTTAAATGGGGTCGAAGAGAAAGCGACATGTATATCAGCGACATCTCTCTACAATGTTCTAAAAGATCTCAGCCTGTCTAGAACTACTGTGGGTTTTATACTAGAACGTGTATCGGAATTTACATTAGCAGGCTCCTACCAGATTTGCCTGGGAAAAGAGAGAAATACGAACCGGGAAGGTGAGTGAAATACGTCTGCAAAGGGCTCAATAAACCTACACCTGGGTCACAAGCCCCGAGAATTCCTCGGTCAAATTTGAAAACATGGAATGCTAAGAAGTTCGTCTCTGGCAATACAACGTTTGTTTACTATATAGCGCATTCCTGATATGTGTATTAATTTTAAATTGATGACTATGTACACCAGTGATTGAGAAATATATATAATAGTATTATTTTGTACGTACAAGTGCGACGAGCCGATATATGTAACAGTCTTTCTTCTGTCCGAAGCGGTAAACGCGGAAGATGCTCTGTATGTCATGTGCGGGGTTCCATGACGTGTCGAGGATGATGACGCGGTTGGCCGCCGTCATGTTCAACCCCAGCGAGCCCGCGCGGGTCGAAATCAGGAACAATCTGTGGTCATAACACGAGCATATTTCATACTTTAGGTATTGAAAATTCAATAAGTCAAATGTTTAAGAGTTCGAAGGGGAATAGGAAAGAAGGAATGAGGGAACTAGTTTAAAATATATAAAGTCAGTACATTGATTAATCCATTTGCAATAATATTAAATGAAATATACATCCTAGATGGAAAAATAACTATTATCTATATGTATGTAGAAATCCACCAAGAAAGTATATTCAAAAATCCTCTCCTATGTAGGAGACATAAATAAAGAAGTGTTAATGTGACTGTAAGAAACTTTCTTATTCTTAAAGAATGTGTGACTTAAAAATGTATTCTGAAATTTAATACAGAATAGATGTCCCGCTAGCCAAGAATAGGCCAAGGTGACCCTCCCAGTCTAAAACTTCTGTGATAATAAAGATAGTCCAGTGAAAGTCAGCTGCGGCTCCTAGCAGTAGCAACCTCACAAACAAGTAAACAGATATAATATATATTATATATAAATGATACTGACTTGGTTTTAGTATTCTGTTCTGCGTTGAATTCGCGACACCATTTTTGCCGCACTTCAGCGGGCACGGAGCCGTCGAGTCGGTAGTAGTCCTGTCCTAAACTCCACTTGTTGATCTTGCGCAGGAAGAACTCCAACGCGTCCATCGTATATAGCGATGTGGAGAATATCAAACTAGAAGGGATATATATATATATATATATATATATATATATATATATATATATATATATATATATATAGTTGTTATATTAATAATAATAACCCTGGACAATCAAACAACGCCATCTAGTCCCAAGCTAAGCAGAGCTTGCGTTATAGGTACTGGGCAAATAATATAAATACTTCAATAAGTTTTCTTTCGTAAGTAGAGAATAATATACAAAGAAACGGTTTACTAGATTTCAATGTAGTTTTCGAAGTTGTTACAAGCTTCCCTTAATATTTAATGGAAGTTGCATTCTAACTATATATATACTAGATATGAATAACAGTAGTCGCCTATTGTTATTTAGAATACCCCGCGTACATAGTCAGGGGTGAAGCTAATATCAAACATAACACTATAGATAACATACTCACACTTTGTCCCCGAGTTTAATGCACTCGTCGAGTATACGGAATACTGCGACAAATTTATTGGAACTGTCGAGGGAATCCAGCATGGCGCCGCCCTCGAGATACTCCATCCACCATACTTCGGTGTTGCTCGGCTTTACATCCTCAGAGGCGCCTAGATCTTCGGTAGCCAAATCGTCTTCTAATTTTTCAGCTGAAAAAAAAAAGAATATTAGAGCAAACATCAGTTCTACTCCCAAGTTTCAAATAGATTTCAATCCAACCCGTTTTGTACTATTTTAAATAGATAAAATAATCCGTTAGTTATTTCATTGAGTATATAATTGCTTCTCATAAACTTTGTACTCGTATACGGAACATAGCAATGAATGTGATCGGAATGAACTAGCTTCAAGTGTATACCCGCTGATGATTTTATAGTGATTCCAGTTTAAAATCCTCTGCAATTCCAGTTTAAAACCATAGATAAACGATGAGACAAATTCTCATCGTTTATCTATGGTTCATGTAAATTGTAATAGACAAACAAAAATTCTAAACTGTTTTAAAATTCTTTCTCATATAGAATATCAAAATATCAGAGGCTAACATAGGTTATTATCTATACATACAATTAAAATTGGAGTGTCTCTTTGTAATATTGAAATAACCGTTTTTTTAATACATCCTTATGAATATATATACGGTACATATACTAAAATAACATTTTTTAACATTTTTGTCGGTCTGTTTTTTCCGGCTAATCTCTGAAATGGCTGGACCTATTTTGACGGTACTTTAACAATTTTGTACGTACAGGTGCGACGAGCCGATATATGTCATGTAACTTGTCGTAAAGTCTTTTTTTGTCGTAGTCTTAGCGTTGCCTCTTTGAATGGCCATACTCAGTCTCTGGGCAAAGTAGCTACCAGCTTTCGGGTACAAGTCACCTCGATGAGCCGCCTTGAAATACTCGTCGAAAATAATTTAGCTTACAGACTCAATGAGCCCGCCTCCATGGCAAATGACAAAAACCAATTACCTTTAACTTTTTTGGCGAGAGTGTCTCTTGTCCGTATCTGGAAGTTATGCAGCACCTGCGGATGCGACCATATCTTCTGCAGCACGTGAAAGTCTTTCAATATGTTCTGTTTACTTTCTTTGGCATAATTCGCCAAGTAATGCTTGTACAAATCCCATTGGCACTTAGTGAGTGATATGAATACTGTGTATTCATATTTCTTTGGTAAATAAGGATATAGAACTGAAGCTTCTTGTCGCTGTAAACATCCTTCTAGTACTTTATGAAGAATGTGAGTTCGCGCCTTCATCAGTTTTATATCTTCTTCTATGGAGTCTCGGTGTTGTCCATTCATTATTGGATTTTCGAACCTACGTAATAATCAAAATATTAGAGTTACTAGTCATACAGAGAGTATGGCATAATCTAAAATATATGTTTTATTCCTCAGATGAGACGGGCCTTTAAGAGCGTAAAAATAAGTGCGATTTACTTTACTACTGTGAATAGCGCACAAAAATAACATCTAATACAATTTAAATTAATTCAAATAATGTATTACCTGTTTGAAAACTCTGAATATGTTCCAAGTAAATTAGGCTTCACAAAGTCAACCATGCAGTAATACTCTCGCAAATTATTCTGCATCGGAGTACCGGTTAGTATAATCCTGCGTTTTGTGACGACCCTACTCATTGCTACTGCTAGCACCGAGCAATCGTTCTTCAGCAAGTGACCTTCATCGCATACAATTATGTCTGGTCCAGGGTCCAGCAATGCTGTTCTTATTTTGTTTATAATAGTCGGCCTGACGTCGTCTATAATCGGATCGAGAGTGCTCAGATTACGAAACAACTCATAGCCGATTATGAAGATGCCGCCTCCATTGTACCAGTCCTCGAGTTGGTAGGCGCGCTCGTACGTCTTCTTTAGCTTAGATAGTTCAAATACCTGTTGAAATACATATTATTAAAACTGTAACCCTGATTTTAACGATAAATACGCAATAAATAAAGAACAAGTTCAATAATTTTATAGAATGATGTTATATGGAAAATGAATATGCCAGCATTTTTACAGAAGTTTTGACATAAAACACATTCAATGCTGACGCACATCTTCAATTTATAATATTCGAAGGAATAGCATCGTGTCATACCTATAATGCTATGAAACAGTTAAGTTTCTATAAACAGCATGTAGATACAAAAATATTTTTATGCAACTGACCTGAAGCTTTCTTCGCAATTTCCTTTGCTTGAAACAAAATTATAAAAAATACTATTACATACATGGACATATAACGGTGTATTTAATAGAACAGGAAGGTCCCCATGACTAAGTACCGGGTACATTTATAGTTTACAGATCGTCAACAATTTTTTTTTATTTATAACACTTTATTGCACTTATATTGAAAGGATATAAACAAAATTAATACATTAAATTATAAACCTAAGACAATAGGGGTCCTATCGCTAATGTAATATCTTCTAGACAAACCATTTTTAAAAACATCAAATAAATCATCTGTAAAATTGTAGATTTGGGGGGCATTTTTCAAACTTTCTTTAGGCTATATCTTGACCCATGTTTAATCTGTATAAAATATATTCTGTGGGAATTCCTCCAAGTCTTTATATGTGATATCTTGTTAATGTGTATTAACACAATAGACACTTTTAGTCCCATTACGATATGTAAAGATTATTATATGTAAAGAAAGAATAAGACGAAACTTAATTATATAGAGACAAACCTTAATCTGGTCGGTGACCGGCCCTATCCACTTGTGTATTTCGTCGACCCAGTTAAGCACGGTGGACAGCGGGCAACACACCAGCACGCGCTGCATACCGACGCCCGGGTGTGTCAATACCTTTAAAGGAAATATAGATAGATAGAATATTATTTTTTTCTAATAAACAGTGAAAAAAAGACACAAAAATTTTATTAATGATTACAGTAATGTCTATTTACAATAAGGCGATTTTTTAAATAAAAAATACTATATATTATTTATATTTAATATTTATCTAAGAGGACTGAAGCTGTCGGCGACCCAACGGCCACCTGTTCTACGAGCTACGTGTCCTGCCCATTGCCACTTCAGTTTCGCAATTCTTCGGGCTTTGTCGGTCACTCTGGTTCTTCTGCAGATCTCCTCATTTCTGATATGATAACGCAGAGGAACTTTAAGCATAGCCCTCTCCATTGCCCTTCGACTGACTATGAGCTTATTTATGAGGCCCATAGTTAACGACCTCGTCTTTGTGCCGTAAGTTATCATTCGTCTTGAGACATTCCGGAAATTTTGGCAGAAATAGGTTCGACAAATTACTAGAATTTTTAGAAAACGCATGATATTTTAGTTCTTCAGAATGACAATGCATGACGGGTGTTATGTCCGTCACAAGACCATTGATGTCCGTAGTACGTATGTATATAGGTAGCTGTTGCTATTTTCCAGCAGATGGATCATCGGCTTGTTTGTCATACCACTTAAATACAAAAGAAAGTACTTACGGTATGCAGCAGCGCGAGTACTTGCAGCGTCTTCCCGAGACCCATGCAGTGTGCGAGGATGCAGCCGCCGCCGAGGTGCCCGCTAGCGATGTGCGACAAGCTTTCAAAACACGCGTCCCACATGAACTTCACGCCCTCATACTGTAATTTAAATTATCACTTATTAAATTAAATGTAGTAAATTTAATTCAATGAAATAATAATATTAAAAAAAACTATTTAATATTTTGTTTATTTATTTCAGTATGTCAATATTTTGAGACTGTGGCAAACTATACATTCATACATAGATCTAGCTGTTGTCAGCAACTCATCGGATTTTATAAAAATAAAAAAATTAATCTATTTAACTAATTTAGTTCCTGTTGAAAAATAATTTACCATGCTTATACTACACCTATTAAGAAAAAAAAAATATATATATATTTGTTTACTTGCCTGATGCGTTTTCATGACCTTGGTGAAGAAGGGATGTATTGTGACTACAGGCCGATTCTCATTGAAGTCGTACTCCAAGCATACCTCTCCATTTATGACTAGAACATTCACGCCCTCCTCACAACCGAGCAGTTCTCTCTGCAAATAAAAACAATTTTTCTGTAACATAAATTCTTTAGTGATTCTACCGAGATGAACCGCCGGATTTGTTTGATAACAACTCATCAGACAAATCCGAAATACGGCGCGGCAGTAGGTTTAGCGAACATCGAATTTATAGGAATATGTAATATTACGTCTTACGTAACGTCACGCCAATTTCAGTCATATAACGTTGCCATTAAATGCCCCCCCCCCCCTTCTCCGTACGCACCTTACCGTATGACGTAATTATTACATTGCCCCTAATGTATGTAAAGTTGTCTTACCAGCCTGCTTTGTCTCGTATTTAATCTACGTTTTCTCTCCAACTCTTCCATATTGGCTATCACAGTACCGCGTGCTAACGACTTCTTGTCTATGACCTGAAACAAGACGCTAACCTGTCAAACCTTGTTTCGTATAGTATCAGAGTCGACTTTGACCTGATATGTGGATTATATCATATGCACTTATACCAATGAAATGATGGTTACATCATATTAATTAACTGCATTAAGAACTTACTTTTCTTATATTTCGACGACCTTTCGCGTACCCTTGGTAGTGTCTTTTGCCTGGCTGTACCGAGTCCGGATTCTCACCAAGAAGTTCCTTTGTTAATATACTGTAAAATATGAATAATTATAATCTATATTAATAATTTCGTCAAGGGGTACAGTAGACTCGAACAAAACCTTATATGAATAACAAAACATAAAAAAATATTGATTTCGAGTCGACAACATATATCCGCAAAATTCAGATTATAGAGTATTTCGTTAAATTCTAATGACACTGACAAACAATCCGCAGTCGCCATCTTTTCATTTCACTAGCTAACAACCGATCAACACATCGCGTGCGTTTGCACCAATTAGGTATCCATCACCTATTACACACAAGTTGCCGGGTATTTGCATTTTTTAAATAATGTTGTGTAGCACTATCCGAAATTAAATTATTTACCCATATTTGTAGGTTATACAGAAATAATATGTGGGTGTTTATTTAAAAAGCATTAACACAAAATTAATAAAGCATAGGTATTAATAAAAAATATGGTTGTTTTTGCGGGGGCTCAACCCCAGAGTGGGGGCATAGCAAATGGCTAACGCGAGGCGAGAGGAAAAGTTGAAAGGAAGAGGAAATGGATAGGAAGAAGGGGAAAAGGACGATGGTGGACCACGTGGTCGTACTGAAGGAGCGACAGAAATAGGAACTCAGCAAGTCCCTGAGAGTCACGCGGACTAAAAAAAAAAGATTGAAAAAAACTTATGTAACCTTTTTATTTATTTCTTTTTTTATGTAACCTAGGGGTTTTGATCCAACCTTCACCTCCCTAGAGGGGTGTGGAAGACCAGACAGTCACTATAACCATAACCAGAAAAGTAGACGTTTTAGTTCAAATGTCATTGTCATTTAGTTTTGCATAGTGATTTACTTTGTTTGGATTACACACATTATGCCGAAATAGATACGAAGTAGAAATACATACGATTTTCGGCACGACCAATGAAATATTTTATTTTCATAAAATATTGGTCGTGTCTTTGTTTGGTCTTTTGTTTGATGATACCTGTATCATTTTGTTAACATCCGAATCTCCTTGCATTTGATAAATATTGTCACAATTGTGGAAAGTCGGTGCAGCGAAGGGCTCTCTAAAGATGGTGAGTAGTAATCTAGGTCTGTATGTAGGCAGATTGTGTTTTTAAGTGAATTTTGTTCTATGTTTTCTACTTAAAGTGAATAAAATAAGTACTTATTTACTTCCAGTTGACGATCAAGAATGGGAAAGATGTTTGGATGAAACAATTGGTTTTAAATATCAGCCAAAGTAGAGAGTACTAAAACAAAAAGGTTTACAGAGAATAAACCTTAAAAGTTATTCTTCTTTTGTTAATTTATTTCGAATGTTATTTAAAATAAAAATTATTTGTATAAAAACTTTTGCACTTTTTATTTACTATATTTATTAAACACAATGAACGAAGCTATACGAATCTATACCTTGATTACCTTTAATATTCCTTGTGAACTGATGGCTACAGAAACATCTACCCATATTTCACCCGGGCGAAGCCGGCTTTTCATCTAGTATAATAATAACCTTGTAAAAGTCTTATAAAAGGTTAATTATTTCAATCCAGGTTTATATTTGTAAACAATGAAATAAACATATGCCAATAAATGTGTCTTGCCGTACTTGATATTTCTTGTCAACTAAAGTAGCTAGCCGAACTGGACGGTAGGTATAGCGATAAAAATTATGAGATACATAAAAAGCCTACAAGCTGAAAATAAATGATTTTGAGTTTGAGTCTGACCCAAATTCGTCGTTATAAAATCAAATCTGGGCGATACAAAAAAAATTGTTAGTCAATTTAAGTTATTGACTTTTCGGTGAAACATCGATATCAAACGATTCTAGAGACGGCGATAAGCGCGCGCCTTGCCACATTGGATTAAAAAAAACTGTGTATCGCTAGTAGGGTATAGTATAAGTAGTGAAATTACATAACAATAAGGACGATACCTTACTCCTATGGAATGGCAACACATGGCAACGTGATGTCTATAGCGCTGTTAATGTATACAAGCCACGGTTACCGCCAACCATTACGTGGACAATCAGGTTGTTTGCTATACCAATTACAAAAACGAGCTAAAACAACTTACCCAAGTTGTTTCTGCCTCTCCAGCCGCTTTTTAACAGATCTGCGAGACCGCCTCTGTTGCTTTACGCGGATCTCAGGACCGTCGCCGCGCCTTTCAATGAACTCGTTCACAATCTTGGTGCGTTTAGCATCATCAGCGCTAAAAGTATTTTATATAATATTCCATTAAAAACCTTTCTTTCTAACACTGACCTACCTTGTAATGACAAGTTTTGTTACATTATTTAATTTTATTAGCAATTTTTGTGACTCCTTATAATAATCTAACAGTATCTATATGTATTCAGATATAAAATTTACTGTATGTTGTAGTATCTGCATAAATCTACAGTAAATTTCATTTTAATGATGTCCAGTAGTTTATGTTGAAAGACTAACAAACATCCATACTAATATTAACATTCACGTTTATTATATTAGTACAACAAACATTTGTCAACATGTATTAATTACTAGCTGACCCACGCAACTTCGTCTGCATCACACTTGACATTTATTATTATATTTCGCCCAATTTATATGTTTCTAAATTATAGCCTATGTGTTATTCTGATGTATAAGCTATATCACTGTAAAGTTTAATCAAAATTCGTTCAGTAGTTTTTGCGTGAAAGAGTAACAAACATCCATCCATACTCACAAACGTTCGCATTTACAATAATAATAACATGATATCAATATATACGACTGGACTTACATAGCAGTATCTTGCTTTTTTTCAAGTCGCTTGAGAAGTCTTTCTTTCGTGGTCACCCACTGCTTTTCTTCCTCAGACGAGGAGTCTTCCTCTTGTTTTATATTGTCTCGAGTCAATTGGTTTTTTGATGAATTTTTCTAGACCCAAATAATTGATCAACATTGAATATAATAAAAACAATATAATACACATCTGTGACATATTCTATAAACATCTATTTGAAAGGAGTTTTTTAAATTTAGCAGTATAAGTGATAAATTTGTTTTATCTAGTGCCCACTGTACTAGAAACAAAATCAAATAACATTTTAATATTAAAGGAGCTGGACTTTAGTTAATGCACTAGATACACAGATGACTTATATGTAATGTTGTCCATGTTTATAAATGTGTAATTATGTGCGGTTGGTAACGATCATTAAACGATATATTCCGATAGCCATCCTGAATATTTTGTTAGTAGTTTGTATCGCAACAGGTTTCTTTAAGACAAAATTCGAAAAACACGATAAGTTATCTACTTGTTTTTTTTTTAAGAAAAACAGTCACACAAATTAATGATTTGACTAAGAAATTCTAAAACTATTACATCCCCCCTTAAAGTATGCCAAAGGTTAAAAAACAGTCATGTTATAATAACTCACCAGTGTGTTTCTAGTTATTGGTCTATTTATAGAAGTATCAGGTATGTCATTGCCAGCAAGTACTATTGGTGCATGCAATATTGTTAGTTCTTTATTCATCATTTTATCAGCAGTCAACATGACAGACTCAGGATTTTCAACTAGTGCTGGTTTTGATTTAGATTTAAAGTTCGGTTTCCTTTGGATTAAAGGCTTGTCATAATCTGGTTCGACTTTTATTTCTATTTTTTTTTCTGTCTCTACTTCAGTATCATTATCATTCAAAAGTAAATTTTTAGCTAAATTATTTTCTGTTTGGTTTGGAGGCTGTAAAAATATAATAATTCAATTACATTACAAAGTATAAAAAATGTTGTACCCGATTTACTAACTTGAATACCTTTATGAACGCAACATTATGAATATCTCAGGCAGATCACATATTCTAAGGACTCCAATCTGCAAGAGTTGGCCATATTGACGGCCTCTGTGATCTAGCGGTTTAGCACACCATCTTACTTCTAATGGTCGGAGAGTACAAACATTTATATTTATGAGTATGATGGCTTATGATCTGGGTGATTTCTATGTATTAATATATATGTATTTACAAAAAAATTAAACCAGTCGTCTAGTATCCATAACACAAACTCTGCTTATCTTGGGACTGGATGGCGCAGTTGAATTGACCGGGGTACTTATTTTTATTATAGTGATTAATTGATTGACAGATGAACTGAAACCTAGTTTAATATATTTTTTTAATGAGGATGACTTACCAGTGGCGAGCATCTTCTTGTATCTTTTTCACCTTCATCTTCAGAAGGTGCCAGTTCATGATAATAGTCAGAGACAGGAGAGTTTCGTTTAGAGTTAGAAGCAGAATTTTGCGTCGGGGCTCTTAATATAGCCTTTGATTTTAACCCTCCTTTACTTTTACCATCCTTTAGAGTTGATACCCTATTCAATGATTGCAGGTTTGTCAGCCTAGTAATAAAACAAATAGTAAAATAACATATATTAAAATTAAGAAATGTAATTAATTTAGTATGTACCAAGGTATATTATTTGATCCTGAAATTTTTTATTTTCATTGAATAGTAGAAGATAAGATTAGCAATAAGATATGATGCGCCTAACTAAATCTAAGCTTTAAAAAATCTAAGTTTTTTTATTTTACTTACTTTTCAATTTCTTCATCGTCCTTGTTTTTATTATAGATACCTTGATACTTAAAATAGGTATCCACAAATGATTTTGGTAATTTGTGCAATATAATACGAGAATTTTGATATATTTTCTTATCTTTGACATCAACTGGATAGCATTTCCAACCATGACGTTCTATATACAAGTTACTCTCTTCAACTTGCGGTACTCCAGCTTTATATCTTTTTGGAGATGGTTTAATTGCACTATGGTTCTGTAAATTAAACTCGTCATTGTCATCATCGAAAATAGGCATTGTCGGTTGACACACAAGTAATTCAGGAGGGTCTTCAAAATTTATTATAGGGGACTGTCTGCCACCATCATCTTTATTTGTGACCACATCACTGTTGGGTATAGACTTTAAATGCTGCTCAATTTCATTTTCTTTTTCAAAACTTTCCTTCGCAATAATTTTGTCATAAACATAGCTCACATATTTTTGATAGTTAAACATTCCATTCTGGTCCATTGTAGAAAAACCAGGGAATTGTTGTTCTGCATTAACATCGTGGCCACTTGTTTTGGGTTTGTCTATATCATCGCCAATTTTTGCAGTAGAGTCTACACTATTACATTGTATTTCATCTGTTTCATATTTATTTTCATTTGCCAAAACTTGTGTATTAACGGATTTTTTTTCTGAAGCCACTTCATCTGGCTTAGAAATATTATGTTTCGCACTATTGATAGGTTCCAAACTTATCTTTTCTCTCTGAGATGCCAAGGACATATTTTCACTTTCAGACTCTGAAGATTCTATTTTCTTTTGTTCTTGTCTTATTCTTTCTTTCATTTTTCTAGTTAAAACTGCAACTTCGTTAATTGGTACTACTGATTTATTTTTTACAGTATCTATAGTTTCTTTATTGCTTGTTTTTAATTCACCTTTTTTTGACTTTTTCTTCCGTTTCTCAGTTTTCTTTTTATTTTGTATTTTTTTAGTGTTACTTTCATCGGAACTACTTTCCATAAGCGTGTCTTTTACACTATCAATTTTCACTGGTTCAAATGCATGTGGTATTAATAAGCCCATGTCATTTTCCATAAGATCTGAATCAGGCTCGAATTGTCTTCGTACCCTTAAATTACTTTGACTAAAAATGCCTTCATTAGATGTAACATCCAAATCCATTGCCATTTTATTTGATGTTACAAGAGATTCGAATTCATAACTACTGCTATTTTGTCTTTGGAAGGTTGGCACTGTAGTACTCGTACAATCTAGTTCAGATTTTGTAATTACACTTTCTGTTTCAATATTAATTCCAATAAAATTGAGATTGGGTTCACATTTCACCATGGAAGTATCCACTACAACGTTGGTAAATTCGTCTTCTGGTTCACTTTTGATACGAACCATAACCGGTAGATTTGAGATATCCTCGTGTCCGGTTTTGTTTGAATGTTCAGGTTGAAGTGGGTCAATAAAAGACCGTAATTCTTTCATCTTTATTTGACTTGCCCAGTTGTTTTCTTCTGCTACAGATGTTTGTTCATACTCCTCTAGATCTCCACAATAATTAGTATCCTCTTGATCGTAATATTCAAAGTTGTCATGAATTGAGGGTGACTGTTCAATATTTAAAAATGCTTCTTCGGACATTGTATTTACAGAGTTTATAATCATGGATTGAACAAGGGCGTCATTTACGTTATTATTAAAAAAAGATGTATTCAAAAATTCTAAACAAATATTACTCAAAGTATTTATCTTATCACCTAAAAGAGAGATTTCTTTGCTTTTTACTTTATAATCAATTACACTCTCATGAATGTATGGGTTTTTATTATATATCATTTCTATAATATTTTTATAAACTATATGTTTTAATGATTTTGGTTGTAATAAGCATACCCCTGTACAACTGTCTGTTAAGTTCCATTTGTTTTGTAGTACGTGCACACATAAAGAAAACAATGTTTTGATTTTAATGTGTTTCTTAGAAACACTCAATACACCCAGCTGCTTTTTGTCAGTATAAAATGTATCTGTGTTAGAAACATGTACAGTAGTTTGTTTTAATTGTTGCTGTGATTGAATTTCAATAGGTTTATGAAATTTATCTATATCTAGAATATTTTCACTTTCTCGTAACTGATTACTTATTTGTTCGTCAATAGGTTTATTACCAAGTTCCTTTGAGACAATATCAATATCACTTCTTTCACCTGGTAGTTTATTAGTTATATGATTTATACTGGCTTCCATAAACAATCTGTTTATACAGAGGCGTAATAATGAGTATGGTTGTGTACATTCTTTAATATCATTTGGTTTTATGTTAGTGTTATTGGTTTTATTACACACAGATAAAAAATAATGTTGTATATATACAGTACACAATGACAATAGTGTCTCTGGAGATGTTGACTTTATTATAATATTATTCAAACATTTCATTTCAGTCAAGTTTTTGTTCATATCAGATATAGCAGCACTGTCATTTGGATTATTTATATAGCGTGCATCATTACTTGTGTAATTAGTACTGCTGGGATATTCATCAGATTGAACCACAAAATAATTACATATGTAACTCCTGTTCGTATGAAGCCAATCTGTAGATACAAAAGGAGCACATATAGATGCAACATTTTGCTGATTATACATCTTAAAAAAATCACTTATCATCTTAGATGATATGTAATTATCAGGAGGTTTTTTATTTCGGCTGTCCTGGGCTAAAAAAGACTGGTTTGGTTTTACTTTTTTTACCATTACCGAATCATTAATCCATACTGTATGTTTCCCTTTAATATTAAGTTTCTTTTCGTCAGTGGGTTTCTTTGCAATTTTTATTGAAAGTTCTTTGTTAAGAAAAACTGTTTTTGGATTAAATTTTGGTTTATTTGTTTGAGATTTTTCCGGATTTGTTGTCCCAATGGGCTCCTCTATTATTTCACAATCACTATCACTATCAGTCTTAACATTTGGTGTGACAGTATTGACTTCACCTCTGTGAACTAGCAGATTATTAATTTCCAAAAATTCTTCATATTGTTTTGCTAAATCTTCTTCCATTTGTATTAAATTGTGTTTCGCAAGTTTAAATAACAAGAATGATTTCTTTACACAATAGTCCATTTTAAAGGTATCAGTGACATGGTTAGTATTAATTTTTTTCTTCATAAAGTCTTCAGATTTTTGTGTCATTAATAATCCTAATTCAGATGTAGTTTTAACAATACCATTCAAAAATTCGCATGCTTTTTCTGCCTTTTCCTTTGATAGAATTACATTATTCTTCATGGGAATATCATAGGGTGTTGTAGTCTGAACAGCAGCTGTCACTTTTGGTACTGTATGTGTTTGAGTTGACATTTCAACAGTTTTTCTAATGTCATTTGCATCCAAAATGGGAATTTCAAGTGGCGTTATAGAACTTTGGGTTGATGTTGTGGATGACACTTTCTTAATCATCAAATTAGTACTTTGGATTTTTTTAACTATAAAATTTTCTAATTCACAGGGTGAACTAGATTTATCTGTAATTTCTTCACTTGTATTGATAACAGATGATTCTAAACAAACTTCAATGTCATTGTCTTGCGAACTTGAACTAGGTTGTACAGTTGTAACATCTGGTGTTAAGACTTCTACCTTACTGAGTTTCTCTGTATCACTCTTCTTGCCTCTCTTTTTGGGGCTCTTTGATTGGTAAACATCTAATTTTCTGCATCTTTTCCTTTTCTGCTTCTTAAATCCTTCTTTATCAACCTCTTCACTATCAGTGCTATCAGTAATGTTTGATTTTCCACATTTTCCACCTGGTATATATTCATCATCTGAGTAATATCTGCCACCCTTTTTATTTCTTCTAGGTTCATCATCAGATAATTCTACATTAGCAAAAGGGTCTTCATCAGAATTTTCATCATAATGTAAATTTTGTTTTATTTTTCTGCGTATTGGTCTTTTTGAAGTGTCTTCAATTAATAACGAACTCTCAGTATCTTTGTTCTTATTATCTTCCCTTAATTCATCAGTTTTTACTTCATTTACAATACTGTCAATACTGTCTATATTATATTCAAAATCTGACATTATAGCCATTTTTGAATTTCTCTTAGTAGGTGTACTCTCTGTTTCACCCAATTTGTTTACTTTGGCTGATACAATGTCAATTTCAGCAGTCATGGTTGAAGCTGTAAAGTTTTCTAATGATATATTAGTACCATCCTTTAATTCTAAATTATTTTTAATTTCAATTAAGGATATATCATCTCCATCATCAGAATCATCATTTTGTGATATAGTTATTTCTGCACCAATACATTGTTCACTTTTAGAAAGTTTTATATCATCATATTCAATAATGTTATTTTCTAATGATACCTGTATACCATCTATGACTGTAGGTAATAATTTATCATCCATTTTGGCCATTGGATTATTCTCTCCATTAGAAACCTTGTGGTCTAACAATACCAATTCAGCAGTATTTTGACTTGTTACATTGTCTTTTGCTTGATTTACAACTACAGACTTTGAGTGGCGCCTTCTTTTCACATTTTTATTTTGCATAGTTACAGGACAATCAGAATCTGTATTGTAGATTTCTGACAGAACATTATTCTCGCTATTAGTATTTAGTTTAGTTTCATTGATTATTTTTTTTGGTCTACCTCGTTTCCTTGGTTTTATATCTTCTAATAAATTTGGATTTTGTGAATCAGCAGTAAGTGTAGATAATGTTTGCTTTGTGCTTCTTCTAGTGGCCACTTTAGATTGTTGCATGTATATGCTTTTCGAGGATTTAATTGAATCACTACTACAGTCATTCTTTTTTTTACGCCCTCTCTTCGCTCCTGTGAGAGCTTTTTTAACTAGATCTGGAGTATTATTTCCACAAACCATACTTTGTGTAGTGGCATCATTTTGTCGTTTATTTCTAACTATCTTTGAATTTCTTGTATTTTTCTTTTTTCTACCCCGTTTTTTAGGAGTACTTTGATTAGATGAAATTACAGATTGTCCAGGATCAGGATCTAAATGTCCTGAATCCAAGGGCTCAAAGTATTTAGTGGTAGATTTAGACAAATTATTTATATCTGGTGGTGGAATGTGTTCATTGGTATCATTGTATATCTGATTGTCGTCTCTGATCTGATGCTTATTACTTATTTCTAATGATAGAACATCTTTACCTGCAGACATACATTCATTGTTTACTTCTGTAGACTTGATAGACAACCGCTCATCTGTATCCGATGTTGTTTCCTTTTGATCAGATATTGAATCACAATTCTGAGTAGTAGGTGATAAAATATCCGACAAAGTAATAAACTCTTCTTCGTTATGAGCAGCTTGTGATTGAAAGTTATCAAATAACTCCTCACTTATACAGAGGTTGGTGGAGTCTAAATTAGATTGTTCCGACATTTTTGTACAGTATCCTTACCCAAGTCGTAGAATAATACATTACACGCATTATAAAATTAAAACATAAAGATTGTGGAAACTCATGGAATATCGTATTCTGCCGATATATGGATAAAAAATTATTTGTGTAATTTTTGTTGTTAGCATTTGACCATAAAGTATACAGTATATACATATAATTATACACAATTTTTTTTTATTAATATGTTTTACGGCTCTGGATTATAGACTATTATAGACAAATTTGCCATATTACCAAGATGTCAAAGACAACATTAGTTCCGAGTGTTGCAACTTTAAAACTGAGCAAGTAATCACGATGATTACATATTTATATTTCATAAATAAACATACAGTGATTACACACAATAATGACTTGAATTCCTATATATGTTGGTTATTGGAATTATTTTTTTCTGCTGTACATTCTGACGGTGTACTTCATATTCTTTTGTACCCTATGCTATGATTTATAATAACCAACTAACATATAATGCATATAAGTATAATGAATGAACTACTTAGTATTGTATGCATAATTTGTTAGCTGTATAAAAAAAATATGCAATAATAATATCTGAAATAATAAAACGAAAGCTTCTGTTATTACTTATCATGTAATTATACAGCTAACAAATTATACACAGTGATAAGTAGTTAATATTGTACGTAAAAGTTTTGTTAGCTACTGTTATTATTCGTGAATAAAATTGTAACTGCAACTGTCAAATAGTGTATTGTCATTTTCTGACAGTTTATACGGTGTGTGCTATCCAACAAAAGTACTCTACACTACAGATAAAACCATTTGTTGACGTCTTGTTCTGACGAAACAAATTTATTAATCATTAATTCAATATATACCTTATTTAGATTTTCAATTATATGTAATAAATTTGTAATTACAAGTAATCAGCAGCATAAATGTTGTGCTGTGGTCATAGCTTATAATTTTACTCTTACAATTTAAAATCGTGACATTATCAAATGATTTTATATCAAGATGTACTTTCCAATTGGATGGCCCAAAGTTTTGAAGAGGCTGGATGCAGATAATCAAATTATTAAGCAAATCGTGTCGAATAGAGACAAGATATTGTTTGCATCGTTGAGTGATGAGGGGCTCAGTGTATGGTATTGTAAGGTTAGCAAATATTTTTGCTAATTTTTTAGGCTAACTATGTTTATTATGGAATTCCCTCTAATTATATATTCTAGTTTCTGTTTAGCTTTTTAATACGATATTTTAAATAAAAAGTCTTATTTTTTTAAACATGATCTGTACCTACTAAAAATCAGGAAGACTATTTACTATCAGTATTACCTTACCAAATTGTTTCTTTTATTTTCAGCCTTCTGTGCCAATTGTGTATCATAAAAGAAGTACAGAATCCCTACAAAGGTTAGGCGTAAATGTGGGAGTGGAATGGAAACCAGATTCATCTATGATATGTGTTTCGGTAAGGACCACACTATTATTATTTTGTGTAATTAGAAAAGTTAACAAGATTATGGTCAATCTGAGCCAAGTATAGTCAGTTTTTTTATCTCTGAGATAAAATTGACATATGTTGCCATATTTTTATAAACATTTTCTTCCTTTTATTCTTAAATATTGTGGCACTATTGGATATTAATATAATTTACCAATATTTATAGATTTTACTGAAATAATTTGTGGGTGTTTATTTATTTGTTATTTAATTATTTGCTTAAAACTAGTTATAATACACACATGTTTTGCCATTTTTTTTAACATGCTAATTATAATATACATATGTGAAAAGAGGCATTATATAATTTTAATTATTAATGGATTATATAATATTTTATTTTTCATAGAATTCATGTTAAGTCGTAAAATTGTTCTCATTAGCCATACATAAATATTTTTTATAGCATTGGTGTATTAAAGTAGATTTTTCATAATTGACATATATTTAACTAAATTCATAAGGTATCATATTTAATCAAATATACAAATATTAAAAATACTTTCCTGTAGGAATGTAAAAATATAAATATGTGTGTAATTTCCCTACAACGACACAAAAACACATTTTGTTTTTGTTTAAATATTTCAATAAAATCAATAACATATATGTTTAGCTTCATAGAAATTATTGTCCAAAACAGTGTTTTCAGAGAGCAAATTGGTTGTTAAGGGGGCAATTCAAAAATGTACTTGACTCTTTCACCCTGGGCCATTTAATTTAATGAGAGAAGCAAATGCTTAAATAATTGCAATAAATAATTATTAGGCATAATTTAGATTCATATTTAGCTGAATCTATGATTTAGTGCTGTAAATGATTTACTTGTAAATAAAAAAATCTGCTGGATACATAACCTGAAGACTTAAGACTGAGCAAAAAATTGGAAGTGCAAAGATCTCACTAAATTAAAATACTAAATTAATATAGAATAATCAATTTTAAAATTATTTTGAATCTCAATTTTCATTATAGTATTTAGAAAAATGTCATCATTTAAGTTTCTTAATTGAAGAATTAAATTTTTAATATAATAAATTAAAATTTCATACACATGCACACATACAATACTGATGTGATTGATTTTTCCTAATATTATGTACAAATTGTATGGAAATTTATTTTGACATTTACTCCATTATACTATCCATAGTTAGTCACAATGTTATCACTTATTTTGCAGACATCGGAAGGGCATTTGATACTTTACAATGTGGAGGGACTGAGTGAGCAGACAGCTTATCAGCAGTATGATCCACCTACAGCCAGCCTACGCAGGGACTCTGCTGAATTGTTTGTCAAAGAAGTTATACCATCTCTTAAAATTTCACTGGTATAATTTATTAATTATAATTAATAGTACTAAGAGTAAGAATATATTATTTTAGTATATAATGTCAAAAACTATGAGAGCTTAAGTCTGTGTAAAAACAATTACCATATATGTTATAAATACCTTATAGCCTAACATACATATTATTAATATTAAAAGTAAAAGAAAATATTAATATAAATTGTCTGTGTGGTCACGGCACTGGTAATGGTAATCTGCCATGGTAGGTCTGATACACCACACCCTTCCAATAGTCCTCCTTCAAGAAGGTGGTCAACACGTTGGTGGGACCTCGGACCACAAATGCCTCAATGTCATATTTTAAAAAAAATGTTAAATCATGTATCACTTTCAGTTCAAAGAGGTCCTAGTATGGGATGGTCAAATAACTCGAATGTGCTGCATTTCGGGAACGGAGATCTTAGTGTGTACGACGCGCGCACACCTGTTACGCTACCGATGGGATGGTTCCCAAAACAGGGACTATTGTCTCGACCTTGGACGAATACCGTTTTCCGTTAACCAACAAGTGTCTAAAGGTGAGGTTTGTCAATGAATGAAATTGATGTTACTCAATAATCTAAAATCATTGTTCTTCTATTTTAATTTTTTTTTCTGTCTACACTCGGCACCTTCAATGTTACATGTATAGGTCTATGTCTCCACATAACTTTGATTTAAGTTTAGTGTAAAGTCAGTCCACATTACTACTCCGCGTTCAGTCTACTTGTTACATATAAACCACTATCAAACAAACTTACTAATATAGTACAATAATTCACTTACGACAGAAAATAAATTGAGTAGCGACACCTCATCACATCATCTATACATCTAAATAAAATTGGGAGTGTCTGTTTGTAATATTGAAATAACCGTTTTTTACTACATGCATATGAATATAAATACGGTACATACACCAAAACAACATTTTTTACAATTTTTGTCTGTCGGTCTGTTTTTTCGGCTAATCTCTGAAGTGGCTGCACCGATTTTGACGGGACTTTTTTTGGCAGATAGCTGATGTAATCAGGATACTTTTATTTTAGAAAAATAAAGTTATATTCCACTCGAACGAAGTCGCGGTAACGGCTAGTATTATTATATAATATAACAAAGGTGAGGTGATAACTCATGGACCACAGCCTGTTATGAAATATATTAGACATTGTATAAAGTCAACTGTATGTACTTCATCTATTCCAGCTTATAGTAAAATGTGTTTCGATTGGAAGGTAAAGAAATTACAAGATGCTGATACATAGCGTCTTATTCCACCTGGTTATTACAGGAGTCACATATTAAGGTGTTTTTAAACTTTCGCGTTTAGTACACATTATTAATATAGTCCATCGGGCCCTAAAACAAAGCTGATCACAAGCTGACAGTCAGCCCGCGACCTCGACTATTGTAACCTATACTTTACATAGTATAAAATGAAGCCGCTTCCCCTGAAAAGATTTAAACGAACAACGTTTACATCTTTTAAAATACGAAACTGATTTTAATGCAGTTTTTAGCAATAGGTAGAATTGAATAGAAAATCATTTATTCAAATAAACTTAATTTGAGCACTTTTGAATAGTCATCGTTAAACTTTTTTTAATCTACCGCTCATATGGAAAGCTCATCACAAGAAGAATGAGCTAGAAGCTAGCGTGTTGCTCCAGAGTAGAGTCGAATGATTCAAGAGGAAGGTTTATTTATTCATATAAAAATGTAGATGTGTCTTATAATATAGAACAAGCCGAGAAATTAAAATATTTGTAACGCAACCGTGCGAAGCCGACGGGCTGCTAGTTTACTATAAAACTATTCGTGTTAAGACACGATTACCAATAACGCGTCAATGATTTTGTCGTGACAGTTAGGTGGGCCATCAATTTGTGTGCTATTCCAATTATTAAAAAAATATAAATACAGTTATTTGATTGTTTACAGCGGAGCCCATATTAGAAGACAACACTCACGTTAATGATATAGAATACTCACCGTTGGTGTGCGGCTTCGGGATCACGCTTAATGATGGCCGCGCGGCTTACCTGACTGCGCCTAATCTCAAATTCGATCCAAATGTAAGTTGAAAATCTTCTGTGGTTCGTGTTAATCACAACTATTGGGTATAAGAGTCTATTTATACGACATATCACTGTAATCATACAATACATACAAAGACGCCTCCTTACTACACAATGACATATTCGAGAAGCCTTCGATCTTGTTCTGTCGACTCTCGACATTTGTATATGCACCAGTGAAATACCTAACATGGTCGCGCCATATTTTGTACTCTCCATATTATTTTAGTGAGAAAAATATCAGTACTCTACAACCTATGAAGTACATGTATATAGGGTATAATTTTGGCTTTCCTACTTTGCACTTTTTTCCCTCGCGTTCTCTTACGATAACATGCCAATGAAAAATTGTGCTGGCTTATTTTACTTTTCCTTCACCATATGCCTATTAAATATGGATGGCTGCGATTTATGTTAAATTTTACCGAATGTTCAGTGAAATTTACCTCATTCATTGATCGAGTCAGTTACGTCGTATGTTTTATAAGCAGAATGTAAAATTGGAATAATTGTCTTGTGATTTAAAACATCTCGAATAGTGTCACTATGTCTCTCTATTACTAACGTGTAATAATAATATTTCCGAATTGAAATTCTAGACCGCTATTAATAAATTTTGGCATAGTGATAACTTTTTGGTAGATCTATGGAATATGACGTCATGAAATATATTACGAGGACGAACTGCCGACCTTGCGGATATCGGTTAGTGATAGATAAAATTAGCATTCTTATCAAATAGGCCTTATTATGAATGACTGATAGCACGTATACAATAATCTATACTAATTAATTTAATACCTGCAATAAAATGAGTACAAAATGATAAAATAATATGCTCGCATGGTCGTATGTTTAGAGCAGCACATTCAGTGGTGGAATATAGAATGGAAATTACTGAATATGAAGATATAATAAGTAATATAACAGCTAAGTCCTAAATAGCAGCATGTAGGAGACTAGCAATGTTTTTTATAAATATGTGTAAATTATATTTTGATGGAATTATATGATCTAAATATTTATTTTGTCACATTTATTAGATATTACTGGATACTGAATTAGTGGTAAGACTAGTGTGTTATATTAGGAACACTTTTATATTGTACTATTTTCCTTCAGCTGTATATGTAGAAATCCTTTGTTAGCTAATAAAATTAGAATAACTACATTTAAAGCAAAATGTATATTTATAAAACTGTATAAATGTATATTCAATAATTAGTAATAAACTGATTATAATAATAATATTATCCCAATGTTTAAAAGTAACATGCTACTATAAAAATATGCTATACCTTGTTATATTAAGTCCCATCCTATTTTTAATGTTTCTCATTATTTTTATCTATATATAGTATGTACCTATAAAAACGTTTATTTACACAGATTTATTAATGCACAGCTAAAATTAAGTCTAGAAAGTTGAAATTTAGAATATAGTATTATTTTATACCGTACCTAAGAATTTATTTATTTAAACTTTATTGAATTGTATACAATAGGCGGACTTAATGCAGAGATACTCGAAGGCGGTTTAGTTTATGAAATAAAATTATATAATATATTTAATAGATATAAATATAAGAATATATGTAATCCGCTAATAACGAAAATTTTGTAAATTCTTTCTCATTGAGATTGTAAATAAATGCCTTTCAGATAAACATGTGAAAATTATCTAGTTTTGTATATATATATGTAAAACATATTACACTATATTTTTGTACCACAATTAGTTGTTTAGGATGTTTATGATTTCAGGCCGTCCAAGGTATCTGGGCCCCGGGCATCGATGACGCAACTTGCACCAGAGTTAACCACAAATTTAGACTGATAGCTATCGGGAGAAAGAAGTAAGTAAACTATTATCACGAAATTTGTTCTCTCTCTCTTCCTTCTCTTGTGACGAGAATGAGAATTTTACAAGGCCCAAATTTTGTCAGTAATAAAAAAGGACAATGTGTAACGAAAGAAAGACACTCGGTTTTATCTGTTTACGTCGTATAAAAATATGGCATTATCGCCAATAGCGGATGAAATCCTCTAAAATAATAATTTTCTTTGTTTCAGTTCTCAAGTGGATGTTTTTACAATAGACGAAGCAACGGGTGGCTTAGAATTATCTCATACAATGGTGCTCAGCTCCAAGGACTTCCCGGGGGATCCTGGACCTGTGAAATGTATTAGGTTAGCAAGGTTCTTTACAGTACATAGTTCATAAATAGTTTACACACAGAAATTGTCCTTCATTTTTCTAGAATGAGTTTAGATCACCACTCATAACACATTTTTATTACATATATAATCTTTTAGAAAATATATCTGTCTTTAGACGACATGTTCATACACACGCGTTCAGAAGAAATCACATTATAACCTACGTGATGGAACATATGTGTACAGACACCTAATGACTAAGCATTAGTTATCTTTACACATCCTCAAGAATGACAATTGTGTTTATTTATGTACGTCTATCTTGTTTTAGTGTTTCAGTTACATAAAAGTTAGCTATTTCTGCAAGAGTTTGCATTCTTGATGTAGTGACTGAGTCTCACTGATTAGTTATGTGTATTTGAGTGTCACTGACTTTTCCGTCTATATCAGGTGGACGGCCGACGGGCGTGCAGTAGCTGCGAGCTGGGAGCGCGGCGGCATGTCGGTGTGGAGCACGTTCGGCGCGCTGCTGGTGTGCTCGCTGGCCTGGGACCACGGCCTGCGCACCCACCCCGCCGGACACCACCCGCTCCTCGTCTCCAGCCTGGTACGTGCCCGTCTCCCCCTCCCCCCCCCCCTCTCTTTATCTCTATCTCTCCACTACTATCGGAGCGTGACGGCATATCAGTGTGGAGCACGGTCGGCGTTAAAAAACATTTATATCACATATAAATTATACGCATAAGAAATCAAGAATAAATTATGACGAACTTATGGGTCACAAGTCTAAAATTGTCGTATTTACCTATACATTATCTAAATCGAGACTAAATAGCTCAACGCGGCAAATTCAATGAAATATATACTCTAGAAATTTCACTTTTGTACTATATGTTGAATCATCCCTCGTTAATATTATGACAGTAAATTATTCTAATTTACAGGAATGGGCGACAGAAGGCTATCAATTGTGGATGGTGAAAGTAGAAGGAGACACGGGGTCTAATATAATTCAACTGGACTTTGTCAAAAGTCCACTTAGTGTTAATCCTTGTATGGTAAGTCAACAGTTACGACTTTATTAGCTAGGCGATTATGAATAAAGGAGTAACATTATTAATATATATTATAATATATATGTTAATTTAATTCAAATAAATTTAACGCTAGTAATGTGTCTATTAATTTTTAGAGCAACCAAAGACATCTATATCTACAAGCAGATGACAAATTATACGTGAATCTTGAAGATAATCTCACAAAGCGAACCAAAACAGCAATAATAGATGCAACTGGTGATGCGTATCAAAGCGAAAATGGTGTCCAAGAACAACCAAATACGGAGTATGACAGCAGTACAAAGTATAGAGAGTTCATAGATGATAATGAATGTAGGAAACAATGGATAGTAATACCTCTGCCAGCTACATATATAGCCACCAATTGGCCGTTGAGAGTGAGTCAAATATTTTAAACTTTTCACTTGTCTTAATAAAACCATTAAGTTTCTCTATATGAACCTTCTTCTTATAGTTATTATTTATTAAATATATTTTTATCTTATCTTTATATAATTAAAAAAAGAATAAAAATATTCTGTGGACATTTAAACATGCTATAGCAACCAGTAATTAAGACAACATTATATACCTGAACTTCTTACAAGGGATAATAATTGTAAACATAGTGGATGACGTGGACGGTACAATCTAGTTCTTTGCCAGTTCTTTTTAACTGAAATCCATATTTGCGGCATTGATAACAACGCCGTTTCAACACGACACGTTCTTTTACACGGGCTCAGGAAGGTGTCCGTTTTTTGTATTATGCTTTAGGCACACGAAAGCATAATCGTGAGGGTTTGTGTCTATTTGTTTGTCCACACTTACGCGCAAATTACTTGTGTAAGAAAGATCCTACATGAATATGCGTTGGCTTTTAAAATTTGTTTTGATATTATTCAGATTTTATTTCCAGAATTAGTGTTACAAATTATTAACAAACATGTATTTAAGCCTTTGCTCCTTGGTCTGAATTGTGAAATAAACACTCGTATGCATGAATGTAATTAATTGCGCGCGCTGGTTTTCCCGTTTTAAATCTCGCGTACCTGGACGAGGCGGGCGCGCACGTGTGCGTGATCCCGCGCCGCGCGCCGCTGAAGGACTGTTCGGGAACGAGGCGCACGAGCGGGACTTCGTCGTCTCCGGCGGCTTGCTGTGGTGGCGCGACTACATCGTGCTGTGTCCTCACACACGACACACACTCACAGGGCCGGGCGCAACAGCCGCGCCGCGCGCCGCTGGAGCTAACGAGGCGCACGAGCGGGACTTCGTCGTCTCCGGCGGCATGCTGTGGTGGCGTGTTGGTGTTGCTGGGTAGTACACACACGCACACACTCACAGCGGTGGACGAGGCGCGCGCGCTGGAAGGTTCGGGAACCACGTGTGTCGTCGGCGGCATGCCGCGCCATCGTGCTGGGTATGTTACCTCACTCACGACACACTCTCTTAGGGCCGTGCGCACTACAGCCGCGCCGCGCGCCGCTGGAAGCTGTTCGGGAACGAGGCGCACGAGCGGGACTTCGTCGTCTCCGGCGGCATGCTGTGGTGGCGCGACTACATCGTGCTGGGTATGTTACCTCACACACGACACACACTCTTAGGGCCGGGCGCACTACAGCCGCGCCGCGAGCCGCTGGAAGCTGTTCGGGAACGAGGCGCACGAGCGGGATTTCGTAGTGCATTCGACTGAGTTGCCAATGATTTGCAATACTCTGTAGTTGTAAAATCCTCAAAAAAATATTGTATTCCCAGGCTGCTACAGTATTTTGGACGGCCACGACGAGATTCGGTTTTACCCGCGCGATGCGAAACTCGACAACAAGTTCGCTAAAATTGTCCGAGTGCAGTCGCAAGTGTTCGTGCTTGACATCTTGGATGACCAGCTGGTTGTGTTCGGTGCAGACGCGCTCGTTACTATATACGAGCTCAACTGTATTGATAATGGTATGTATTTCGTCATAGACTGATTCTAATAATTCCACACAATACTTTGTTACGTAAATGACTTTGTCTACTGTAAAAATAATGATATTATGACCAATAAAAGCGAAATCACTAAACGCTGCAGAAATCACTAATCCACAAATCTATTATTATTACTAATTTATTTTTTACTAACAAATCTTACTTGAAAAGCATTGAAATTACAGTTCTGTTTAAATTACATAAATTAACAACTTACATAAATGACACGCGTGTGAAACCGCTAGGGCACAGCTAGTAGGAAATAAAATGATGTAACGGGGAGTGTTGGGTGTGAACAGAGGGCAACGTGGAGATGCGGTGCGTGCAGGCGGTGGACGTGTCGGCGCTGTCGCACCCCGCGTGCGTGGTGTCCGCGTCGCTGTGCCGGCTGCGGGCCGCGCCGCGCGCTCGACCCCCCGCGGCCGCCCTCGACACGCAGCACGCGCACACGCACCCCGACTCGCTGGTGAGTCGCCCCCACACTCTACTGTTTGTACTATACTTTGGAATAGTTACTAATTCTACACCCAATTGAAATAGATAAAATGAGGATATGCCGGATCGGCAACGCGCACGTGACACCCCTGATGTTTCAGGCACCCATACGGTAAAAATTTACCATCAGGCCGTATGCTTGGTTCCTAATGTCGTAGTACAAACAAAAAAAATCGCTTAGTACTTTTTTTACTAGCGACCGCGACTCCATCTTTGGATTTAACATTTTTATATTATTAAAGTCTAAATAAAGTTCTAAAATAATAAACTAGCCCAAGTTACTCCTTATAATATTAGCTATTTGTCAAAATGGGTCCAACCGTTTTATAGATTATTAGTAGGAATAAACAGTCAGACAGACAGATTTAAATTCACAAAAATATTTTGACAAATAAACGACTAAGTGGATCGTAATAAAATTTGACAATAAAATAAGTATTATGAGAACGAACATAAATATTTTCTCAAGAAATCAGACAAACTCTCGACATCAGACAAACAAGAATAATTGTTTTTTTTATACTAATTATTTTAAAATCCTAGATTATTTGCATAATTTCATTTCATGCAGGTAATCAACGCAAGCGGTAAACTGATGATGGTGCAGAGAGAAGAATACGATGTAGACGAAGACAACAATCCCGTAAGTAACTAATGTTGTAGTCATAATTATAGTACTTATTATGTTTGTTTTAGTTTTACAGGTGTTAAATTAACGGAATACAGTTTTGTGAGATAAGCTTAATGTTTTAAACGAAATTATTCATATACGTAACCGTAACTACGGATTATAAAATGAAACGTGTTTATTTTTGCTTGAAATATGGTATAAGTTCTAAAACAATATTAATTATTATTAAAAGAATATTTCGTCAATGTTTTAGTATTGTATTATCCATCCGATGTTTACATGTGTCGTGGGTATTTATAGAGTAAATTTATACATATATTTACTTTCTACACATGTGGATACAGTAATAAAGTATTCACTACATGGTGATAGCGGTATAAAAGATTACAAATCCTTAACGTGTCTTTAATGAAATCCTCAGTTTGTGTTTAAAAAAAATCTTTCGGAATAGTAGAGAAAAAAACTAAAATTCGCTGCAATTAAATATATGCTACAGCATTATTGTTTCATAGAGGTTATATAATTCTAAATTCGCAAACAGATTGACAGGTAGTAATTACTGTTCAACATCAGTTAATGATCGCATAATTCAATATTATTAGTTATTATTGATAATTTGCTAATAGCAGACGTAAACACCACGCATGACTGAATACATTGATGACAACGTAACCATTTGATTGAGTCTAATTTCACGTATCGTTTCATGTAAGACATGCGTTAATTACATGAAACTACCAAACTCGTATAGTAGAGCAATATAACTGCAATAAAATTGTAGTTTTGGCACATATACACTACTTATTATTTTCATGTACACTGTCATTAAATAATATGATGTACCTCCAAACTTTATGGTAAAGTATAAGTGTATATGTGATATATTTATGTATAAGTGACTAAAAATATCGTATATGAATAGATGCTTATTATATAATCTAGACACGCGGTAGCGTGTCAAAGCAAGTTCAAGTAAGAGAACTGGCGAGTAGCACCGTGTGTAATATTACACGAACCATTTGCAGCTACTTTTGACCCCCTCATAACTCAAAAACTCTTTCACATAAACATGTAAAATTTGGTTCATATATTAAGACTTGTGAGATAAATATATGTTCTAAATTTCATAAACACATCTTAAACGCTTATTTACATATTAAGGTCCAAAAAGGGTAATTTTTATCACTGACTCACCTATAGATCTAAATTATAACGCACTTCCAGATGACCTAGAAAGTCCAAATTTGGCATGCAGATAGGCAATTAGGTAAAGGAAAAAATTATATTATACCCTTCGCAAGTTCTAAACCTGTTACTTGTTGGTTCCTATTTTATTATTAGTAGTAATTAGCCATCAAAATTAATAATTGGTATATGAGAACCAGCCAAGTCAGACCTTAGGCTATAATATATTATGCTGTTAAAAGAAGAAATTATATTTATGTTGTTATAAATAAATTTGAGTACTGACCATTGAACTTGGCATCCATTTAGATCTCACTTCTATTGTCGTTGAAGTGAACAACCAAGGCATATATCATAATATTGAACTTGGCTATCATTTCGCATTTACCTTTTTGATGTGATCTCCTTTAATATATGTATAACTAGTAATTGATTTAGTTCTGGAGTAAGACGTTACTTTTTTTTTATTTTAATGTTCTTAACACTTTCAGAATCGATTGAGGTCTTGTAAAAAACGGGAGTAAAAAATAGAAAAATAAATAAAGATTGTTTCGAATAAATATATTTATGTACAATACATATTGTATCATAATATTTAGCAGGTACACTTCGTTGCTTGTGGGTATATAATATCACTATTCTTATTAAAGACCTAAGTGCATTTTTGCATGAAACATGTCACAAGTAGAATATGCAAGAATACACTAAGTCTCTTAAGTAACTAAATTGTTACATATTCTAATAATAAGAAGTTACATTCAGTTCTTCGTTTTGATAGTTAATGTTTTTCCGTCCAGAGAGATGGGGCCGGTCGCCCATCGGCGGACGATGTTGCCCTTTGTCCCGTATTTAGTGCCTATAATTGAAACCCATGGGGAGGGTCCAGGTAGAGGTAATAGGGGAAGGACGTCGACTGGTGTGATTAGCGGTGCCGTCTGTAACAATGGTTGTACTACTGGAGCGTGGACGATGGGAGCGATCGGCGCTGCAATCGGCGCGTGCACAAGCGGCGCGCTTGCAGCAATTGGTTTCGTGATAATGGGCGTTATGGGCGCTGCTACTGGTAACGCGACCGAATGAATGTTAGGGCCGGTTCTCTTGACGACAGCGTTGAATCCCCTCAGCGGGTCAGCGGTGTACTCCACCACGCGTATGTTACCATCGGGCTCTACGAGGGAGTAAGCACCATGTACGACGTCGCCATTGCGGGCCTCCCACTGGCCCTTGTTGTCGCCTGTCGAGGGATCGTTCACGGCGTAGTTGAATCGGTAGCTTGGGTCCGACTATTGAAGAGAAATGTTAAATAATTAGATAATGATTGCGTTTTTCGTTTCGTTCTATACTTTTTGTGTTTTTTTTTTGTAATTATCTATACATTTTTTAAATCAAATATGAGATTGATTTGATTTACTCTACAAGTTTGAAAAAGTATTGTCTTTCATTTATTATTTCGTATCGTGTTTAGTATGAAAGTTTTCTGTTTGATGAAATAAAGAGTATATCTCTTTGCAATCTTTGGGAACATAAATGTCTTATTCCAAAAACTTTTCTTTTTACATACATAGTAGTAATGTTGGTGATGCTTTTATGAATGTTTTTGTCTTGATATCTTAAAGCGGGTTCTGGTTAAGCTTGGTGACTGCCAAAGTTAAGATATAGTACAGTATTTTTTTAATTTTATGAGCATACTTACAATTTTATCGATGGTGGCAATGGGCGCGTATGACAATGTCGCAGGCGGGTTCGCCAACACGACTCCTGCCAAAGCCAAAAGGCAAGGTACCTGCAAATATGTTCCAGTTAGTTTCGTATATTAATTATTTTTTAAAACAGTCCTCCAGTAGCTATTTTTGAGCTGTTTCTTAAATTATTCCTGTCTATAATCACAAAGGATTTAAATTGTATATTTGTAAATATAAGTCATATTATAAAGAGGGTTCATTAGATTATTTGTTTGTAATGAATAAACTTACAAATTACCTATAAATATAGTAAAAAAGATTTCATCTATGCTCAGCTATTTTATCAGAATGACAAGTGATATTATATATTAAATATAAATATATATATTATTTTATATTAAAATTATATATATATTTGTCATTCCTCGTATATATGTTAAACCGAAACAGGTAGCTAATATTTCTATTATCTGATAAATATGGTTAAGCTATACTGTACCAAGTAGTAGAAGCTTAATTATTTTTATATACATTTTAATATATTTATGATTTCACTTTATTGATAATGATGATTAATATATTGATTTAAATGATATTGTAATATTTGAAGTAAAACAATAAAACCAAAAAAATATTACCACAAAGAATGTGTTCATATTGTTAGCAAGGTATCCCGGTGAGCAAACAAAGTGCACTGTACTCACTGCAAGTACCAGTTGCGTATTTATACAACACTAATTATTCGACCCTGCTGTGCCCTGGTTTTTAATCCGAACACCTTTTTTCACGGATGAACCGCTACAGGACCACACTGGTATTATAATTCCAATTCTCTTAATTGTACATAACTGGTTACAATCCACGATTACGTGGGCGTTATTGCTTATATTGTGACACTCATAGTAATTTGCCGTAAATAATTTGCATAGCGAAATATTATTTACATTATGCGAAAGATTATAATAATATTAGCAGTAACAAATATACGATCTAGGAAAGATTAGAAAGCATAATTGACCGCGCTTTGTAATAAATAGATACTTTATATTAGTTTAATCGAAAGATCGCTAAAGCAAACTATATATTTTCATATTTTTTCTAACGCTGTGAAGTTCTACATCACAACATATTATGAGCACTAAGATCGGTAGTAATATAGAAACCTAATACCAATTACTAGGGTTGTCACCATTATTATATGGCAGTCGTAATTTTGGAGAGAGACGAACTTCTTAGCATTAATAGCAAGTATTTACCATGCGGGCGGGCGCCGAGTCCATCGTGTGGCAGGGAGGGAAACTCTGAGCATTTCCCGGGCCTTCTGATCCTGGTATAGGTTTAATGGGGGCCTTTTCTGACTTTATTAAAATCACGTGATAAACGTAAATTAATTCCAAGTATATATCTACACTCATTGGTTGAAGTCCATACTAATATTATAAATGCTTATCTGTGTCTATGTTTGTTGGTTACCTATTTACGACTAAATAGCTGAAAGAAATTAGACGAGAACTGAGAATTCACACCCATATTACTTATAGTGTTGAATTTATTTAAATAATCTATCCTTAGTCTTTGAGGTAAATTTATCGCCTATTTGTAAATACCCTATTATATTAACCCAAGGAAGCGAATCCTCGTTCATTTCTTTTTCCAATTTTGATACGGACTTTTCCATTAATCGCACTATGTTCTAGTCCTTGCAGCTTAATCTTTGTTCGTGTTTCAATTTAACCAAATAATATGCAAAGCACGTATTATTATATTGTTATATTAATGTATTTGCGGTATTAAAAATTTGGTTATAAAATTAAAATATACTTGCACTGATTTACAATAAGTATGCATTGTATTAAATTGTTTCTTATTATATAAGTAACCGGTTACAATATTATATCGACAGGATTTAAACCTGTCTATATTATAAATAAAATAAAATGATAAGTATTGCGGTACTAGTGCAAATATTTTAAGCAATTACAATGTGTATTAGCTTCGAAAATTTTACTCCATGTTACTTGATTCGTTAAGATTCCAAATCTAGCTATTCCAATAATACGTACTTCATATTTACTTTTTTAAATTAATTAGCCTTTTTTTTTCGATGTTATCTGTCGGCTTATCTTCTTCTTCTTATATATATAT